ATGTATGGAATCTGTGCTCAGTAAGGAAAAAGTAATGCCCATTAGGTCATGTTAAACCAAATAAATGAAGTTCAGTAATGCCTCAAAATGGGGAAATATTTAACTAGAAGAAGAACAGTTGCTCACCTTTGGGCATTACAAAACTCTGCCTAAGTCAGGCGTGAGGGAACTTTTCTAGTACTGTATGAGGGACTCACTGCTTCACAGGAACCTTCCAGGGGCCACAATCCCCACTGGTGGGGAGGGTGAGAACAACACATACTTGCACTGCAGCCATGCAAAAATCAGCTTCTACACACATCTCTCCATCCAGCAGGCAAGAGGCAATATCTTCAATGGCACATTCAAAGTGCTGGTTTTGACCTATAAAGCTTTTTACAATTCAGAACCACAAGAACTTCTGGAAAACCTTTCTCACATTCTACTGAGACCCATCTGCAGATCCCCATGAAGCTCACTGAATGGGTAGCCACAATCTCCTGGCCTAACGTATCTCACAGGGTTGTTGTGATGATAAAATTTGGGAGGGGGGGATCATTCGTGTGCCACCTTTAGCTAGGAAGAAAGGGCAGAAAAAAAGGCAACAAATAAATAAAAATTGTGGTGGGTGTGTTACTATTTCTCACTGTATTCCATGATGAGAATGTAGAAACCCAGCAGCTTACGTTTTGGGTGGCCCCATTTTCCTTTCGGAAAGGATAAGCACCCAACCATCTGCTTTTGTTTTTTGAAGGAATGATAGCTGTATAAAGTTGGGGAAGAGGCAAGGTAGCTATGGCCAGTGAGGCGTTTGAATCAGATAGCCCTACCAAATTTGAATTAGACACAGTAGTAATTTTGCCCACAGGTTTTTTCAAATGTCTGTAGAGGCTAAGGACACGTTGTACAAGGAGGTGACTTCAGACACCAGGCCCGCTGGCAGACCATCTCAGCGTTACAAAAATGTCTGCAAGAAGGCTGGCGGTATCAACCCCACTATGTGGGAATCCCTTGCAGACAACCGCAATGCCTGGAAGACAGACAGGTCATGAAGGAATGACCGCTGGGAGGAGTACAGAGAAAATAAATGTTATGGTGCATCTGTAGCAGCACAACCAGACGCCTTCATCTGCGCCAGAAGCAACAAAACATGCCTCTCCCAAATCAGTTTCTACAGCCACAGCGGGCGCTGCAACTCTCCAATGGTTAGACTTCACCCCCAAAGGTGCACTCCTCCATTATCTCCCAAGACAGATGGACACCAACAACTTTCTCAAATGGAAAATTAATTTGTGCCCCGGGGAGGTCATTTGGTGCTGCTAGTGCAGTGGTTTGACTTCACCCCTGGAGGCACACTCCATTGTCTCTCAAGGCAGATAGATGTCAACAAAAATTTGCTCATTGTTGTAGCTCCACAACAAAACCAAAGAATGTGTTCTCCCTTGTGTGGAGTAAACCAATGCACAAATGGCATTATTTTTATGACATTATGGCCATTACCATGTCAATGCAGCTATTAATATCCATTCAACAGCTCTGTTAGCAGGTTTGCGATAAGGAAAAATTCAACAGGTACAGCTTTCTCCTGCCACTACTTCAAGAAAGACAATGACAGTTGAATGTCTCCCTTGCTCCTACCACTATTAAAAGTACACACCCTCCTTCCAGGGAAATATGTTTTAAAAAAAAAAAAAAAGTCAACCTTACTAATAATATATATAAATTCTTTAAGCCACACTGTATATACACGATTCTTTAACAAAAATAATGAAGGGATGTAGAGCCGGGACAGAATGTTTACAGCAAAATGGCATCAAAAGTTCACTTTGAATTCACAAACGAATTCCAAGGAAATTGTTAATCACAGCATGCTTATGCTTTCTGCCCTGTCTCATAACTTTTAGGGTTTCATTCCACCGCAGACCATCGTGGCCAGGGTAAGAAAGAGTTCTCCACTGGAATTTTGTATATTTATGTCTAGCTTGCAGGAGAAAATTTTTCTAATGCTGACCTAGTTACAATAACCCACCCATTGTCATTATGGAGGAATGGAAGAGTGGGTGGGGATGACTAACACTTCAACCAGGCGACTCCCCTCCCCTGCCCTACACTTCAGTCTGCTAAAATTGAAAGCTCTCCCTTTCATCTCCTCCGCAGCAAAGTTACAGAGGAACCGTCTTCTGAAACCAAATCTCCCCCTTCAACTTTGCCCACTTGAAAAGCCGGACGCAAAATCTTGCATTCAATTTTAGTAATACTCAGAGTAGACCCACTGAAATCATGGACATCACATGACTAAGTTTGGCCTATTAACTTCAGCTGGTGTCTTCCACGTAGGACGTACTTGCATAAAAAACCCTTGTATCAAACCTGAGCATTGCTAAATCTAGGGGTGACCGCCCGGTGCTGACCTTTACAATGATGGTTCCCTAGTTGCCGATTGCCCTCCCTAGTGAGGTGTGCCTGTCTTCATCATTATTAACTTTTAGGAGGAATTTTAACACATTCCTGTTTACCCAGCCATTTAGTGCCTAAAGAATACTGTCCCTGGCAACCTTGAGATCATTGGATGGAAGTATGTTTTTAACTGCAATCACTTTGAGAATGTTTTTAACTGGAACTGCTTTTAGATGTTTTAGTTGTAATTGTTTTGATCCATTTTCAAATTTTTTCGATATCTCCCTGGACTCCCCTTTGGGAGAAAGGCGGGATATGAATGCAATTCAATAAATAAACAAATATACATTATCTTGGACAAGTAGGTCAGCAGGAAGTGGGGTCAGGGCTCCAGCAAGCCAGTGAGCTACTTGAAGGTTTCTATCACCACCATGTAACCACATCTGCCGTGAAAATGAAAGTGGTGAAAGGAGGCTTAACTTCCTGTTTGGGTTACTGCCTCTTTACTCTGTGCCTTTAACAAGGGCACTGTAAGCAGGAAGTTGTACGGCTGTAAGAGAAGCCTCGCTTCACCAGACCAAAAGCCTATCTAGTCCAGCATCTTTTTCTAACAGATGCCAACCAGATGCAGGAAAGAAGACCTGAGCACAATAGTACAGTCCTCACCTGTGGTTCCCAACAACTGGTATGCAGAGTCATACTGTCTCTGATGCTGCAGGTAGAACATATGCTAGTAGCCACAGATAGCCTCGTCCTCTATGAATATACTGTATCTAATTCGAAGTGTTGGTGCTGACCTTTAAAGCCCTAAACGGCCTCGGTCCTGTATACCTGAAGGAGCATCTCCACCCCCATCATCCAGCCTGGACTTTGAGGTCCAGCGCCGAGGGCCTTCTGGCGGTTTCCTCACTGTGAGAAGTGAGGTTACAGGGAACCAGGCAGAGGGTCTTCTTGGTAGGGGCGCCTGCCCTGTGGAACGCCCTCCCAGCAGATGTCAAGGCAATAAACAACTATTTTACTTTTAAAAGACAACTGAAGGCTGTTTAGGGATGCTGTCTGATGCTGTATTGTTTTAAATATTCAGTTGGAAGCCACCCAGAGTGGCTGGGGAAACCCAGCCAGATGGGCAGGGTATAAATAATAAATAATTCTTCTTCTTCTCCTCCTTCTCCTTCTTTTTAAAGCCATCCAGACTTGATGGCCACCACTACATCTTGTGTAAAAGGCAGGAGTTCAGCAAGGGGTAGCTTCAGCCACTCTAGAAGCCATTGATGGAAAGGGTCACATAAAGTTAGTATAACTTTAAAATATAACCATTAGGAGAAGAAAAAGCAAGTGTTTGGGGGCACTTAAAAGACTTACAGCACAAACTTTCATGGAATACAGTTCACGTCATCAGATGCATTTTTTTCCTCGGGGATGCAGATGCTGTGGTCCTCCAGATGTTGTTGGTCTCAAACCTCCATCAGCCCCAGCCAGTATGATCAACGGCTAGGGGTGATGGGAGTTGTGGTCCAGCAACATCTGGAGGACCACAAATTCCCCACCTCTGAATTATCTTGTGGCTTCTAGTCCAGACCACTAAAGCTCATGCCATAAGTGAATTTATTAGTATTTAGGGTGCCACAAAACACTTTTGCTTTTCTTTAACAGACTAGTACAGCTTCCCAATGGAAGTCACCTTCAGAAAATTATGATGTTTTTCTGTTAGCTTACTATAGAGTCAACAAGTGCTTATGAAAACTTTGGATGTTGTCAGGGAACTGCCATCAGTGCCGAAGGGAGAGCAAAATCCAGAGGGATTCCGGAGAGCGTCCCGGGATTGGGAGAGGCAGCCCATCTTCTGGGAAAGAGAATCAGCGTAGCACCAGTGGAGAAGGGGGGCAGATGGGGGAAGCGGCGAGGCGGTCCCATGACTCCTTGCCGGGGACCAGCGAGGAGAGTAGAGGCCCGCAGAAGGCTTTTGCACAGAGAGAGTAGGAGGAGACTAGGCGTCAAAGAGCTTCTTTGCTGGAAGAAGTTTAAGAAACGCCCACTGACGGATTCTGCCAGCGATTGAGACAGCCACGGGTGAGTGGCTGTCCGGACAGAAAAGGTTCACTCAGGCAATCCAGCCAGGTGTTTGCTTACGCACGAGCAACCCCTAGAACAATTACAGATGTGTTTGGAGAACTCTACATTCTCTAAGTCCATATGTGTTTTCACATATTTTTATATGGTTTTCTATTTTCCATGTTTTCCTGCAATCTTTGGATGAAGGGTATTTTAGAAACATAATGAATACGCTTAGCAAAACCCAAGAATTCTATTTTAAAATGCTGTTACAAATATTGCCACTGGATGGCAGACTTCAACTGTTCAATTCTCAAGTTATTTCCAAGGGCGGCCAGCACAAAGTTTGGCAGACTTCAGACTTGCTGGATTCTTCTTGTTGTCGTCGTCTTCATCTTTTGAACTGGTGCCAAACAGTAGCTCAGGGAATAGACATAGCATTAAGGAGCAGGGAGCACATGCTCCATCCAGGGATTTGTTATAGAATAGGCCATTGTTCCATCTAGTTCAGTATTGCCTACACTGACTGGCAGCAGCTCTTCAGGGTTTCAGAGATGTCCGTCAGCCCTAACTGGAGATGCCATGAATTAAACCTGGGACTGTCTGCATGCAAAGCAGATGCTCTACCACTTTGCTACAGCCCTTCCCCAAGTTTAGGCCTAGAACTGTTCAGTACAGTGGTACCTTTGGTTAGCGGAGTCTGTAACCTGAAGTGTATGGAACCCGAAGTGTATGGAACCTGAGGTACCACTGTATTGCTGCTGTTAAACAAAGGGAATTGGAAACCTTTGGCCATTACTGCCACGACTGGAAATGCCACACCTGGGGAAAGGGCAGATGTGGCCCTCCAGGACTCTGTTTCTGGCCCTCAGGACTCTTTGTAGACCACGCACCCCCCTGAGCCACACCCCTCACTAGTTATGCTTTGCACCGTCCTTCAGTGCTTTTGCTGGGCGGGCGTGGGGCACATATTAAACTCTTGGTTGCCTTAATGAAGAACTGAGGCGTGTGAATTTGAAAAGCCTATTGTACAAAGGTAAAATTCACATCTAGTTCTCCCCCCACCACTGACATGAGGCCCACTTAAAGGAACATGGCCATTAATTTCCCACCCCCACTTGACTGCACATCACCCAGAGATCTGACTTCTCTTCATCCCTAGCCCAACAGATTGAATTAACTGCAGTAACAAAAGAGAAATCCTATGCAGTCTTGCCAGGTCCAGATTAGAAATGCAAACCTTTTCATTTAAACTTGTCATTTAAACTGCTAGCACTGAGAAGGCACCCCATCGAAGAAAAAAAGCACCCAGACTCTTTACTTGCTTAATTTTTTTCCTTGCGACTTCCTTGTAGAAATAGCTGGGCATATGTCGGAAGGGATGAATTTCCTTCGTGAGCATAAATCACCTAACGGGAGAGGTAATCACAAATGCAAGGTCAAATGAGCCAGTTGCTGTGGTAATGGCTAGTAGCTCTTGCTAGATCTGTGTAATTAATCAGCTAGTGCAGGTATTAGCGTTGCGGTTGAAGCCTTGGAAGAGATTGTATCTGTATCTAAAAAGCCTGCAAGCTGGGACTTGTTTTTCCTCGTATGATTTCATCCAGAGCTGTTTGCTGTGTGTCTATTCCTTGTCATTAAAATTTGGACCCTGCTGACTTTACTCCTGTGTGGCGACTTTTATTTCAAGCGCAACCTAGATCCACACTTCCTCTCCATGCGTGTCTTCTCTCAGATTCCCAACATTCCTTTTAAACTTTAATAATAATAATAATAATTTTTATTTATACCCCGCCCTCCCCAGCCAAGGCCGGGCTCAGAGCGGCTTACAAGCAATAATAAAAACAAGTTGAATGATTACAGCTTATAAAAACAAAATTAAAATACATTAAAATATTGAAACATTAAAATATTAATAATAATAATAATAATAATAATAATATCTTTATTGTCATTGCCCCCTTTGGGGACAACGAAATTACTTTAACGAAATTAAATTAACGAAATTAATTTAAAATATTAAAATGTAGCCTCATCGCAAGAGGAGAAGGAAAAAAGAGAGGGAGGGAATCAAATTGGCTCCAAGCCAAAGGCCAGGCGGAACAACTCTGTCTTACAGGCCCTGCGGAAAGAAATCAGATCCTGCAGGGCCCTGGTCTCATGAGGCAGAGCGTTCCACCAGGCCGGAGCCAGAGCTGAAAAGGCCCTGGCTCTGGTTGAAGCCAATCTAACTTCCTTAGGGCCTGGGACCACTAGGGTGTTGCTATTTATGGACCTTGAGGCTCTCCATGGGGCATACCGGGAGAGGCGGTCCCGTAGGTACGGGGGTCCTAGGCCATGAAGGGCTTTAAAGGTCAAAAGCAGCACCTTTAATCTGACCCTGTACTCTACTTGGAGCCAGTGCAGTTTGAAAAGCACTGGGTGAATATGCTCCCATGGCAGAGACCCCGTGAGGAGCCTCGCTGCAGCATTCTGCACCCGCTGGAGTTTCTGGGACAGCTTCAAGGGCAGCCCTGCATAGAGCGAATTACAGTAGTCAAGCCTGGAGGTGACTGTCGCATGGATCACTGTGGCCAGGCCGGGGCAGGAAAGGTAAGGGACCAACTGCTTGATGCGGCGAAGGTGGAAAAATGTCCACCTTTAAAAACTTCATTATCACTAATGGATATCTGGGAGCAGGTCTTCAATGCCATGTCCAGCTTCCTTTTCCCTCCTCATCACTTGCAGAGCACCCTCCCTTTTTTTGACACAATGCTGCTTCATGTTTACAGTGTATACAGGCTACATTACTTCAAGGCTGTTGTTTTTTAAAATGTACTCCTGCTGTTTATCTTGACCAAGGCCAGCCCAAGACATTTTGCTGCCTGAGGCAAAGGATGATCCCTCCTCCTGCATTCCATCTGCAGAAGCTGATCAGCATGGCAGCTGAATCAGATTTCAGTACTCGGGACAGGACAGTGTCCTCCCCAGTGTCAGAGGGCAGCGGACTAGCTTAGATGGTGTGGGGCAGGTGGTGGGGCACACACAGAACTATGTCCTCCACAGAGAGGAATAGCCAAGCATCTGTCACCCTCAGCCCCTAACATTTTCTTCCTGAGACAGCTGGCCAATGGTCAGGCCAGCCCTGATCTTGACAGCTTAAGATAGGTAAGGTTGCAGGCTGAACAAGATATATTCTCCCATTGCTTCTGTAGCAACCTTTCCATCAAAGTCTTGCTATCAGTCTAGTCTTACAACGGCATATGTATTGCGCGTTGACAGCCCAGGCTGAGATTCCCACAGAGCAGGGAAGATTGCTGGGTGACCCCCACCCACAGCCAAGTCGTTTTCAGTTTTCAGTGCTACCTCGGGTTACATACGCTTCAGGTTACAGACTCCGCTAACCCAGAAATAGTGCTTCAGGTTAAGAACTTTGCTTCAGGATGAGAACAGAAATCGCGCCGCGGCGGTGCGGCAACAGCAGGAGGCCCCATTAGCTAAAGTGGTCTTCAGGTTAAGAACAGTTTCAGGTTAAGAACGGACCTCCGGAACAAATTAAGTACTTAACCCAAGGTACCACTGTATCCAACTTCTCGGAATTTGTGGGTTCTTGTACACCTGACTCAGCTCTTTGCACAGACGTTGGGCTGAAAGTAACAAATTGTTATAGGTAAATGGCTGTCACAGCAGACTAGAACCAATGTTTGTATAACATGAAGCAGGGCAAAGATGTAAAGGATTTTTTCCCAGAAATCTGGCTTCTTCAATGGAGCTTACTACAGAAAATATGTGCATTAGATTGCGTCTTCAATCAAGAAGTTATGCTTTTGAGCTTACCAAGACAAGCATCTAAAACGTAAAACACAACTGTGATTCATTTGTTTGCACACTTGCTGGGAGAGAACCAGCAAAGTTATAAAGATGTGGACCCTGAAACTGTGCAGTCTCACAGGTTGAGAATGAAAAGCCTTGAACAGCAGCCCAAAAAATGTTTTGAAAATTCCATTTCTGCTCTGGAATTCTTTCATGAGGGACATGGAGGGCATTGAACATCCTGTCTTCCCCTTCAGGGCTAAATAATGACAGGAAAGAGATGAATTGATGTGATGAGGAGCAAGATGGGCTGGGGGAGGGAACTGAAAAACAAAGCACAGGCAAAATAGAAACATTTTCTATTGTGGTTATATAAACCACTTCGCTATTTCTGTTGACTATTGGAAACACTGGTAAGCAAAAGCTAGGCTGGAAGAATCGGAGCTGTGTCGATTCAGATGGAACTGGCCTGATCCACAGCTCTGGACCAATGGAACAGACTGGAACGTACAATGTTCAGAACGAACAAAAACCAGTGAACTGCAGTTCACAGTCCAAAGAAAGCATTATCAAAATACATTTAGAAGTGTGCATTTGGAGAGGAAAATGCATTTAGGAATGTGTATTTAAATGTGAATTTTCATGCAGCTTTGAAAAGTTAGCAAAAATACTTAGGTCATACAAGGGATATGATTTATTGCTTGTTTTGGGTGTTCATTCCCCACCCATCAGTCTCCAGCCCCCCTTCTCCCAGTGCACACTCATCAGTGTCCTGCCATTCGTTGACCAATTGCTATCCCCGCCTTCCACAAATTTGCAGAAGCACTTTCGTATTGCATCCCAAAAAATGTTTGCGATATACATTAACAGAAATTCCAACTGTTTATTAGGCATTACAGATACTGGGAAAAGTTAATTTCACAGTCAACTATACCATTGTTCAAGACTCATAAAAGGAAAAATTGGTGAAGAGCAGCTTAGGAAAGTAACAGCTGATCTCAATACCATGGATCTTCCTTGGCTTTTAAGGCTTAGGGTCCCTTGGAAGCAGTTTCTGAATACACACATTGCTGACAACATCGGATATGGCCAGACATCTTTTCTGTCTCCATCACCCCTGATGCTGTACTGTTTCCAAAAGTAAGTGCTAACCTCTTTGTACACGAAGAGGTCTTTATGTGCAGAACGCTTCCAAAAAACCAAAAAAGCCTGTTCCTAAAATTAGGTACCTTTCTAAACATACAAATTTCTTAAAAAGTGAAAAACAAAAATGCAAACATTTTTTAACGGAAGTAAAACAAGGATCCAGTCCATGTTCAGTGGTTCTTAAAAATGAACAACAGTTTTTAATACTTCTCATTCTTTCAACATTTGGCCATGCCCAAAGTTATTTTTTATATATAAAAAAATCAGGCTGAGGTCCAATTCTATTTCATCGAAGTCAACAATAAGATCAGGCACTTCGTGTGGATCTTAGTAATACATATTATACTTTGCTGCAGCACAGAGGACATGTTAAAAACGATTTGGGGGGGGTGTGGAAACAATTCTGTGTTCTCTACCCACTCTTTTTGGCATGACAATCAAAATGGCACATTTTTATTTAGCTGGTTGGTTTCATCTCCCTGACTTGGTTCCTATTGCTCCCTGCAGAACAAATTAGGGCATCACAACTGAAAATAAATCCAGCCTTCAATCCATAAATGGTCCCAACAAGACTGGTTGATGGCTAAATTCTATTCATTATTGCCATTTTTTATCCACCTTGGACAATTCAAAAGCACCAGAAGATGTGTGTTCTTTGGAACAGCAATACTGATTCTAGGAGCTGCAAAGTAGCCTCAACCCAATTTTGGGGAGTCCACATCCTGAATTGGATTACACAATAACTTTTTTCTTAACAGTGAGCAGAGCCCCGCACACACTCAGCTGTACGCACAAGGCTCCTGCACGCACCAGCTGCTTTATTTGATTGGATGAAGCAGATCTGAATGTGCAACGCCAAGCTCACTCGAGTCTACTTCCTTCATTCAAATAACAGAGCCCCCATGTTTGCCAATGGATCAAGGCAACAGTTGTCATAATTTGGCTTCCTCCTCTTGTACTGTGGATTAAACAGCAGAAGCAAAACGATTTGTCCTAGCAACTGAAACAAACAAAATCATGGGGGCCTAACTAGAACGTGTTACGATTCTTATAACGGCACCAATAGATTTAAGTTTCAAACCCACCAATATTCCACTTCCCCCAACAACAGCAACGAAACTCTTTGGCCTATGAAAACTATTTTTGGTTTTGCAGTTCATTACTTACACATGCTCTGCACTAGGTAGCTAAACCTTTTCATGTATCTTTTCTACTTTCACAAACAACCTGTCCAGGTCATTCTTTACATCCTCAAAGGAGCTCTTCAGCGACTGAACGTCATTCTCGTTGGTTTCTATTTTCACAGAGTAAGCAACCAGACTGTCAACTGCAGTCCTGAGCATTTTTAAGTCGGATTCAGCCTGGCCGAGAGAAGATCGCAGCTCATCAACATAACCTATCACAGAAGAGAGTTCTAGGTTATCTCTGGATTGCCCTGCATCCATCTGAGGCTTTTCTTTATCCAGCAGAGCACGGACTTGTTTCTGGATGTTATCAAGTGCATCAGCGTTGTTTGGGAAGTCGCTCACGCTCCTCCTTAGCTCCTCAACATCACTGTACACGGAGAGCTGAGATTCACTAAGGCTCCTTACGGTATCTGTCACTGAACGCACCTCTTTCTCTAAATTACCCTGGATGGAGCCTAGCTCTTCCTCTAAAGCAGCTAGCTTGCTGTCATACTTGGAGAGAAGAGATTCCATTTCTTCAGTGTCTTGTGCAGATGGTGACCTCAAAGCCTCAAGGTTCTCTTCTATAGACCTGAACCTGGATTCAAATCCTTCACTGTTCATTTGCAGAGTCGCTACAATGTCTCTGGGAAGAGCTTCACCTTCTTGCGCATTGGCAGAAGTCTTGATGTGCACAAGATCTTCCCGGAGTCTCTCAAGCTCACCAGGGAGATGTCCAATAGCCTCTTCTGCTTTAAGAACTTTATCTTGTAGAGTTTGCAATGAAATGTGCTCTGCATCGGCCACCTCTTTGAACTTTTCGTGCTCCTGCTTGAGATTGACAAGTTCTTTGACTTCGGACAACACATCCGATTCCATCAAATCTATCATACTTTTCAAGGATTCTATAGTCTTCTCTTTTGCTTTCATGGATGTCTGCATCTCATCAACGACGCCTTTCAAAGCCTGAAGTTCATGTTTGTACACCTCTGCTTCCCCTAGGGAAGCCACCTTCATTTTCACTTCATTGATTTCCTCTTGGCTCCGTTTCTGAACATCTGTGAATTCGGCAATATTGTCGTTTATCGACCTAGTTAACTCAGTTAGCCTGTCTTCCACGGTGTTCTCCAGCGATGTGAAATCTCGCTCTCTGGCGTCTTTTACAACGTGGATGCCGTCAGACAGGTCTTTCAGAATTTCATTTTGCAGTTTCTGAAGAACCTCACCAATGCGAGCGATTTCTCCCTCCCCTTGCCTAACAGCCTTCTCCGTGACTTCTTGCTTCTGCTGTGCGTTTTTCAGCGTCAATTCGAAACCTCCAAATGCAGACTGAAGAGACTGCACCTAAAAGAGAAAAGCACATATAGGTAAATCTAGACATGGAGCACGCATCGCAGGAAGTTCTACAAGGCTCACAGGAAGCCAGATAGGGGGAAATGAGCAGTGGAATGGAACTGCACTTATCTGCACAAACCTATGTTGATGCACCCATGATTCAATCATTTAGACTGAGTAAGTTTCCAATTCAAATAATCATAGAATTGTAGCGTTGGAAGAGCCCTGAGGACCATCTAGCCCCAATAGGGGGATCAAGCCTGCGACCTTGGCATTATCAGCACCATGCTCCAACCAACTGAGCTATCCAAACGTGTTTTGTCTGGGGTGCTTATCCTTTCTAATCTTATACTCTGCAGTGCTTAGTTGCGGAACCAGAATCTAGCCTCAGAAATTGGATGTAGAGCCATACGTCCATGTTAGAGCACATGATTTAAGTGCATAAAAGGCTTTAACTTCCTCCATTCAGCAATTCTGAATAATAGCAGAACAGGGACAGGAATCTTCTGCACTTAATGGCAAATCAGATCTATGGGGATGACTCTCCCCATGCATCTGTCCCCTTCACATAAATTGGGTGCTAATGTATCGATCCGCGGTTCTCAAAGGATTTAGCGTGCCACACTAGTGTGGCAAGAAAGGAAGTGTTCTGTTATAAATCAAGCACTTCTGGGAGCTATTTATTTTCGTTTTCCAATGTATTTCTTATCGATAAAAAAATTGGTGGGGCACGAGCAAATTTTTATTCTGAAAGTGTGGCCCAGAGAAAAAAGTTTGAGAACCGCTGGTCTAGACTCTATGCTGGAAAGCACATGAAATACGCACAGCAACTGGTCACAATGCTTCTAAAATAATATTGATGCACCAACGACAGTCAGGAATACAGTGGTACCTCAGGTTACAGACTCTTCGGGTTACAGACGCTTCAACTAACCAGGAAGTGATTGTCCAGGTTAAGAACTTTGCCCCAGGATAAGTACTAAAATCGCGCGCCAGCGGCAGCAGGAGGCCCCATTAGCGAAAGCACGCTTCAGGTTAAGAACCGTTTCAGGTTAAGAATGGACCTCTGGAACGAATTAAGTTCTTAACCCGAGGTACCACTCTACTCCTCAGCACTTCTCTCTTACTAGAGCAAGGGTCAGCAAACTTTTTTAGGAGGGGGCCAGTTCACTGCCCTTCAGACCTTGTGGCGGGCCAGACTGCGAGCACATGCGCACATGACAGAGGGGGGCTTCTCTCTCTCTCTCTCTCTCCCTCAGCCCCTCCCCTCCCCCTGCTTTCCTACCTCCTCTGCCGCACTGCCTGTGGTTGGGAGCCACCAGCGGCGCTGCCGGGGCCTCTCATTTCCAGGCCAGCTTTCCCGGGCGCCAGGCACGGGGCCAGCAGGCATGCCAAGCTCCAGCCGAAGCCCCATCATGATGCCCACAGCGCGGCCATGGACGGAGAGGCGGGCGGGCGGGTGGCATGTCTGGGCTGTGCCTCAGCGCGCAGGCAGCGAGGCTTCGGATTGGCTGGGACCAATCAAAGCCCAGCTCCCTTCCTCCGCAGGGCAGGGAGAAGCCAGGAGGAGAGAGGGAGGAGGTGCCGCCATGGGGGGGGGGAGGCAGCCGAGGAAAAAAAATTGCAAAAAAAATGGCACAGCCCGAACGATCAGGCCGATCCAAGTGGCGATTTCAGGACCACCCATGGGCCGAATCCAGAGGGCAATTGGGCCTGATCCAGCCCACGGACCTTAGTTTGCCAACCCATGTACTAGAGGCCCAAGTGGCTAGAAGTGCCTTTCATCAGATCTGTCTGGTTCGCCAGCTATGGCTGTTCCTTGACAGGGACAGCCTGACTGCTGTAGTCCATGCATAATCAAATCTGGATTACTGCAATGAGCTCTGGATGGGGCTGCCCTTGGGCTTGGTTCAGAAGCTCCAACTAGTGCAGAATGCAGCAGCCAGACTGCTGGTGGGAACACACAGCCGACGACATGTGACACCATTGTGAAAATATCTCCACCGGCTGCCCATCTATCACCAGGAAAACAGTAAAAACTTGAGTAGTGGAAAAAAAAAAAAAATTAAAAAGTTGTGATCCAAACAATCCCAAAATCCATGTTGGATTAAAATCTGCTGGGTTTCATATTTTCTCTGCAATTACGCACACTACTCACAAGAATCTGTGTGCGCAGCAAGGGATCATGGTCCTTCCCTTAACAAGCAGCAATACAACAAAATAATGGCCCCACTGGGTGTCACTCCAGCAGAATGCAGACTTCCCTATCTTAATATTTAGAATGCCATGCTGGCACAAAACAAGGCATTAATTTAGGAGCATTATGGATGTTATCAGCCTTAGAAATGCAAATTTCTTCAGCCGCCCTTACTTTGTAGGAAGTAGATGTGGAGGACATTTTTAAAAAAAACCAAAAACCAAACTATCCACTTTCACAGCCAGCATTTACTCCATGAGTTGGCAGAGTAAACTCTCTGCCAAGGGCATGTCTAAATTCGTTCTTGGTAATAGTTAACTATAATGCAGAGTTAAATGGTTTCTATTGAATGCTTTTAACTTTGCAGCTAAACACTCTTAGGAGCCTGACCCCAAGGACAACTGGGGCTGCACCAACATAGGTATTCACACCATAAATTTAAGCAACGTGATGCCACTTTTTTCAGCTGGAACTTGCCAGAACTGTTCCAGCACCTCTTAGGTGGGTGCCCTTGCCATTATAAGAGAATAAGGGAGGTGTTCATGGTGAGTTCTGGCACCCCTTTTTCTAGAAAAACAACACAGTTAAGACAGCTGTTAAGAGACCCCATTCCTCTCAAAGAGCTACAATTCCCAGTATATCCTACAAAGAGGGATCGTTTCTTTGTTTAACTATAACTCAGCAAAGGGAACAGCAGCATCCTACAAACTCTCAGCTCCCGAAAGGAATTAATATTATTAGAAATATGAATTTGGAGAACTGTTAAACAGGTGATATAATGATATTCAGTTAGAGGGGACTCGAGGAAGTCAGTTATCAATGTAATGAAATTAGGGATTTGAAGTAATAATTCTTTTTTGTGGTTTTCTTGTGTGCGTTTTCTCTGTTCTATGTTTTGTAATGTTTTTCTTTTTTCTTTGTGATAAATGTGAAAATTAATTTTAAAAATTGGGGGGGGGGGGGCCTCTCAGCTCCCTTAATGAACTACAGTTCCCAGAATTATTTCAGAAACGCCGCTTTATGTATGGTGCAAATGTGACCTACGTGGTTAAAGCTCTATATAGCATATGAAGAACCTTGTGTAGTATCCAACCATGTAGATTCTCTAGTGCAAGAATGTCTGCTTATGCAATGTAATTTCGCCCTGCAAAGGTGCTCAATTTAGGGGCACCCAGGGAGTGGAAAGGGAAGCTCCACTGCACCATCAGAAATCCTTGCCCTAGTGGATCTCTTTGTTGGATACCACCCCTTAGGTTTCTTTTAACCAGGCTTTGCCCACTCGGTGCCTTCCAGATACTTGGACTACAATTCCCAACAGCCAGTGCAGCCATAGCCCAAAACATCTGGCGGACACCAGATTGGCAAAGGCTTCCCTTACCTAAAATATCATCTCACCCATTGCAGATGCCTTCTCATCAAAAGGTCCAGTCTGTACAATGTACGACTCAACCCTTTAACTGGCTGACCCTTAGGAATTCCCTTCCGTGACGTCTCAGACAAGCGCTGCCCTGTCATGTACATGATCAGCACTTACAAAAGACCTTTCCTTTTAAGTCCGGAGTGGGGAACCATTAGCCATCCAGAGGTTACCAAACTACAATTGCCATCAGTCCCAGCAAGCTTGGCCCATGGACAGAGATGATGGGAGTTGTAGTTCAGCAACCTCTGGAGGTCCAAATGTTCCCCACACCCTGATTCTTATCCTGGTCTGCATCTATAAGGATTTTAATTGTTTTTATTACAGTGGTACCTTTGGATACGAATGGGATCCGTTCCGGAGCCCCGTTCGCACCCAGAAGCAAACCTAACGAGCGACGGTACGTCTGCGCACACACACGTCGCTTTTCGCCGCTTCTGCGCATACGTGTGATGTCATTTTGTGCGTCTGCGCATGCGCGAGCGGCGAAACCCGAAAGTAACGCGCTCCATTACTTCCAGGTTGCCGCAGAGCGCAACTCGAACGCGCTCAACATGAAGCATATTCAACCTGAGGTATGACTGTATTCATCTTTTATTGTTAAGGGCTTACGGATGGTTCGTGGAAAACAATTCATAAGTTAATGAAATAAAAAATAAATAAAACAGGGGTGCAAGGCAAAACTGAAGGAGGGGCCTAGAAGTGGTCTAAGAGTCATGCCAAAAAATCTTGCACGAGGGGCCATAAGTGCAAGTTATGCAACAGGGTGGAAAGGCGAGACTGCATTGGCTTGATACTCCGTGCAAGAGGACAAGTTTTGGAAGATGCTAAACTGGATGACTGATTTAGGATGGGGATTTCCCAGGCCCGAAAGGAAACACGGTGCAAACAGAATCCACAGGAAGATGGGAATTGGCTGCTGAGGCCCAAGTGCTTTCCCTCCCAAAATTTTCCTCACAAAGAATAAAAACACTCCCAGGCAAAAGCTGTTCGCAATCCAAGCTATTCCCATGATTCCATTCAAATGAACGTTTGGCACATCCAACTGGGGGGCCACAAGTGCCAGGCATTCTCCTGAACCAAGTCGCCCTTGCAAAGTTTGGAGGTCCTCGCCAACTTACATCCCCACCCCATCGCATTCACCAGAGGGGGGGGGGGGGGGAGAGACGATTGCAAGGCCTGCACTCAGCCCAGGGGTGCAGAGACACATAATTTGTAAGACTCTGGCTTTAATGGTCCTTTTGGGGAGAAGGAAGAGAACTCCAGGGGACGACGTCGATCACTCCACTTATTCCAAAATACAGAGCAAGGCCCTGGACTTCTGAGCCAAAGTCCCACCCCGACGGCACCCCTCACCCCCCTGCAACTTCGCAAAAAGTTTTAAGAAAATGCAGAGCCGGAGAATTGCTATGGTGAGCCTCCTCCCCCGATACCTTTTGCACAGCCCCTTCCAAGGCGCGGGCCAACTCCTCCCGCTGGCTCCCGAAGCCTTCTTGCCGGACGCTGATCCGGTTCACTTCTTCGGAGAGGTGATGGACGAAGTAGCCCGAGAAAGCAGCCGCGGCTATGAGAGCGAGGGACAAGAGGAAGTTGAAGGCTTTGGCCAGGCTGCAGAAGGACGACGACGAGGAGGAGGCTTTGCCCCCTCCAGCAGCCGAGGCGCCTCCTTTGCTCCCCTTGGCGTGAGCCTGGTTTTGCGGCGGCTGCTGCTGCTGCTTCTTTGCCACGTCATCGGGGAGGTTTGAATGGGCTCCCTTGTCGGACGGCGCGGAGCTGCCGCCCTTGCCGCTCCTTTGTTTGGCCGAAGACATGCTGCGTTCGATGCTGAGGCTGGGCGCCACGAGCCGCCGGACTTCGCCGATGATGATGGAGGCGGAACGTCGCTGCCTCTGGACGGCGCGGGCGAGAAAAGCAGGAGCGAGCGCAGCACAGCCGGCCTCGACGCTGCCTCCCCCATTCAATCCGAGGCACGAAGGAAGGAGGGAGGGAAGGAAGGAAGGAGGCAGGGGCTTCGGGCGCGCTTCTTCCTGCCCGCCCCTCTCCCAGCACCGCCCCCGAATTCCCTAACGCGCCCGAGAGGGGGGCAGGCGTGGAGGCTGCCACGCACACCAGGAGGGGAAAGAAGTAGCCGCCCGAGGCTGGGTGGGGAGGCGGCCACGCCACGGGAGGCAGTTCTGCAGCTCGCTGTCTCCCCAGCGGGAGGTGGGCGTCGGCATGGGGAAAGGACTGCCATCCTAAGCAGGACCGCGGAGGAGGGCTGGGCTCGAAGGAGAAGCTCGGCTCGGGTCTCTAACCATCGCAGGAACGCGTTTCCAGGCGTGCTTAGTGCTGCTGCTGCTCCCCACCCCCGTTTAGTTCCGCGGGACTTGACAAAATTGTAGAGTTGGAAGGGATCACGTCGAGGGTCATCTAGTCCAACCCGCTGCAGCCAGTGCCGGGTTTACATACGGGCTGCAGCCCAGGGCCTCATAATCTAGCGGGCCTAGGCATTTTGCGGTAGGTAGGTAGATAGATAGATAGATAGATATTAGAAACAGGCTGCTTTTACTATATAGGTCCAGTTGCTTAGTAACATTAAACACGTGACAAATGAGTTAATGGCTGTTCTGACTTTGTATATGATGCAATGCAGCTGCTCACAAACTTTTTTATCTGGGCCACACTTTCAGAATAAACATTTACAGTGGTACCTCGGGTTAAGTACTTAATTCGTTCCGGAGTTCCGTTCTTAACCTGAAACTGTTCTTAACCTGAAGCACCACTTTAGCTAACGGGGCTTCCCGCTGCCGCCGCGCCACCAGGGCACGATTTCTGTTCTCATCCTGAAGCAAAGTTCTTAACCTGAAGCACTATTTCTGGGTTAGCGGAGTCTGTAACCTGAAGCGTATGTAACCTGAAGCGTATGTAACCCGAAGTACCACTGTACTTGTGCCACACTGAATTTTTTGATGAAAAATAGATTGGAAAACACCCCCCAAAAAAACTCTGAGCAGCACATTATTTATAACATAAAACGTGCTCTTATTTTGAAGAGATATCTATTCCCAAAAGTATATACTTAAAGAAGAAAACAGGTCGCCTGTATTTGCTGTAATAGCTGTACTGGGAGGAAAAGAGAAACATATGGTGCTTCTGTGATACAGGAGTGTGTTTGAAGTCTTGGGTAACTGATAACTTAGTTTGGCATCCTGTCTTCCAAGTAGGTGGAGTCATAAGCTCATGACTCAGAGTTGATTCTAACAAGGAGTAGGTTGGTCATAACAACAAATACGTTGTTGATTGCATAATATAGTCCCTGTGCACATTTTTTATTACACTAGGTTTTTTTAATAGTAGCAGAAACTATTCAAAACTTTCCACATGAAATGTCTTTCCCTGCAACATGGTGCTAAGTTTAAATTTAACTCTGCATTCCAGAAGCAGGACTTTTTCAAACTACATTTTGTTACCAAACAAATATTTCATCCTTGGATCACACAAAAACATTGACAGTTCCTCCTGCAATACTGAAATGCTTAGGGTGAGGAAACACATGAAGAAGTATTGTTGATCAATCAAACAAAAAAGTTCATTTCGTTTAGCATCCTGTTTCCATCAAAAATTGATCAGATTCCTTCAGCAAATCCACTCCTAATGCTGCCGACAGCTGGTATTCAGTGATATGCCATCTCTCAACATTGAAGAGCCATTTAGCTATTGGGGCTAACTGGTGTGAAGGCGCATGAAACCCCAAGCTTCAGCTAAGCAGATCAGATGGGAGGCTGATTTGGAAGCCCATGCACACTGCCTTGTCCTGCAGGATGAAATAAAGGCAGAATACAAAAATAAGTTTGGGGGGGTTAGATCTATGTCAAATTCTTCTTTTCCCATCCAGCTGGTGTCCATCCCCAATAGGGCCGGCCCAAGACATTTAGGTGAACCACAAAATGGTGCCCCTGGCCAAGGAAGAAGGTGTGATAAGAGCTACATCAGAGTCTGCTGTATTGGGATCTGCTGCCCCTGTGGATCCTGCCGCCAGAGGCAGTCACCTCAACCTTGTCTCATGAGTGGACCGGCCCTGATCCCCGGTCTAAAAACATGTTTTTATTTAAATAACTCCAAACCAGCTCACGGTTATTTTATGTAGAGAATCCGAAAGCCTTTGCCAAACTGGTGCCCTCCGCGGCTCCCGCGTCACTAAGCTGCCCTGGCTGGGGCTGACGGGAGTTATGGTCCCAAACGTTTGGCGGGCACCAGCTTGGCGAAGGCTGAGTGGAGATAAAAGCATTATTAAGTGAGCAGCCACATAGGCAGCGGCTCCTTGCTTGGCGCCGGCTTGGAAGCAGCAAGGGCTCCCGATGTCCGGACGGAGCGCGGTATGGCGAAGAGGTGAGAGGTCTGCGTTGGCCACAATGCTGGCAGCAGCCCAAGACCCGCGGCGGGAGGCGGGCGGACTAGTAGGAAACCCACCATCCCAGCAGCCAAGGGAGAACTGAGGACACGGCTCTCCTTCCGTAAACACCGCTCAGTCCCCTCCCCTCTGCCGGGAAAGCAGCATTTCACCCTACGGGGGTGGAGAAAGAGCCCTGCTTTTTGGACCCACTTTCCTCGTTCCCCACGATTTAAGTTATGCACCTTGCTTGATAATAGCCTGAAATCCATTGTTTCCCCGCTTGTCTCTCTTCCATGCCGACAGAGCTTTGCCGCATACGGGATTAAATCTCTTTCCTCCCCCCCCCTCCCCAGGGAAGTGGAAGCGTCCAGGCAGCTTGCTAATAGACACCCGAGGACTATGTATAACTAAGTGAAGCGGGGGGAGGGAGTTAAAGCCCCGGTGAGAACGGCTGAGTAGCAGCAGGAGCAAAGGGGGGTTAAGGCTGACCCTGCCTGAGGCTCTCTTGGGGTGAGTGCATCGGGCGGTTTTTTTGAGGGGGGAGGCGGGAAGAAAGCAGGTCCCTTCCATCTCTTTCGCCTCTTTTCTCGCCTCCCCGGGGGAATTTATCTATAATCCGGTTCAGCTCCGCATTCTCTCTCTCCCTCCCCTCCCCGCACTTCAGTTCCCAGTGTGATGGAATCTTGGCTTGCAGAGGGATATTCCAGAGCTGGATTCAGCGCGCCTGGGAGGGGGGAGTTCAAGGTGACTTATTTTCTCTCTGTTTCAAGATTAAAACAAGCCCTGCCGCTCGATCCTATGACCGTCCTTTTGCAAGTGAGCCGTCCTGTTATTCAGTGCGCTTACACCTGAGTAATGGCGGTTAGGGCAGTAGGCTTTGCTCCGAGCGGTGGTGGTAAACAACCCCGCTGTCCTCTTGCAGAACCGGCGGCGGGGAGCGCTCGTGGTTTGCAAGCCTTGTTGTGGTTGCGTGTCTTAAACAAAATAAAAATAGGCCCCTAAAGTTTCTCCTCTCGTCTCTCCCTTCCCCCCGATTTTCCTGGGGTGTATAATTAAGGAACCGGCAGATGCATTTTGTTTTTGTTTTAAGAAAGGATTGTGTGCTTAACAAAGAAAACAAAACAGATGTTAGCAGAAGAGGCAACGGCGAAGGGGGTAGATTGCAGGCTGTGTGTGTGTGTCTGCGTGTTTAAATGCTTTCCTTGGAAACGCTGCTTTTGTTTTGATCGGTCAATGCCAAAGCACTCGTACCTCCGAGTAACTGCCAAAAATACATCTGTGGGGAGGGAATAACTGAAACAGATGGAGGAAGAGGAGGAGCTTCGGGCAGCTCGCCTAAATGGGGCCAGGGAGAGCCGCTGTTGCTCGCGCAAATCTTGCTCGACGGCTGAGCGCTGGCGATTTCGGGGAGCAAGGCAGGAGAAGGCTGCCAAATTGTGCAGTCTGATCCTGTGCGTGTTTATTCTGAACTAAGCCTCCGCTCGGATGGCCGAGTTCAGCGTATGGCCTCTTTTCTTTTTACGTCCTGCATTTGCAGGCGTCTACAAACTTTCCTGCGCTTCAGCATTCATGAGGATGTCAAAAGATTAAGAATCGGGTTGACATAGGCTGGACTGATAGGAGGAGTGAAGATCCTGAATTGGGAGTGCGGGTAACTACCCCAAATGAGTGGTTAGACCCAGGGTACAGCATCACCACCCTGCCCCAGAAATGTGGTGGTGGTGGTGTTAACATTTGTATACTGCCCTTTACCTGTAGACCTCAGGGCGGTTCACAACGTAAAATTACAATATAAAATACATAATTTCCGGATCAGGATTACTGTGTTCTGTTTAATAACACGAGAATGAACAACACTGTTAGTTTGTGACTGCCATGATGATAGAATAAAAATGGCTAAGCAGTTTACATAAAAGTAATAAAAGCACAATAACATTCAGTGCGAATTCTTAAAAAGAAGATAAAAACAATATATGCCTGTATGTCACAAATAAAGCTGAATACTGTACAAGAAAGAAATAATTTTTTGTCAGTTTCTAGGAAGCTTGGGTTAAGAGGCATTTAAAAGTCATTACTGTCTCCAATCTTAGTGTTGGAGAAATAAAAATGTTCTTTATTTCTCTGTACTGTATATGGGTAAAATAAAGTGATATAGGCAAAAAAGCCCTTTGCGGTATGTCCTCCACGGCAGAACACTCAAAGGTCTCTTAAACAGATTTGTGATTAGCTCAGCAAAGAGCAATGGGATGACGGGATGTGCTATTAGTGGATCTAAGCTGAATTAGCCAATGTGACAAACCCAAACTATGCTTACTGGGTCACAAGGCTAGTAGGAATGGCAGGAGATGGGATGAGGCAGGCCTGCTTATCTGGGGAAACATATATGGGTTAAAAAGATCAAAAAGCAAGTCAAATATCTCTTCCATCTAATAGTGAACTCAAGTGGTAACTGGTAACAGCAATGAAGCAAAACCACAGAGGAGAATGAAAGTAATAGACTTCCTCATACCAAGTCAAACCACCTGGATGGTCCATCTAGCTCAGTATTGTCTACATCAGCTCACAGAATCTCTCCCCCAGTTTTGGCAGGGGTCTTTCCCAACCCTAGCCGGAGATTGAACCTATCACAGCACTACAACCCTTCAGGAGACCCCTGAAGAAGTACAAAACAACTTTATACTGGGGTGGGGAGAGAAACTGCCAAAACAGCCCAGTGAAGATGGAGCATCCTCAGTAACTTGACAGTGGTGAGTATAATTTGGAAACATAAAATAGAAGACCATGGACAGCATGGAGAGTGGAATGCATAGCTGCAAGGGAAAGGCTGGCTGGTTGGAATTCTGAGGGTTCTTCTCAGGAGGGGAGACCAACAGCAACATTTTGCTGCTGGTCCCTTACTGATGACAGCCAGCAAAATCTTCTGCATTTTCATTTTTGCTTGGAAGCAAATCCCACTGGGTTCAATGGGCTTTACTCCCATGTAAGCATGTTTTGCAAGTTGCTAACGCCAGGAGAGAGAAATTCCAAACCGAAAATCTTCAACAAATGTTGCAACATTGCATTTACAGATTTTTCTTGCGTGAGGTTTTTCTACTCTTACATTTGCAGAGAATTACAGCTATTTTGTTGAAAATAACATGTTTGTATTTTTTCTACTGGGGCCCCCAAGGCAGTGTTGGATAAACAATTTAGATGTAGAAAACAGTACTGTGGGACAGGGAAGGAAGGGTTAAGCCTCCACTCCTCATGTACTGCTCAGTTCAAAATAGACACTGCTTTCTTGGGGGGGGGGGGAGGGAGTGTCAGGCGATCCAGTTACTGATTACCCACACCTTGTCTGTTGCAGCAGTAAGAAAAACCAAGGAAAGCCCCAGTAAGAACTTAAGCTTAGTAAACTGCATTAACTGGACAGAAGAACAAAGAATATAGGTTAAAAAATATACCAGAATCACCTGTCTAAAAAACCTTGTAATATTATTCAGTGTAGAATAAGCCTTTTTGCCTGTACAGTCTTTTCCAAGGAGGCTAATTTGTTTGTCAAATGAAGTCTCCCGAGTGCCACCAACCATTAGTGTGTCCCATTTTTAGAAAGACCCTTTCTGATATTTACACGAATGTAGATCACCGAATTGAGTAGTAGACGTTTGAAGTGAAAATTGCACTTAATTATCAGTAGCTGTGGAATTATTGCAATATGGGATTAAGGTGCCAAGGGCTGCTGTCCAATTTCCATTCACTGGAGGGCCAGATTAGGTGTGATGGTGGCATGGCAATCACTTTAAATGTGGGTCAATTTAAAGTATGTATCACAAGTAAGTGTGTGTGTGTGTGTTGTGGTGGGGTATGATATAAAGAGTAAAAACAGTGTACAGGTGAGAACTGCAGAACCCTTCCATGCCTACTGCTTACTTCCCCCTAGTCTGTATCCCCTCGAGATGATCTGCCCCGCTTTCCAGACCAGGCTCACTTGGTTTATATGTACTTGGAGCAGACCTTTCTGTTGGGTCCTTCATAGCCTTTGCACAGAGGCCCGATGGAAATGAATGGAGGCCACGCTGCAGTAGCTCTGTGGGTGGGTTCTGCTTGAAATTGATTGGTTTTTGTCTGCACCAAACATGAAAGCATGGAGCGCTGATTGTTAACAAAGTCATTGATTGAAGAGAGGGAAGAGTCGATTTGACTGGCAGTCCATTTACCCTAATGCCCATGATGAGCTGTTAATAACCAGGTCACACTAGAGGCACAGGTCCCAAGAGGAGAAAGATGAGGACTGGGAGAATCCCCATGGGGAGGGCCAAGAGGCAGCCAAAAATCAGCAAAGGAGTAAGACATCTGATCTGGTCATTAAGTACCATGGAGAATTGGCAGGTCATGGGAAGAACCACAGCTCAAAAGTACAGCACCTGCTTTGACTGCAGAAGGTCCCAGATTTGATCCCCAGAATCTCTAGACAGGCTCCTGACTAAGACCTGGGAGAGCCACTGCAAGTCGGTGTACTGAACTATAATGGACCAATGAGAGTTATGCAGAGCATTAGCTACCAACCTTCTGCTCCTTCCCAGTGCGCCCAAAGTAACTGCTTGGAACTCGCTAGAGGCACAGGCTGCTATAGGAATAGATGGATGAATAGCATACAGAGGTACCCAAAACTGAATTTGTTCATGGAAATCTCAATGTTCGGGCTTAATGATCACAGAATCGGTCTCCTTATCTTCCCATGAAGACAAGGCAGCTCCTGCTCAGAAGGTGCATCACACAATTCAATTGCAGGCACTGATCATAAATCTCTTATTTTCTTTGTCTCCGTCTGTAGACCTGCTGGGCATCTGGTTAATGTTCTCAAATGCACCAAGTGTCGAAAACATTGCCTCCAATGAACTGCATCGGATTCTGTTTGCGGAACAACTCTTGAGCAGGTAGAATGGGCAAGCTAGCCCAAGTACATCTTCTACTGCAGATGCACGCCGTAGATAAACATTATAACCTTACAGTTGTACCTCGGAAGTCGAACAGAATCCGTTCTGGATTTCCGTTCGACTTCCAAAATGTTCGACTTTCAAAGCGCAGCTTCTGCTTGGCTGCAGGAAGCTCCTGCAGCCAATTGGAAGCCGTGGAAGCCCCACTGGATGTTCAGCTTCCAAAAGAACATTTGAAAACTGGAACAATCACTTCCGGTTTTCGATCGCTCGGGAGCTGGAACGTTTGACTCCCAAGGTGTTTGGGAGCTGAGGTACAACTGTACTATGGTTTGTTAAATTTTTCTTTCTACATTAAACGTGGCTTATTTTTTTAAGTGTCAACCAGGCTTGATTAGCATGGTCCAGATATTTCAACTGGTGTAAAACATCTGCCTCCAAACAGATGTTGGTGATGGCAAAGTGGTTGGAGTACGTAGCACCAATATTGTACAAGTTGCACCAGTTGCCGGTACATTTCTGGGCACAGTTTATGGTGGTGCTATTTACTTATGTAGTCTGGGACCAGATTACCTAAAGAAGCGCCTTCACATGTATGAATCTGCCCTTGCCTGAAAATCGCCTTTGGAGGCCCTTCACATACAACAGCTATTGAAGTAAGCATAAAGGATGGGGCCTTTTCAGCAGTGGAACCACAGCTGGGGGACGTGTGGCCTCTTCACCACAGGCCTGTGAGCCTGTAATGACGTATTTCAGGTTGCTTCCCCCCTCAAACTCTAAGCTGGTTCTTTTGGTGTGAACTGATGTTGAAATGTTTTGACTGGTTTTATTCTTCCAGCAGTTGTTTCATATTTTTGATACCTCTATGTTCGATTTAAGTATATTGTTGTTTTTCATGGAAGCTGCCATATGAGGACTTTGCTCCTAAGAGATGGCCTGAAACGATATTAAATAAATATATTGGAGAAACATGAGTGCTGATTGCCATTTCACCGTCCATTTGAAAGGAAGAACGTGATGATGGGCTAGTGAGGCTGTATTTAGGTTAAGAGCTTATCCAGTATATCTGATTTTTTTTCTTTAGCGGAAGCTAAACCATATCCAGTATGTGTCTATTAGGATGAATGAATGAAACTCTTAGAGCTCTTGATCATATGCCTCTCCTTTCTTTTATTTTGGCCATGAGTCTTGACTCTATTTTTAGTCCCTCTCTAGGTCCCTGATATATCCCTGTGTCAAATTTGCACAGATTGCAAGTTTGCCCACTACAGTTTTCTGGCCGGTGCTAGCCTTAGCAGTCAGCTAGTATCTGGTGTTCAAGATGCTGTACAGATTGTTCTGATAGATCTCTTTAAAAAAATCTTACTCAAATCTAAAGTGATGCCTATGGGAATCCAAAGAGTGCTTTGTCAACAATAAATTGTTTTTATATATGAAATTGCTTCATATGTATGTTTTTAATCGTAGGTGTTAAATTGCTTTGAGATGTTTCACAGGAAGTGATTTATTTATTTAAAGATCATTTGTTTATTTATCAAATTGGAGTTGGAAGAGACCATGAGGGTCATCTAGTCAACCCCCTGTAGTGCAGGCATCTTTTGCCCAATGTGGAGCTCAAACCCATGAGCCTGAGACTAAGATGCGTTCTTTCTGTTTCTCTGTGCAGTGATTTGTAGCTTTTGAAAAAAAGGGTTTTGTGTGCTCTAGGGTAGATGTGTGAAAACACAGGACACCTGAGTTGTGGCTTTCTGCTCTGCATATTGCCACAGATATTTTAAAGGAAAGCTACATGCTGTGCATTCTGTAATGGTTTTTGTTTCAGAATATGGGATGTTCCTTAAAAGTAAGGGACACCTGGCAGATTTATTGACTGTAAACAAGACACCTAACTCTGGCACTTCATGCAAGTATATGTTTGCTGGCTGGTTAGCTATGAAACAGCTTGAGTCATTTGAACCATGTGAAAATCTAAATTCCATTTGGTTGTTTTTAATGGGATGATGACATATTTGCTTCCTGTCTTACACGGGTTGACTCAGGTGCATACCTGGAAATCTTTTTCGTTGTTGAGCTACCTGAGCCACATTGAAAATGATTGCTGTTCCTTGGCACAGGAAGTGATTATATCCACATAATGTGGAGGCATCCACATTATATCCTGAGATGCAGAAGCTTCTCACTACTATCTGTGTGAAGTGTTCGGAGGTGCTCTTTCCATCACTGGCTCCCCAAAAATGAGAGCAGGGGCCAAGTGAGCAGCTATGCTGGATAGTGGCTTCTCCAAATCTGTCCTTATTTTGAACTTTGGCCACATTCACAACATATATTTAAATTAGTATGATACCACTTTATACAGTCATGCCCCCCCATAATAATTATGGGAGTTGCTGTATGTTGCAGAATTGGTAAAGGTAAAGGTAAAGGGACCCCTGACCGTTGGGTCCAGTCGTGGCCGACTCTGGGGTTGTGGCGCTCATCTCGCTTTATTGGCTGAGGGAGCCGGCGTACAGCTTCCAGGTCATGTGGCCAGCATGACTAAGCCGCTTCTGGCGAACCAGAGCAGCACACAGAAACGCCGTTTACCTTCCTGCCAGAGCAGTACCTATTTATCTACTTGCACTTTGACGTGCTTTCAAACTGCTAGGTTGGCAGGAGCAGGGACTAAGCAATGGAAGCTCACTCCATGGTGGGGATTCAAACCGCTGACCTTCTGATCAGCAAGTCCTAGGTGTTATGTACTGAAGTTCTCACCCTGGGCCAGCAGGGGGATACTGTAGATAGTTATGCAAATGAAGGATCGAAAAGTGACGTTCAGTGATTGGATAGTTTTGTATGCAAATGAAGGATTGAAAAGTGACGTTCAGTGATTGGATAGTTTTAGAATGTTGCAACAGTTACAATTGTTCTGTAGCTCTATATAAGCAGGCTGACTAAGCTCCTCAGCCAGTTCTGTTCCAGCTTACAAAATAAAGTGCTGCTTTGGGGAAATCGCTGTGTCGTCTGCTATGTCAACCCACAACTTAACACTAGGCTCTGTGGTTTAACCCACAGCGCCACCCGCGTCCCTTGCAGAATTGTTAGGAGACCCCTATTCCCCTCCCAGAGCTACGGTTCCCTGGAAAGAGGGTTTGCTTGTTAAACCGCTCTGGGAATTGTAGCTCTGTGTGGAGAACAGGGATCTCCTAGCAATCCTCTGCATCCTCAACAAACTACAGTTCCCAGTATTCTTTGGGGAAGCCATGGCTGCTGAAAGGTACAGTGCTTTAAATGTATAGTGCGAATGAGCCTTTAGTTAGGCGGTCTTCGAGTGGCCTATCAATTAATTGACTGGTCTTTTGACTGCTTATTATTTGATTGTGGTTAAACATTGTCAAATATTTCATGAAGCTGATAACATTGCTGTGTAGGTGGCAGCTAAACAAAAAATGCATTGTGTTGTCCTTTGCTAGCCTGAGTAGGAGTGAGAGCTATTTGCTTTCAGCACAGCAGCAGTGGGGGGTGGGAGAAACAAAGCCTCTCCTACTGGCCACCTGCTCTGAGTGCCAACATCTGCAAAGAGAAAAAGGAACAGAAACATCTCTCAGTCATTTTAAACAACAAAAAGCCTCAAGGTAACTTGACAGGATAGAATGCAAGACATAAAAGCAATGTCAGGAAACAATGCAAAAGGCTCATTCAGTAACGTGTTTCATAAGGGCAAGTCCTACCCCCCAGTGTTTGAAATTCACCAGGCACATTTTGCACCTGGCTACCAGCCACCTGTGACCTAGTGAAGATGCCCAGGTACCAAAATGGCACCTGACATCTCCGTCATCTGGAGGTGCATTCCTGGAGATCCTTGGATCTTGACTATTTTCACACACTAGCAACACATCCTGTAGAATTATATTAATGATATTTTATCTGCACAATCAGAATGAATTTCAGGAACCAAAAGGTTGTATTGAAAAATATGACTTTTGAGCCGTCTGGCCCAAAAATGGCAACTAGGCATACCGTTTCAGTGACCGTTTCAGTTTAAGGGGCCATTTGGCACCTAGCTTATATATCTGAGTTTCTAACCCACAACACAACATAGGAAAACCACCGTAAGAGGCCACATTAATTAGCCAAAGGCCTGAGTAAACAAAAAGGACTTGGCCCGGTGCCTAAAGACTGGCAGGGATGGTGTCAGACATGTCTCCCTGAGAAGAACATTCCATAGATGGAGTCAACCCTGAAAGGTCCATTCTCATGTGGCCACCATTCACACCTCCTTTGGGTGGGGAACACAGAAGGGCTTCTGTTGAAGACTGCAGGGTTTGGGTTGGTTCATATGGAAAGAAGCAGTCCTTGAGGTATTATGGTCTTCAGCCCTATAACTTCCCAAACGTGAGTCTCCAGCTATTGTTGGACTACAATTCCCATCATCCCTGGTTAGCAGGATCAGTGGTCAGGGATGATGAGAACTGTAGTCCAAAAACAGTTGGAGACCCACATTTGGGAAACCCTGCTATAGGGATTTAAAGGTCAAAGCCAACACTTTGAATTGAGCCTAGAAACAAATTGGTAACCAGTGCAGTCAGGCTGGAGTCAATGTAATCTATTCAGGCCTTCTGGTCCCAGTCAGTAACCTATGACCAGCTAGCCATGGTTGCTGGAGGAGCCATGGACGCATAAGCTGTGGCTTCCATATTTCATTGGACTAGAACGCCCATGATTCCTCGCCATTGGCTATGCCGGCTGGGACAACGCTTGGAGGGCCACAGTTTCCCCATCCCCAGACTACCCTCTGCATATGATCTGAGCATAGGATTGCAGCATTAGTGGGTTCCTGAACCTAGGAAGCTGACTTATACGGAGTCAGGCCATTGGCCCGTGCAGCACTTCTTCACCATTGGTCTTCCAGTGGTGGGTTAGGACTTGCTGTTAGGTTGTAGCCTGATCTAAGGTGGGTTGCATCAGCAGCATTACTACCATATAAATCTCCAGGATTTCAGGTAGGGGTCTTTCGTAGTCCTACCTGGAGGTGCCAAGGGATGAAACTGGGACCCTCTGCATGCCAGGGAGGTGCCCCTTTGCCACAGCCCTTTCCTGATGATGCTCTTATCTGTTAAATTCCTGGGAAGGGTTGAATTTGAGTTAACTCTCTTTCAAGTGCGACAATTATTTCACAATACACAAGCAGCCCAATGCCCAACCCTAACTTTGGCAAGCCATTGTGTTTGCCTTAGCCCTGCCTCTCCCGTCTGCAAAATAGATGGAAAATAATGTGCTACTTAACAGTTTCGTTACAAGAATTGCAACAATAATGTATAGACCTTTGCATCCTTGCGTTACATAAATGTTCAGTATTTAATCTGGTAACTTCCAGGGGCGGATCTGTTTTTTTGTTTTGCAGGAGAACTGCATCTATCTCCGCACAATTGTGAAAGTCACATTCTGTGAGCTGCTGGCCTAAGTAGGTTAGTCTGATGTTTTACTCCGTGACAAAGAATTCCCCTCACACACACCTTCAAAGTCCTCATTTAAAGTCCCCCCTCTGCCACTCCAAAGGACTAATTGCTTCTTATCAAACAAAATATATTGGTGGGGAGAAAAAGCTTTGAATGCATGGTGAGCTATGACCTTGCCCCATGGAGACAGCGGTTTTGTGTGCTTTTGCTTAAGAGCTTTTTCTAAAACATCCAAGCTCTATACTGTATATGCTTGTTATGAAAACCAAAGGCCAAACAGGCTTAGTATGGCTTGATTCAGCTTCATACCAAAACTAAACTAAATTCTGTTTCAACAGGCAAGCATTGCTTGTTTTGTGAAATGACATCTGTGCGTAGTGACTTAGGGCACCATCCACTTGCGGCCCTGGTGCTTGTGGAAGGACTTTAGATCCAGTGAATGCCCTCTGCTAATGGAAAAGTGGGGAAAGCGGTTTTATTTGTGGCAGATTCCTCCTTCCTCTTCAGCCGCAATACTTTTTTAAAAAGAAGATTGACTTCAGAGGTTTGGGGGACTCCCTACAAACAGGGTGAAAGATGGCATGCGTGGCCTTGGAATGGAAAGCACATATTGGCAAAATCCTCATGCCTCTCCTTTGGGTAATGGCCTTGTCCATTGGATCAAAAGCACTTCTGTGAGTGGTGCAAGAGCACCAACCTGGATTCCACCTTCTAATAATAATAATTAAAAAAACTGAAGTGCGTTTTGTAAAAAAAAAAAAAAAGTTCACCTAAACAGGTCTAGATGACTTCAGTATGCTTGCTCACCCCAGGTTCTGTGTACTGTATTGACAAAAGTGATCCCAAAATGCCTCTCAACGATGAGCAGAACGGTGACTGCGATTCTTCCCGGTTCTCCGAAAGCACAGCTTCTTCTTCCAGCGACTCCGAATATTCAAGGCAGAGTTTCACCAGTGACTCTTCAAGCAAGCCCAGCTCTCCAGCTTGTAAGCTAGCATGAGCTACTGGTGCATATGGCAGGAAATTTGAGAACCACTACCTTGTGTGCAAAATTGATGTTCATATTTGGTTTCCCCACCCCGCCCGCCCCCCCAGTTTCAAGGGTTTCATCTGCTGGCTTCACTGTACAAGAAATATCCAAGCTGTAGGCCAGAGTGGGGAAGCAGTGGCTGTCTGGGTGTTGCTAGCCTTTATCTTCCATGAAGTCCATATTCTTTGATCTTTGTTAGAGGCAGTGGGAAATCACAAGTGGGGAGAATGCTATTCCTCTCGGGAACTGCTTGCAGGTTTCCCATAGACAGTTAGTTGGCTGTAATAACAGGATGCTGGACTAAATGGGCCACTGGCCTGATCCAGCAGGACTTTTCTTAGGTTCTTAACTCCCATCAGGTCCAGCTAGTGTGGCCAATGGTCAACAGGGATGGATGTTGTAGTCCTGCAACATCTAAGATAAAGGTAAAGGGTCCCCTGACCATTAGGTCCAGTCGTGGCCGACTCTGGGGTTGGGGCGCTCATCTCGCTTTATTGGCCAAGGGAGCCGGCGTACATGTGGCCAGCATGACTAAGCTGCTTCTGGTGAACCAGAGCAGCGCACGGAAACGCCGTTTACCTTCCCACTGAAGCGGTACCTATTTATCTACTTGCACTTTGTCGTGCTTTCGAACTGCTAGGTTGGCAGGAGCAGGGACCGAGCAAGGGGAGCTCACCCCATTGCGGGGATTCAAACCGCCCACCTTCTGATCGGCAAGTCCTAGGCTCTGTAGTTTAACCCACAGTGCCACCCGCGCCCCTTCTCCTGCAACACCTAGAGGGCCACAAATCTAGATGTATGTTTTAGTTGAAATTCCTGCATTGGATTGGACTAAATGACCCTCGGGGTCCCTCTCTACTCTCCAATTCTAAGACTCTACAAAATTCTCCACCTTTGCTCCAAGCAGTTAACTACCATTATGGAAAAAGGGCTGAATGTTTATTTAAATTGTGTTTATGTATATTATTGGGTTCACCCTTTATCATCTCCACTTACAAAGGACCCATTCAGAAATCCTAAAGCTCTGAAGTGTTTGCATGTTAAGCTTTCACGCTAAACATGTTTTCCCTTCCTTTGTCCCAGCTACAAGCCCTCCCAAAGTGGTTACATTTGATGAAATGATGGCAGCAGCAAGAAACTTGTCAAACTTGACTCTGGCTCACGAAATTGCTGTAAACGAAAGCTTTCATTTGGAGCGCACTGAACATCCACCCAACAGGTAAGCAAGAGGGGTTTAGTAATTTCACAGAAGGGACTTTAGGGCCCCAACCAAGTTTTTTTTACCATTTAGGGTTGGACAGGTATGAGATGTTTCAGTCTGGCCAACACAACAGGTAGATTTTAATAAGGGCAAAATGCAGTAAAACAATAAATTCAGTTTTAAAGCAAGAAAAGACACTAGGGGCTCTTAAACATAAAATGTCTGAATCACTGCTGCTTGGCACCTAAAAAAATTTAAATCCACCAAGTGACTCCAGACATTCTGATTTTCCTATGGGAATGGAAACAGGATTCAGGGAGAGGTTTATATCCACGTTTAATTAAGAAGAAAACCTAAATATGATAAGAAACTTTCCAGTATTGCATATCCGATTCTTTCTCTTTGGTAGATACAGGAACAATTTTTTCCTAGTTTTCTGTTCTAGCTGCAGTTGTTCTGGTGGGACCACTCCCACAACTTCCTATAATCTGGCACAACCCTCCTTGGCATCAACCCAAATGCCTCTCCCATAGGGATGTGAGGAGGCATCAGTTTTCATTCCAGCCTGTGCTTGTCACCTGCAGCGCTGTTTCCATCCTGCTGCAGCTCAGTTGCTAACAAAAAACACTTATTTGTCTCTGTATCTGCTGTGGTGGAATTTCATGTAATTACATTATTTAAAAATTGATTGCTTATTGCTGTTGTTTTGACTCTCATGGTTGTATCAACCACAGAAAAAACAAAACACCTATATAGACTGATACAATGTGTGTTTTATTCAGCACCATTCATTTCAGTGCAAATGTTAACTCTGTTAACTATTTACATTATTTTCCTGCCTGCCACAGCTTGACTAGAAGGGTGAAGCAAATTGTGCACCAAGCATTCTGGGATCGTTTGGAGGAAGACTTGAATGAAGATCCTCCCGAATATGAACATGCCATCAAGCTGTTTGAAGAAATTAAAGAGGTGAGTTAACCTTGGGTTTCTTTTTTTCTCTTTTTCTTTTGTCAGCTTAGGTCCAGTTATATAATTTTATCAGTACAGCAACACTTCTGCTCTAATCCTAAGACCTGCATTACCGCGGTGAGCCAGTTTAACTACAGCTGCTGCACCTTACTTGATTCGTGTGTGTGTGTGTGTGTTTAAATATTTCAGATTCTTCTTTCTTTCCTGAACCCTGGGGCTAACAGGATGCGAAGCCAAATCTGTGAAGTTCTCGATGCCGACCTCATAAGGCAGCAGGCCAAGCACAATGCGGTTGACATCCAGGGTCTCGCAAACTATGTCATTAGCACCATGGGGAAGCTGTGTGCTCCAATAAGGGATCATGATGTCAACCAGTTAAAAGCTACTGGGAACATTGTCGTATTGTTCAGGTTGGTGTGCGGTTTTCCTTTTTCGCTTTGTTCTTTATCATTATTCTTTTAGCATTGTTCAAAGAATTGGCGAAAAACTTGGATTTTTCAAATATAGTGATCTGGAGTGGGATCCAGAGTTTCCCAAACTTGGGTCTCCAGCTGTTTTTGGACTACATTTCCCATCATCACTGACCACTGGTCCTGCGAGCTAGGGATGCTGGGAGTTGTAGTCCAAAAACAGCGGGAAACCCAAATTAAGGGCTGCCAAGAGGGTGCACCTTGGCCAGCAACCTTGTTGCATTTTATTTTCCTTCATGCTGCTTGTTTGTATTGATTCTAACATTTGTAGTTTTACTACTCAAACATGCTGCTCCCTCTAGTAGTGCTTTCCATGAAGAAATCATTTCAGAGGGCTTGCCAATGTGGCACCCATGGATGTCTTCCTCTGATGCTCACAAAGCCTCCGAGTGCCCCACTTGCTACCCATGTGGTCATGAGGTGGTGAGAGTGGTTGCCTTTTTCTCCTTTGAAAAGTAGAGCAGAAGGAGGATGTTGCAAGAGTGATCCTTGTTCCTCCCTTCAGCTCTCCGTGCTTTTCAAGATCAAAATTAATTCTACTAGATCCAGCTTCTACGTATATTCCTTGTGTGGGGCACACAAAAATACATCTGGGCCAAAGGGGTTTTGCAGGCACCTGCCAAGCCCTGCCCATAGTGCTTTGCAAGCACTGATCACCTGCTGTACCTCAAAGTGGGTCTGAGTTTGTATTAAGATGTTTGCTATCTTCCTATGTCTGCTGAAGCCATTGTAACATGGTAAATCAAGCAGTGATGTGAAGGGGAGTACTTGGATCATTTTAGTGGGATTTTGCTGGCTTAACTGCAAATACACTATTTTAAGTAGGTTGTAAACCAGAATATTTTAATTGCATTGCTTGTGAGCATTTAGTAGAAGCTGTGCATTATATTAACACAGAGATACTACAAATGCACAGAGTAAGTTCATGAATTGCCATGGCGGTGTCTAATAGTAGTTTGACTGTGTTGCAATTTATCTGTGATGCTTGAGCAGTGGGGCGGTTGCCCTTTGCAAACTGGACTACTGGGGAATTAAGATAAGCCTGTGTCTCTGCATATGCTGCGTGGCGGGGAAAGGACAACGTAATCAACTTTCCTATGATGACATGGCTGCAAACTATTTTTGTTTGTTGTATTCTTACAGGCAAATATTCCACGTTCTGGATCTCATGACAATGGATATGGCTAATTTTACTATTCGGAGCCTTCGACCTCATCTTCAGCGTAACTTGGTGGATTATGAAAGAGCAAAATTCCAAGATATACTTGAAGAAACGCCAAGTATGTCCTTTGTTTACATAGGCGGGTATATAGCCAATGGCCTGGTGATGCAGGCAGCTGCCTGGGGCCTCTAGTTAAGAAGAGGTCCAAGGGGAGATTTACATTTTCCTTCCTCCTCAATGAACTGAAAGCTCCAGCAGGAAGAAATTTGATCTTTTAAGCCACCTTCTAAAACCTGTTCGTGGTGCTATACCAGAGAAGCAACCTTTAAACAATGCTTTTGGTCAGGAGTGTTAGCCAAGTCTCCTTATTCAGTATATGAGAGACCTGCAAGCTATATAGTATTTGTGCAAATCCTTGGACTCCAACCTACTGACACAACTGATGACAGGAATTAATAATAGTACTAGTAATAGTAATAATAATAATTTTATTATTTATACCCTGCCCATCTGGCTGGGTTTTCCCAGCCACTCTGGGCAGCTTCCAACAAAATATTAAAATACAATAATCTTTTAAACATTAAAAGCTTCCCAAGGGCTGCTTTCAGATGTCTTCTAAAAGTCTGGTAGTTGTTTTTCTCTTTGACATCTGGTGGGAGGGCATTCCACAGGGTGGGTGCCACTACTGAGAAGGCCCTGTGCCTGGTTCCCTGTAACTTGGCCGCTTGCAGTGAGGGAACCACCAGAAGGCCCTCGGCACTGGACCTCAGTGTCCAGGTAGAACGATGGGGGTGGAGACGCTCCTTCAGGTATACTGGGCCGAGGCTGTTTAGGGCTTTAAAGGTCAGCACCAGCACTTTGAACTGTGCTCAGAAATGTTATATTCAGGCAGTGTTTTCATCAGGGGACACTGTGAGTGCTGCACTGCTTTGTCAGGGATGGGGGGAGCAGAGAAGTTGGGGGGGTGTTGCTTCGTTTCTGGTTGAGAGCTAAAGCACATTCAAGGAACATGTCGTGTGGAGACTCAAATATAGTTAGGGGAAAGTCATGAAAAAAGAATAAACTGCCATGTGAATGCAATTGCACTTCCAGGAGAAGGCCCTACCTTCCTCCGGTACAGTCTGTTGTGATGCTATATGTCTTGTTGCGCAGGCAGAACTTGTGCTGACAGTGGCTACGGCACAAGACAGGCAGCTTTCTTCAGTGAGCGCTACCTCCATTGCAATACACACAGCGGCATTATAATACAATGCAGGCAGAATTGCAACTGGTCTGCTATGATGTGATCTCCATCAAAGAGCACTGTAGCTGTTCTGTGCCTTTCTGCAGTTCTCTACTTCTACCTCCTTTTTGCGAGCAGGGCCTTGGGGTTTGCCTTCCTCCACAGAGTGTGCCTCCCCCAGGTGTGCAATAATAAAACAGTTTCTGTTTCTGTCTTGTAATGTTTAGGTGCCCTGGACTTGACCACAGAATGGATAAGGGAATCTATACAAGATGAATTGTCTTCTCTTTCCTGTGAAACATCTTCGTGTGCTGGTGCTAATGGGATGTCCAAAACAAATCTGAGTCCTACTTCGGTGCTAACAAACAGCTACTTGAAACTCTTGCAGTGGGATTACCAGAAAAAGCCTGTTCCTGAGGTAACATGTGACTCTTGCTCACTAAGACAGGGATAGGAAATCTGTGGGCCCTGCAGGTGTTGGGGGACTACAACTCCCATCATCCCTGACCATTGGCCATGTTTGTCAGGGCTGATGGGAGTCCAACAACATCTGAAGGGCACAGGATCCCCAGCCCTGATGTAAGAGCTTCCTCCTCACCCACCATGACCAGTCCCAGAGCATAGTTTCCTATCTCCATGTGAAGAAAGTAGCCTTGCAGCAAGTTTGTGGGAAGGAAGGAAGGCTAAGTAGCCAAAGCAACTCTTATGTGCTGGAATGTGCACATTGAAAAATGAAGATGCAAAATAAACTATTAAAAAGGCCAAAATGCACACAAGAAAAGTGGGAAGTTGTCACATGGATGGTTACAATTCAGTGTGCTTTCAACAATCATTCCATCTGACAAAGGGCACATTCACGCAATGCATTTAGAGCACCATGATGGCACTTCAAACAGTTATGCATCCCTCAAAGAATTCTGGGAGCTGCAGGTTGTTAAGGTTGCTGAGAGTTGTTAGGAGATCCCTATCCCCCTTCCCAGAGCTACAATTCCCAAAGAGGTTTAACAACCTGCCCCTCTTCCCAGGGAACTATGGGAATTGTAGCTCTGGGAAGGGGAATAGGGATCTCCTAACAATTCTCAGAACCTGTAAAAATTTCAGATCCCAGGTTTATTTGGAGAATGTCATGACTGATTTTAAAGTGGGATAACTTAAATGTATGGTGTGAATGCGGTCTAAATGAACTCCTTTGACAATAAATTGAACTCCTGGTAAAATACATATCTTTGATATTCAGTCTCATTGGAGATTTGACTGTTTTGTTGACACTCTTTTCTAAACATCTTATTCCAGACATTAATGACAGATGAAGGTCGTCTTCAGGAGTTAACAGAGAAACTGAATCAGTTGAAGGTTATAGCGTGTGTGTCTCTCATAACAAGCAACATGTTGGCTGCAGTTATTGAGGGCATTCCCGATTTTGTAGACAAACAAAAGCGGATTTCATTTGTGCTACTTGAAGGAATGAATAAGAAGTAAGTATTTAGACTTGAGTGTTGGAACTTACTGAAAACCTATATGAAAAGTAAATATGGGGTCAGGAATCAAAGGCAGTATCTGATAGAATTAACATGGTTTTCTCCTCACCCCCCTTTTTTGCAGGAGTTTTGATCTGAAAGAAGCTCTTAATGCAATAGGTATTCGTACGTGTAGTGAAATAAATGAGTCGGTGACTGAGAGAGGCTTCCCACCACTAAATAAGGAAGTGCAAACAAATTTAGTAGGGCAGCTCTGCAACATCGTTGAAGAAGACAATCCTATCAACTCCTTAATTGGTTAGTAACTTAACTCTCTGGCTACAGGCATCTTAATGTTTTAAGTGTATATGTCATTGTCGTGATTTCAAATAAAATTGTGATTGCCAGTCACTATTATCAAATACTGTGGCATGAAAAAGGCTGCCCTCATTGACCTGGTTCTCATGTAATACTAAGCCATGGCTTAGTGCAAATGCTCAGGTTCCTAGAGAGATAGTGGCTGCTTTGTTTCTCCTCTGGTCTTGCTGCTACTGCAGTGCTGTGAGCTAAACCATGGTTAGACTTAGTGTATCATCCAAATCAGGACGCATGGTTTGTCTTGACAAGCCAGGAGCTGTAGCCAAAACGTTTGTTCTATGTCTTATGCCTTGTGGGTTTATCTGGCTTCGGATGACACGCTAAGCCAAACCAGGGCTTAGCTTGCAGTGGCAGGACTGAAGCAGGAACACACTGGCTATGATATCCCGTCTAGGCTTAGGGCATTACATGTGAACTTAGCCACTGTGTGCAGTTCAAACTTAGTTTATAGTTCTTTGTATAACAGATAACTTCAAATAGATTGAAGTCTGGAATCAGTGTATGTAAGCCCCCATCTCTGCAATTGGGGAGGACAACAGACTTTGTACCTTTCTCTACACACATTTGTTTATGTGTGAACAGAACTTCCACACGCTGAGCTGTGTGTGCAGAGGGATCTGTCTATGTGTTTGGTTGAAGGGTTTCTGACTGTAGATCAGGGGTAACTAAATCTGTGTGGTGGGGTTTGCTACTATTACTCTTTGGCCTTGCCTGGTCACCTTACCAGTTCTACAGAGGAAAAAGGCAGGGGTTATATAATAACTACAGGAGGTTAATCTCCCTAACTACTCCTTGGCTGATCTAGGCAACTGCACCCTGAACATTCTTGTTCTCCCTGTCCTCTAAAAAAAAAACCCCACCATACCTAAATGCCACCCCCTCCTGACTGGGGCAGAAGCGCAAGGAGTATGTTCAAAAGAGCAGAGGAAACAGCTTGCTGTAATAAGGACTGGCTTCCTGATTTCTGTCTCTGCCCCTTGAAGGCCTTGTTGGAAACATGTGAACCCACGCTTCAGTGCAGATTTAAATTTATCTTCACAGGAAATGCAGAAACCTTCCAAAGGCTACTGTACTGTAGCAAAACAAGTTGCAATCCCAACTTTAAAATGGTTGATGAGATGTCCACAGCACTATATGTGGGTGTCTTGAGATAGTGACACCTATGTATGTAGACCTCCTCAGCAACTTGATCATACGGGGTTTCAATTCCTGGGAAGTCTGTCCACATAGATGGACATAAGCTTCACTTGCTCAGCTGTCCACTCTTAGCACATGGGTTTGGGGGTGGAGCCTGTGTTGAGGTTGTGCTGCTTCTTTCTATGTATGCATGGATGCTTTTCGTGCAGTTAAAACATGAAGGGGCCTACTTCATTCATATTTAGAACATTATGCTGTCTGTCTTGAATGATACAAGCCAAAGTTCAGTTGCATTCAGGTTCAGGACAGGATGCTGGGCTAGATTCACTACTGGCCGATTCTTACTTTCTTAAATTCTAATTATGTGATGTGTTTCTCCCCCTCTCTAGATAAACGGATTCATTTGTACATGAGAAGCTTGCTTGCTTCTCCAGGTTTTCAAAAGTCTACGCCCACAATTCCAGGAGGCCTTGCTGTGATTCAGACTGAGATAGAGACCATTGGATCACAGTATGCCAACATTGTTAACCTGAATAAACAGGTGTATGGACCATTCTATGCAAGTATTTTCCGAAAACTGCTCTTCAGTGAAGCAAGCAAAGCAGAGCCTGAACCTTCTACTAACTGAAATACTTGGGTCTCTTTTGTTCCTTCCTGGTCACAGTATTTATATTGTGATTTGTATTCTTCTCAACGTGCATGGCTTGCAACGATGACTGTTACAGAGAGATAAATCTGTGTGTCTAAGTGGGCTAGACCAGAGATACTATATATAAATAAAATGTCCCTTGAATCTGCAAAGTTACTAAAAAAAATTTAAATAATTAATTTTGTTTATAATGGCAGATTGTAACATTTATTGCACTTGCTTACTGTAGATGTATTCTCTTGCAAACAGTTTTGACATGTTGGAGAAATGCTTGCTGATGTTTTAGTAACATGCTTATTCCAATGCCTTCAGAGCAATAAAACTGAAGTTAGTGGTTCAGATTTGATCTGAATTAAAATATTAAGCTCTTAATCCCAACCCCACCGCTCTTTTTCCAAATTGGCTTGTTAACAAAACCCTATTTTCATTCCTCCATATCCCTCCTTTGCTTCTGTGCTGGCAACTGTGGGGTGGGGTGGAAGGGGATGGCTCTCATCTGATTGCTCCTGAACTGCTGCCTGCTTCATGAGCGGTCTTCATAGCAGCCCAGTTCCAAACTGCTTAGAGGTATTAAAAAACAAACAACCCCCTGCATAGTCTAGCTGGCAGATGGAAGGGTAATAAGTGCACATTTTTCAAGCAAGCCACAGGAATGTTTTGATGTAGTAGATTGCTTGAGAGCCTGCATTATTATATGCAAACTATATATTTATATATATTTGCATATCTCAAACTATTCAATATAGGAAAGCTTCATTACTTTGGTTATCTAATCATCCCTTTTATACCAGAAATGAATCATGACTTGAACAAAATTACTTCTAGGAAGTACAGTTTATAATACTAATTCACTGTGATCTTTTTCAATAACAAACTTTTTAAGTATATAAATTGGGAGTCTCCAAATACTCCCAATTGATATTTTATATCCCTAAAGTGTGTTTTTGGTAAGAATGAATCTTTATTCACTTTGGGAGTAAGGTTCAAAACCATTTGCCATACAATGTTTTTGATGTGTCTATCGCAGAGGACCTTGATATAAAAAGCATTGTAGTTTTATTGGCAATTTTGATTTTTTAAATAAAAAAAATGGAAATGTACAACCTTCTTTTTAAAATCTCTACCAAGTATATCTCAGCTATCTCAGACTAAGGCTGACTTCCTGCCTGAGGGTGGGGAGAGGCAGAATTATTTCTTTCCTTCCTAGAAGTTTTGATTTCCCTGTGGGATTAAGCAAAATGACAAAATGGTGAATGCGTATTCAGTTATTGTTCAGTTCAATGAATTCAGTGGTGCTAGTGATAGCCATATGTGACTCTACAGACTACTCTCTCAAACCACACAATCCTTTTCAAGATGCCTTTGGAAGAGAGTGTTCCTTGCCCTGCACTTGCCTTGCACTAAGATAGCCTTCCCCAGCCTGCTGCTCTCCTGATGTTGCAGGACTCCAGTTCCCTTAACCGCTGACCTGGCAGGGCATAAGGCTGAGGAAGGCTGCTCTAAGATTTTATGTCCAATTACAAGGAATAGGAATTTAATATATATTTTTCACGTTTTAAAATTGTTAGGCTGACTTGGAGAACCTCTGCTTTGTGGGCGCTATTGCAATATAAAGCGTATGTTAACAATAAATAATAAGACTTGATGCACAAACTATTTGTATCAAGAAGCCAATAGCACCCCAAATTCTGATAAGGGAACTCTATACTTTCTTAAATTTGAAAGGAAAATATATTAAATAGTCTAAACTAATACGTGTGACTTAGATATGGCTAGGTTATGTTATAAACATCCACAAGAAACCTTATTGTAATCATTTTATTGTAGTATATATCTTTTTCTGTTTTCTTAAGCACTCTGCAGGAGTCAAATAGAGCCACAGTCCCTCCACAAGAGTCTAATTTACCTGGGAAACAATAATATTTATTAGAAAACACTCATGCAGAGGCCTAAGAGAAAGCAAGCTTTGTTTTGTGATTTTATAAATGACTTTAAAGGGGCATTTTATATAGCATGGTATGTCCATTCAGCAATATTTGAATGTTTCTTAGCTAATGTTCACAGCCTTTTGGATGTTGAAATTAATCAGTTAACTTGTCCCTCCTGCATGTTGTTTTCTGAAATAATCCAAATATGTTTACTTTTGTTAGCTTAACGAAAGCAAGATAGTGTATGTAACTGGTTTGTGAGATGGGTTTTTCTGTGTGTTAATATTTCGTATTCATTAAAATTTGTTTGTGATTTAAAATGTTGTGGAGATTCCCTCTCATTTAAAGTAGTAAAACAAAAAAAGATGCAACTGCAGAGACCATTTATTCTTGGCTATTTTGAATGTGGACGCTGCAGCCCAAGTTGGGAACAGGTCAACTGATGGCTAAATGAAGTTCAGCTCTGCACAGACCCATGAGAAGCCGCCATTGCTAACTAATTCAAAAATCCAGGGAGATTTAGAACCAGAGAGGGCCATAGCTCTGCAACAGAGCATCTGATTTGCATGCAGATGATAGCAGGTTCAATCCCTGGCATCTCCAGGTAGGGTTGTGAATGTCCCCTGTCTGAAATCCTAGGGATCTGCTCCAGTGTAAACAATATGGTAGATGGACTAATGGCAGCTTCTGATGTCCCTAATATGGATCGCCCACTGTGCTCCACTTTTGCCACTATTCACAATGGTGTGAACAGCTGTGGGCAGGGCATATCAAATGAAGGAAATAGGCTGCCATTACAGTTCACAATCTCTCCTTTTGCCAATATTCACTGTGGTGTGGGCAGGGCGTATCAAGTTAAATAGCTGCATTTGTTTCCCTGTGAGCTATCCCTATGAGCTATTGGGCACACTTGGCATCTTCATGTAAAAGCAATACTACTTTAGCCATGGCAGTGTGAGCGTTTGTTTTTAATTAAAAATTACTATTAACAATAAGCAAAAAGGGGCCACTACAAGCCATTAGTATGTACCTGTTGCCTTCATTGTTGTTGGGACTCAGGAATACTTAGCAGCAGAATGAAAACAAACTGCTGCCACCTAGATGTATGCAGTGGGTTGCAGTAGGTCCAAGCTGCCAGTTGGGTTGCCAACATATTGTTAGAAGCAGCATTAAACTGCTAACCCAACCATTGGTAGTGATCCAACATTTGAGGAAGGAGGAGACACCCAGAATCAGTCCAAGTGACGGCATATGATCACAATGGCAGTCCCTAGGTTGAATCAGGTTACATTTAAAACATTCCTGGGTTAGTAGTTTATTTCTAAAGTCAGGTAGGTTCTGTTCTATGGATACCAATCCTTTCTTTTCTTGCTTTCTATACAGTGCTGCCTGTGACATCTGCATGTCAGAAATCCCACAGGTAAAACTCTTCCTGGCCGAGATGCAGAAATGGGCAACTATACATACACCTATTGTACTTCTGCCTATCAAAAAACTCTCAAAACATATATAATCAATTAGGAAAGAAGTGGCATGAACGTTAAGTATCTAATACTGTAGTGCAATCACAAAAGAAAGTTTTATTTGTTGCATTTTACTCTATTATGATGAACGGGGATGATTAGCAGATTCCTTTTTGGGGAAATCTATACCAGCGGTTTGTGTTTCTATTGCTCCCATTCGAGCAATTTCACCAAAAAGCTATTATGTTATATTCATCCATTTCGATGCTGATTGCCGCATTTACCTTTACCTTACACCGGAACTTACTCGACGTGCCACAATTTCCTGTGTGTTAGGAAACGAGGGACAGGAAGAAGCTTCCTCAGTTCAGGGATCGGTTTTGAGGAAAGCTGAGCTGTAAAGAGGAATTCTGGCGTTTCCACACTCGCTCCTGGCCAAGCAGCGCTTGAGGCAAAGACGGATCACTTCTGCGGCGGAACCTCTGCGCTGCGGGTCAAGTTGCATCTGGGGGCCGGTTTCACAACCGTACTCGGTGCGCTCTGCACAGCGCAGGCCGGGCTTTCGTCGCTTTCCCCCCCGGACTGGCTGGTTCTCTCTGCCATGGAGACGCTGGCGGCGGAGCTGGGAGCTTCAACTCCGGAGCAAGCGGCGGCTCCCGTAAACACGGTGGAGGTGAGAAGTTGGTAAAAGGAGAAGGAAGCAGGGGAGAGACGGGGGCGGCGCCTTGGCTGCCGAGGCGCCTCCTCGCTGTGGAAAACTAAATACGACGCCTCGGGGCGGCTTCAGGGGGACGCGCGCTCCGGCTCTTTCGGGCCTTTGTTTGGCCCCCGAGGCAGAGGGTGGGAGTGCATGCGCAGAGCTCCCCTTTCACTCACCTGATACTCTCTTCCCCGTTTCGGGGATACAGCAGGGACAAGTCGGTTGGCGGGTCCCAGGGTAGTGATGGGATGGGAAACCTGTGGACCTCCAGGTGCTTTTCTTTAAAAGACTCCAGCTCCCATCTTCCCTGCCCTTTTGCCATGCTGAGTGGGCTGATGGGAGTTGGAGTCCAATAGCCTTTGGATGGTCACATGGTCCATATCCCTGGTGTATCTGCGCATCAGATGAACTGGAGTTTCCCCCTTTCAATATTTTGTAATAGTGATTAGTAAGACTTGGACTTCCTTAATCTTCTTTAAGCTATCTTGGTGAACTTGTTGGTGGGAGAGGGGGCATTGTCCTTGCTGCTAGGTAAAGGTAAAGGGACCCCTGACCATTAGGTCCAGTTGTGGCCGACTCTGGGGTTGCGGCGCTCATCTCGTTTTATTGGCCGAGGGAGCCAGCGTACAGCTTCCGGGTCATGTGGCCAACATGACTAAGCCGCTTCTGGCGAACCAGAGCAGCGCACGGAAATGCTGTTTACCTTCCCACTGGAGCGGTACCTATTTATCTACTTGCACTTTGATGTGCTTTCGAACTGCTAGGTTGGCAGGAGCAGGGACTGAGCAACGGGAGCTTACCCTGTCGCGGGGATTCGAACCACCGACCTTCTGATCGGCAAGTCCTAGGCTCTGTGGTTTAACCCACAGCGACACCCGCGTCTACTTACCTGTTAATCCGAATGGCACAAGGCACTTCCACCTGCTCTTGTCACATGGACGCTGTCCGGATAATGTTTGTTTGCTATCAAATAAAAAAATGCACGTTAAAAAAGAAAGAAAGAAACGTTACTGTAGCACACATAGACAAAAGCCTACAAGCATTGCCATCTCTCTTTGTGACTCTGCTGTTCTGGATCTCCTATGACCGATAGCTTCCTAGGTCTTGAGGTTTGATGAGAAGTTTCAGGGGCTCTAGAAGAGAGGGGCTAAAGTGCAAGGACTGAGCTGGTTTCTCTTTGGCTTAATGGGTTATTTTGCGATTTATCAGGAGGGCCATAGCTCAGTGGTAGAGCATCTGCTTTGCATGCAGAATGTCCCAGGTTCGATCCCCAGAATCTCGCAAGTAGAGCTGGGAGAGACCCTTGCCTGAAACCCTGGAGAGCTGATGCCAGTAATGTAAGCTATGTACATTGCCTTGAATTCCATGATGGAAGAGAAGACGACACAAATGAACTTAATAAATAATTAGACCTCAGTCATCCACATCTGTGAGTTAGAGTAATTGACTTTAAGAGCTTGCTTGATGATCTAAAAAGTGTTATTACTACTAATAAGATCAATATCAACCTACAAGTGAACTAAGCATTTTACATAGAAGCGTATATACCGGTTTAGCTTCTTGAAAATTGATTCTCCATCTTTTAAAAGTTGTTTTATGCTATACCTTTGTTTTCAGGAAAAATGGAGATTACTTCCAGCGTTTCTGAAGGTTAGTATATTTGTGCAGTTGCCATTGATGGTATTTACAGGTTTTAATAAATTGAAGTAAATTGAAAATGAAAATCTGAAATATTCTCATTGTTTTCATTAATGATAAGTACTGCAAGCACTGACTATAGCTGGTGTACATTTTCAGTCATGTAAGTGCCCTTCTTTTAGGAAGCATAAATTCATTCTTTGAGTTGGTTGAAAAATTGGTTTTCATGAGTGATGTTTAAGATTTGGACGGTAAATTTTATTTTGAGTGCTAATTAAATGATGTCTCTTTATGCATTTGGATGTTTTTGTTCTGGGCTTTTTTCTTTTTGTTTCTTTTTAATACCCCAGGTAATGTTCCTTTGTGATTATTTTAGGTGAAAGGTCTTGTAAAGCAGCACATAGATTCATTCAATTATTTCATCAATGTAGAGGTAAGCTTTCTTTTTTTTTAAAGCAACATCAGAAAGATCAACACGTGTAATAAATTGCATTTCTTTCAGCTATGTGTAGACTTAGACTTCTTTTATTTCCAGATTAAGAAAATAATGAAAGCCAATGAGAAAATTACAAGTGATGCTGACCCAATGTGGTACTTAAAGTAAGTCTGACTTTGATTTTGTTGGTGGTGACAGAGAATGTGGGTGGATACCTGACATATGAGATTTGTGCTTCAATATCCTGATGTACTTTCTGTGTAGCCCTTAGTCCTTGGGTTAATCCATTTTAATTTAATAAAGCCCTTAAGGTAGTGGAAATCCTGTGTGGAGCAGCATAAATGTACAGAATGGTCTGTGGTGTCGGTGATCCATCTGAATAGGATTCAATTGCAATAAGGTCCGTTATGTTGTTTTCTGAAGTTTGGTTTAGGTTACATTTAGCTTTAGGCTTCATTCCTACTTACAGGTAGGCTGCCCATTCTGCTTCATGGACATGCATGCACCCCATCTTAAATGATACTCTTGCCTTACTGTTAACAGATGCAGGGAACCTTTGGCCCTTCAGATGTTGCCGAACTGTAGCTCCCATCATCCCAGGCCATTGGCCCTACTTGCTGAGACTGATGAGAGTTGCAGTTCAGGGATATCTGGAGGGCCATTAATTCCTCACATCTGCTGTTAAGAGGGTTCCGCCCCCTTTTGGTTCTATACAAAGAAAGATGTCAGCCCAGGAATCTTCCCATTCTTTGAGCAGAATCTGGTGAGCACTTGTATAGCTGAGGGGAAACTATCCCTTTATTTGCTCCCATTAAGATTATGGTTCTTCTTATATATTTCTTATTGGTTTTTAATAAACCAAAGGTTTAACAAAATGGAATGTGAGTTGCATATTTGGGCAACTGGGTTGTATCCCATTTTTAAGTTGGGTCTTTCATTGCAGATACCTCAATATATATGTGGGTACTCCAGATGTTGAAGAAAGCTTTAATGTAACAAGACCTGTTTCTCCTCATGAGGTATTTGCATCTACTCAGCCTTTTTGTACCTTTGTGTGAACCAGCTAATAGAGCTTCTTGGTGTAATTGATGACTATGAAAGAACTGTGACTGATTTTTGGTCATATTATGTCCCAAAGAGTATACTACTGTTGCATGGTGCATTTTTGTTACTCATATTTTGTCTTCAGTTGTTAATTGTATATTGATGTCTGAAGCACCTGCAAGACTAGGTTAGATTTTCACTGCTGCAAATAGATCTTTGGAGAGAGAAGTTACCATGTCTCATCTGAGGGAGGACTTGCATGTGCTGTGTGTGTTGCAGTATATAGACTTGCTTCTTTTCAGTAACTTAAAAAAAAATCTAGCAAATAAATTTTAGTCTCTGGGATTTTTAATGATTGAGGATTGGAAAAAGAAGAAATATGAGGACTGCAAAGGAGTGTAGCGTTCCACCTGAAAAATATTTAACCGTGTGGCTCTTCTCTTTAAGTGTCGCTTGAGAGATATGACGTATTCTGCTCCAATTACAGTAGACATTGAATACACCCGAGGTAGCCAGAGGATTATTCGCAATGCATTACCTGTTGGCAGGTAAGTTACCAATATAAAGATAAATACTACTTTTGTGTGTTGGTCACGTTCTGTGTTAATTGCTGTGATAAAATGTGAGAGACTTGTTTTGCTTTTAATCAAAGAGGGCAATCAGTCTATACTCTGAGCCTGCAAGGTAATTTTTACTTTGTTGTTCTTGCAGGATGCCAGTAATGTTGCGAAGTTCCAATTGTGTTCTTACTGGAAAAACTCCAGCAGAATTTGCCAAGCTTAATGAATGCCCTTTAGATCCAGGTAACAACATTTTCTAATAGTGTTTGTTCCTTTTGAATGAGTTGTGATCCCTTTTGCTATGTTACTCAATGGAGCCTTCTAACACGTGAGCTGCTACAGATTATGGAATGAGAGATTTTGAGACTGTAGAGGGGTCTTAGTGAAGTTTCTGCTTTGATTAGGGCAGTTTACTAAGGTTCCTACCCAGGGACAGGGAAGTACCATTGGTAGCTGCAAGCCTTGTCGTCTACTTGCTGTACAGATTTCCCAAGTATTCCTGGAATCTTCCAAGACTTTGTCTATGCCGCTTCTGGTTTCAGGAGGTCATGATAGCACAATGGAGAATTTCACTAGATAGCCATCTTAAGTTCATAGTTCATACTGAGGGAAGTAGGTCCATGCATTAAGGTGTCTTCTTCGGTTTACTGAAGGCATTGTATAGCAGTCTCTGCAATTACAAGTGGAATCAGAGATTTCCTCACTAAATACTGCAGGCCAGTGTAGTTGACAAAGCAAAAATGTACATTTCAGAGGTTTGCAAAGTCCATTAATGTTTAAAACTAAAGTCAATCGTGATTTTCCATTCTCCATTGGACAGGTGGCTACTTCATTGTCAAAGGTGTAGAGAAGGTAATTCTTATTCAAGAGCAGTTATCAAAAAACAGAATAATTGTGGAAGCTGACAGAAAAGGAACGGTCGGCGCATCAGTTACCAGGTAAAAGAACTCCTTAGTAACTGCAGGCTGGTTTCCTATGATACCATGTCTGGGATCAAAATAATTACTTTAGGCACAGCCAGGAGTCTGGGCATGCCTAGTATGATGAGGGTGCTATTTATGCCCTACTTTTCCTCCAAGGTGGCATACACAGCTTTCTCCCTTCTCCATTTATCCTCATAGTCCTCACAACAACTAGGTGAGGAAAGTTAGGCTGAGAGAGCATGATTGGCCCAAAGTCACTCAATGAAGCTTTTTTCTTTGAAAAAAGTGGCACCCTGCTCAGTGCCATATAACAAACTGCTTTTGAACATTACTTAACTGAAAAGCGTCTTTCTATATTTCATTGTGGTGGCTGGGTGAGTTTGAGAAACATGAGTTCAAAGTTCCACTGAGTGTACAGAACTAGTACGCTCATACGAAGAACATAGAAAGAGCCTTGTGTTTGAATACGTATTTCATGCACATTTGGTAACCATTTGTTAAACGTAATTCCAAATGTTTGCAACTTGGTCCTTAAAAATAACCGAGCAGAAGTTCAAACAGAGCTTTGTGGGAGGGGGGAACCACTTTGGTTAGTCTAAAATAAGTGGATCAGTAGAAAATGCGGAGTTTGCTGTATTTTAAGTGCTCCGAAAAATGCAACATGCCTGTGTTCTGAAAACACCGGCAGATAGTCAGACAAAATTATTTATTTAATCCCTATAAACCAAGAATTAAATGTGGCACAAAAGACAGAATAGCTAAACGCTTACAGTAGGGGTGGAGAACAGATGGCCCTCCAGATGTTACTGGACTCCAGCTCCCTTCAGCCCCAGCTAGCATGGCCAGCAGCATCTGGAGGATGATAGGTTCCCCTTCCCTGGCTTACAGGTTTGCAATCAAAGAAGACATGAATTGGAAGGAGGTTGGCACAGTAATAAGATCCGAGGTTTTATGCACAAAAAAAACTTTAGCAATCCTGTGTTCTGATGTACAAGATACTGGTTTTTTTAAGCCATAATAAGTTTCCCCCCTCACTGTCAGGGTTTGTTGAATTAATGAGGTATTTCCTTTTCTTTTTACAAATGTGCAGTTCTACTCATGAGAAGAAGAGCAGAACTAATATAACTGTGAAGCAAGGAAGATTTTACCTTAAGCATAACACCCTGTCGGAAGATATTCCCATTGCAATAATCTTCAAGGTAATTTTTTAAAAGAACAATCTCCATTATCAGGGCTTGGAGTACAATCCTGTACGTGTCACTGAGTTCAGTGGGGCTTTCTCACAGGTAAGTCAGTATAAGATTACAGCCTTAGAACAGTTTATAGAAGAACTTCAAATACTTAGTATAAAGGGGGAAATAATAGAATCGTAGAATTTTAGAGTTGGAAGCGGCCACAAGGGTCATTTAGTCTAGCCCCTGCAATGCAGAATTTTTTTTGCCCAACATGGACCTCAAACCCACAACCCTGAGGTCAGGAGTCTCAATATTTATTTTATTTTAGTTCTTTGTCTATGTGCAAGTTTCTTTTAGCTGTTTGCTCTGCACCGTAGGAAACTTTTATTTGCTAGTCTTGAAGTGTTGGGTTATACCTTGACATAATGTGAGGCTCATCTTTGGCACAATTACCATTACAGTGGTACCTCGGGTTACATACGCTTCAGGTTACAGACTCCACTAACCCAGAAATAGTACCTGGGGTTAAGAACTTTGCTTCAGGATGAGAACAGAAATCGCCCGGCGGCAGCAGCAGGAGGCCCCATTAGCTAAAGTGATACCTCAGGTTAAGAACAGTTTCAGGTTAAGAAGTGACCTCCAGAATGAATTAAGTTCTTAACCCGAGGTACCACTGTAACTTTTGCCTGGGGTTTTTTAAGAAGAGTAGAAGAAGAAGAGTTTGGATTTGATATCCCGCTTTACCACTACCCTAAGGAGTCTCAAAGCGGCTAACATTCTCCTTTCCCTTCCTCCCCCACAACAAACACTCTGTGAGGTGAGTGAGGCTGAGAGACTTCAGAGAAGTGTGACTGGCCCAAGGTCACCCAGCAGCTGCATGTGGAAGAGCGGAGACGCGAACCCGGTTCCTCAGATTACGAGACTACCGCTCTTAACCACTGCACCACACTGGCTCTCCATTTTTATTTTAAGCCAATAAAAATGGAAAAGGAGGAAAAGGCGGGGGTAGGAGAGATGGGGGCGGGAATAAAAGTGAGTTGCAGGCAGGGATGTTTGAGAATTTCAATCTGCAGATTGGAACTTAATTTTTCAGTACTTTTGCACTTCCTGAAATTTCCTATATAGTTATTGGTTCAAAAATAGTATCAAGATGCCTTGAGAGAATGCATACCTTGAGAGAATGCAATTTTTCATGTGGATTTTTTTCTTTAAGATTTGATTGGAATCTTTCCCAGTGAGAGCATCAGCTATTGGCCAGAATGTTGCCTTGGTCATATCGGTTCTATATTTAGTTCATTTCCTGTTTTATATAATGTATTCAGCTGCTAGAACAGGACTTTAGGGATTGTGCCAAACAATACCCTAAAAAGATCACAGAGCACTGCCAGAAGAGGGCAGCACTTGCTTGTAACTTAACTGTGTAAATAATGCTGTGTGGATGTAACAGGGTGGAATTTGTGGACTGGGTTGCTATCTTACCCATTTTAAGGTAGAACATCTGTAATGGTTAAGGGTCTACTGCACGGGATGCTAATTTGTGTCGCTCCCAATCACATTATACTTTAAAATAATTCCTCCCATTTATAAAAAAAAATATTAATTAGGAATGTACTGCATAGAGAAGTAATGTCTAACCCTTCATCCTACTGCAACTGTAACCACACATCTGGTGGTACAAGTAGAATTATAAAAACGTTTCCATTGGCACCAAGTTGTGACAGCAAAAAAATTATGCCAAAAGCAGGGCTGGCATTTTTGGTGCTGGATTTAAATCCAGTGCTGACAGCATGCCCCACTCTTCACAGGGATTGGCTCTGATCAGGTACTCTTCACAGGAGCCAATCCTGTGGAGCTCTTCTTGCAGGCATTGGCAGAATTTAAAGGACACAAAATGTTCCCCATGCCTGCTTTAGAATATCTGTAAACCACGAGGCTTGTGGAAGTAACACCCCCCACAGCGTGATGTTATTTCTGCATCACACTATAGTTGACCACTGTGGGAGGAGTTAAGAATAAACATTTTATTATTTTCTTGTACTTTTTTTTGTTCGATATGGTGAGGATCAGCTGGAGCCCTGAGTAAAAATCTAGGGCCAATTGCCACTGTTTTACACAGACTTCATGTGCACTTCTCCAAGACTTAATCAATGGAATAATCTCCAAAGCTTACCTGAGGCCATTTCTCCCCTTATTTTTTAAAAAAGCACAAGTGCCTTCTTGAGGATTCTGTAAGCAGGAATATATTATATCAGTGGCAATTAAAGTTTAATTTTAATTCTTTGGGGGATTAGTTCAATTGAGTTCACTTGGAAATGAGCAAGTTTGTATCTAGTACAATTTGACTGATTAGTTGGGCTGCTGATTGGATATACTGGGGAAATAATTTATTTATAAATAAACATTAATTCATTTATCTTGTACAGCTTTTGAATGAATGAATTGATCAGTGGGCATACCAGGGAAATAAATAAATAAATTTCTGTTTGTGAATAAATACATTTATATTTACTCTCTTTTGGAGATAACTACTTGGGTTGTTGATTGGTGGGTACATTGGGGTAATAACTCACAAACAGCAAATGCTACTCAGAACAACAGACAGCCCCAAAAATTACTTCCCCAAAACAACCTAAGCCATTCTTATGTATGATGGAAGCCACCCAGAGTGGCTGTGGTAACCCAGTCAGATGGGTGGGGTATAAATAATAAAATCATCATCATTATTAGAAAAAAGCTGGCACCCCCCAAAAGAACAAGGCAACTCCCATCCACATAATTCATCCCAGTAAACCCCAGAAGCAATCCCCAATAATGCCAGGTGGCGCTGTGGGTTAAACCACAGAGCCTAGGACTTGCTGATCAAAAGGTTGGCGGTTCGAATCCCCGTGATGGGGTGAGCTCCCGTTGCTCGGTCCCTGCTCCTGCCAACCTAGCAGTTCGAAAGCACATCAAAGTGCAAGTAGAAAAATAGGTACCGCCTCTGGCAGGAAGGTAAACGGCGTTTCTGTGCGCTGCTCTGGTTTGCCAGAAGCGGCTTAGTCATGCTGGCCACATGACTCAGAAGCTGTACACCGGCTCCCTCGGCCAATAAAGCGAGATGAGCGCCGCAACCCCAGAGTCGGCCACAACTGGACCTAATGGTCAGTGGTCCCTTTACCTTTTTAAGGAACCTGAATACAATCAGTAATTAGGAGGCAGTGGTTCTGGAGATGCTGTTGTGAAGAGGGCAGCAGAGGAAATCAGTCACACACTGGCCAGAGGAGAGTTACTCACAAACCCCTTGAGATAACTCCACAGCCTCCCAGGGGTCTGCAGCCCACTGATCTATATCTAGTACTGTCAGAAAGCTGTTATACTGGTGCATGTCTTCCAGTGTGGTGCTCAGCACATGCACTCCCACCCAAGGGTTCTTTTTTATGGCTGCAAATCATTTTGAGTGGTACATAATGGAAGTATATAAATAGAGCTGCTTTGTAAGCTGCACGCCCTTGGAATGTCAAGCCGTGTCTAAGCTATCACATTCACATTCCGGAGGGAGCTGCAATCTGCTGCCATTCCTTGTATATGCAACTGCTTCAGATGCAACTAAATACTCAGCATGTGTGTGCATGCAGTGTAATAGGTGAAACGGCCTTTAAAATTGTGACATTCCGCAGCAAGGACTATAGTTTTGTAGCTAGGGAGTCTGGGACCAAGGGACTGGAAGCTTTCATCTAAAGCCAGGGGTGGAGAACTTGCTTGGGAAGCCAGATGATATTGGACTCTCAGTTGCATTGGCCATGCTGGTTATTGGGAATCCAGAAACATCTGGAGGGCGACACAGAGGTTTCCCAGCTCTGCTCTAAAGCAGCTATAGTTGCCTGATGCCTCCTGCTCGTGTCTGTTATCTGGGGGAAGGAGTTGCAAGGGAGAGGGCAAAGCCGTAGGCAGTACTATTTAAAGTCCTTCGTTGACATGCTTAGCTTGAGCATTAGGGACAACTTCTTCTACCCTACCCTCAACTGCTTGCTGCATGGCCAGGGGTGTTGTAGGTGGAGTTGTTATCAGCAGTAAAAATCAGCTGTTTAGAGCACCACTACTGTCACTTAGCTGTGTGGGGTCTGGAACATCTTCAGGGCACTGGGAGTATGCATTTCAGAGCATGCCATGTGCTGCCTTCTGTAATGTGTAATTTCCTAAACAACGTTTTGTAGGGGCCAATGGCTGCAGCAAATGCTTTCTAAAAGGAATAGGCCCAGTGATCACATTTAATTTAATTAGGTAGGAATTTAATGCAGTTTAAAGAGAATGTGAGTTGGAGGTGCATTGTCTGTTTACAGTGAGCCCAAGAGTACACTGTGTGTTCGCTGGTGTATCTTTGTTATGCCTAGTTTAAAGATAAATATTAATGCAAGGCATAGCTTTTCACCCTTCCAACTTCTGAGAAGCATATTGTAGCTCTGCCAAAAATAGGTGTTATTGACTTTATTCCCTGTTTCTTGATATGGCAGAACTCCAGACAAATATGTGAAAGGAGAAGCTTTAGCATTATCTAGAACGTACAAAGGCCCGCACTGCTGGCTGCTGCCTTGAAACACTTTATTCACAGAGAGATTGGGGAGATTTTCCTTTCTAAACCTGTTAAACATTTTCTTAACGTATTAAGCCTCTTTTACAATATCAGCTATAACCTGGTGCTTAAGGATCTGTGGGGAAAAAACAAGAAAAATGGCTTTCAAGACGGCTTTCTGTGTGAAATCCTTTTTCTTTGCCTTCCCTTTCCCTCTCCCCAACCCATGAGAGGCAACTTGTGAGGCAATTTACCAGTGCCTTCGATTGAGTGCACCTGCCTGGGGACGGAGCAGAGCTGCCTCCAGGTTTGAGGGTTCCTGGACAAAGTGCCCTCTAGTGGGTCCCCTCCTGTGCCAGTTATCTCTGACAGGATTTTGTGACCTTGGCAAAAATTCTTTGGGCAGGCAGACATGTAGCCACTATTATGCCTTGCCGCCATTATACAGTGGTACCTCAGGTTACATACGCTTCAGGATACATACGCTTCAGGTTACAGAGTCCGCTAACCCAGAAATAGTGCTTCAGGTTAAAACTTTGCTTCAGGATAAGAACAGAAATCGTGCTCCGGCGGCGCGGCAGCAGCAGGAGGCCCCATTAGCTAAAGTGGTGCTTCAGGTTAAGAACAGTTTCAGGTTAAGAACTGACCTGTGGAACGAATTAAGTACTTAACCCGAGGTACCACTGTAATGCAATGCAGGGGGTTTGGCCCCTGGGGCCCCTGGGGCCCCTTCCAACTCCATGATTCTATAATTTCCTACACTGTGTCATTGACACTGTGGGAAATTAAAACAATGGTTCCAAGAACCCTCACATGGGGCCCAATGGAGCAGCATTGACTCTCGGCTTGAGGGAGCAGACCTCAGCGCAGTTATGGTGGGACCTGCCATGGTGTTGGGACCCCAGCAGCTGCCTGAAGATGTCATGTGCTGACATTGAGCTTGGTTGGGGAAATCTTACCAGAATGCATTTTAAGGCAATGGAAGAAATGTGGGGGAGGTTAATTCAGCACAGTACAGGTGCAAGGCTGCCGATTGGCTGGCAGCGTCCACATGATGTTCATGAGTTCCATGCCACCTGCACAGGGCATGCTGAAGGAGCGTCTCCACTCCCCATCGTTCTACCCGGACACTGAGGTCCAGCGCCGAGGGCCTTCTGGCGGTTCCCTCACTGCGAGAAGCCAAGTTACAGGGAACCAGGCAGAGGGCCTTCTCGGTAGTGGCGCTCGCCCTGTGGAACGCCCTCCCACCAGATGTCAAAGAGAAAAACAACTACCAGACTTTTAGAAGACATCTGAAGGCAGCCCTATTTAGGGAAGCTTTTAATGTTTGATGTATTACGGTATTTTAATATTTTGTTGGAAGCCGCCCATAGTGGCTGGGGAAGCCCAGCCAGATGGGCAGGGTATAAATTTTTTTTATTATTATTATTATACCCCCCCACTTTCTCTACTTCAATAGCACCAAGTCACCCCTCCGTCAGGCAGCAGTGTTCAGTGGCAAATGTTGGCAGCCTCCTGTGAACCACCTAACTGAGCAGCTACTGCTGAAAAAGGGAGCTAATCATCACCAGCTATGCACAAAATCGTTAGCAAGTTTGCATAACTTGAGAGAGAGGGTGTGTGTATAAAAAGATACCATTCATTCCTTTCCTGTAGCTCTTCAACAGGCTTCCTCTGTTGCATTTGTCCCATACAAATACTGCAGCAGAGCATTGCTTCTTATTAAACTATATGAGGTTTCTTCTGCAAATGAGCTGCCAATAGCATTACTCTGCTCCTTTCGTTTGTGTTTCCTGCTGCTGCTGCTGCTGCTGCTGCTGCTGCTGCTTTGGCTTATCAAGATTTCCATTTCATAGTTTGAGTATGTGCTGCTTCCAGTGCCAGATGGCCCTGTTTCTGAGAGAAGTCGCTTTGGGTTAGGAGTAATACTGACTACAATGGCAAAATTAGCATAAGCAAATGTCAGCAAGTTAGCACCAAGCCAACATTCTTTCTCTCCTTTTCTACCTTTTCTTTTTCTTCCCTCTTCTAGGCTATGGGCGTCGAGAGTGACCAGGAGATTGTGCAGATGATTGGTACAGAGGAGCATGTGATGGCTGCATTTGGTCCCAGCTTGGAGGAGTGCCAAAAAGCTCAGATTTTCACACAGATGCAGGTGTGTGACATTTCGAGCATCCATCTAAGAAGAAAATGGCTTCTTAGTTTTGCTTGTTGTGAGCTGATGGAACGGCTCAGAGAATGCAGTGGCCACAGTCTTCTGTCTGTCAAGCCCCTTTGCTTTCTGTAGATTGCAAAAGTTACCGTATTTTTTGCTCTATAAGACTTACTTTTTCCCTCCTAAAAAGTAAGGGGAAATGTGTGTGCGTCTTATGGAGCGAATGCAGGCTGTGCAGCTATCCCAGAAGCCAGAACAGGAAGAGGGATTGCTTCTTTCACTGCGTAACGATCCCTCTTGCTGTTCTGGCTTCTGAGATTCAGAATATTTTTTTTCTTGTTTTCCTCCTCCCAAAACTAGGTGTGTCCTATTGAGTGAAAAATACGGTGTTTTCCAAGTAAGAAAGTCCATCTCTGAGAGCTGATCTGTGCATTTCTCAGGCTGAGGTGGAAGAGTTTTGGGCATGGCTAAAAGTGGACATAGGTCGAACATTACGGTGCAAAAGATGGAGAAATTGTTTGGGAGGACTGTGTAAGTAAGCAGCAAAATTAGCATGACCTCAAGAGATCATTTTATACATTTTGACTGTAGCTGTTCTTTCCTGTTTCAGTCCTTCTCAGAGTCCAGTTCTTTATTAACAAATTTCTACTTTGGCTTGCATGATTAGCAGAAATGTTGGGTATGCTTGAGCCTTTTCAGACAGGAGTTATTACAACAGTAGTCACTAGAGGACCACTGACCAGAACATGGGGTTTTTGTTCATGGAAGGTTAAAACCATACTAGGAAATATAATTATTGTTAGTTGTGTACCTTTGAGCAGTATCCAAAGAGTAATTCCATTAGTGCAAGGACTTCTGGCTGTGCAAAGGAACTTCCTCCTCACTCCTCTCCCTGCCTCCCTCCACATGCCCCCTAAACCAGTTTGAGGGGTGACCCCAACCTTCTGGAGCAGATTTGGGGGAGGTGCTGGGGGATTACTAGGAGCGGAGAGAGAGAGGAATATCCGTGGTGCAAACAGAAATCCTTGTGCTAATAGATCTTCCTCGTTAGATACCAGTCCCAGATTGGCCTAGTCCATTTTCACTGGTCATCTTATTAAAGAAGCATCTTACGCTGCTGTCTTGTTTTACATTTTGAAAACTTAGGTTTTGGCATGCTAATTATCTTGTTCATACGCAGTCATCTGTTGTTAATATGCAATGTCATTCCCGGAAAGCGGAGACTTCCAAGAAGAGTTTTTAATTTGTACTATGCTAACTTGGATTTGGATTTCACTTTACAGGCACTGAAGTATCTAGGAAATAAGGTCCGAAGGCAGAGAATGTGGGGAGGACCCAAAAAAACCAAGATGGAAGAAGCAAGAGAGCTGCTGGCAACAACCATTCTTGCCCATGTTCCTGTATGACCATAAATCTTAGATTTTGGGGCAGGGCCCCGGGGTGTGTGGGCTGAATAGGATTCTTACCATACAAGACCAGAGGGGGTTGAATCTCCTCTGGCAGAGCACCTTCACTAATCCGTGCTGAACTTGTGAGGGTGACTGTATCTTCACCTGTTGTTCATCATCCCAATCTTATTTAGGAAGGCACCTCAGGAAGAGCTGCTGTTTAGTTCTATTGTTAGTTCTTTGTGTGTATTAGAGAAGGAGTCAGATACTTCCTGCTCCTGAGCTAATGCCTGCGTTGATTAGTATTCTGATTCATTATTTTTTGTGTGCAGCAGTAGGGTATGTGCAGCTCTGTGTGTGATTCTCTGCACACTAACCTGTGATTATTGGTGTTGGGTTGAAGGAACACTATGTAAAATTCAGAAGTGGGTATCTCTCTCTCTCTCTCTCTCTCTCTCTCTCTCTCTGTGTGTGTGTGTGTGTGTGTGTGAGTGATCGAGCCATAACCTGACCTAGTGATCTTCTTAAGCAAGGTGCTGTTGCTTGATCTCTCTTTCTCTTCGTGAAATGAGAACTATTGTGAAGGTCTAGTAGGGCTTTTGGAAGGATGAATGCAATGAGAAAATGTTGCCACACTGTTCTGAGTCTGGGGAATATTGCAGAACTGCAAAATTAGTTTAACCTAAGCTGCATTTTGGACAAATGACTAGCTGTTCCTTACTAGAAACTGTTTACTCCCCTTTTCTGTGTTCCAGGTAAAAGAGTTCAATTTCCGCTCAAAGTGCATTTATACAGCTGTGATGGTCCGCAGAGTGATTTTAGCTCAGGGGGACAACAAAGTGGATGACAGAGACTACTATGGAAACAAACGATTGGAGTTGGCAGGACAGGTAAGTCCACCCTGGGGGTTTTTATACAACATGCAAACATTGATATGGAGTTACCATATTATTTATTTATTAAATTTGTTGGTTGCTTTACCTTGCCCAAGGCAACCCAAATGATGCCACAGAATTAGGCTGCAGCACAACAGGTTCAGTGTGAAAAAATAATTGTGTGGTTCAGACACACTTTAAGCTTGTTGCAGTGGGTTCTGTTGATTAGTGATTCTGAAACGATAAAGGTTCATAAATACTGGCATATGCCTAATATGTTGAGAGTTGTGTAACGGTTTAAACTATTTAGTCTAGCTTCCTAAAAATACATCTGAAAGCAGACTTCTATCCCTTATGTGTGTGTTTTTCTATTGTTGACGTACGCTTGGCTGTATTTTGCAAATTGATAGAACACCTCACTTTAAGCCTTTTGCTCACTGTTTTCAGCTAGAGTTTCTTTCCAAATAGCCTATAACACACCCCACACACACCCTTGGTTGTGTTTCTGAGCTAAAAATCCTGTTGCTTAAAAATTTGAATGAAAAAGACTGTTCCTGTATGAGGAGGAAAAGCATAGCAGTCCACACAATGTGAAGACATAAAAGGCATTGTGTCTATAAAAATGTGTGAAAACAATAGCAGTTAATTTCACACCCCATGGGACAAGGGAGTACGAAATGTGCTTTAGCTTTAGATAACAGTTGTTTCCGCTAGCCAAGCTGGTTTACAGAGCTTTCTCTTAGTCTTTCTGCCCACTAGAGGCTTGGCAGGCCAGGTGCCAGCAGAGGTGTTAGCGAAACCTACCGATTCCAAGCTTAATCTTTTCACCTACCTTTTCTCTTTCCTTAATGTGTTCATTATTTGCCGAGCATTTCCCTCGTCTTTGTCCTCAGGGTTTGTTTGGCATTTTCCCCCCTTTCTTTCTTTCTAATTCAGCTTGCTTTGTATGGGCGAGATATGGAACAGCACCAAAATCCGGCACCCTGGAAAGGAAGGGATTTTTACCCTGTGACAAAAGAAAACCGCCTTGACTTCAGAGATTGACTAATCCCAGCTGTTCTGATAATATAATTAAGGCTGCCTAATGTCTTTAATTTTGCAACCAGTTTGTGTGAAAAGGAGAATTTGGCACTCTAAAGCCTTAAACACTAAATGGCAATCTCAAGGCGCCTAATTAGAATTCTCTGACATTAAGCTAATTGGTGAAACTGTATTTCAGCAGCTTAACTACTTTATTAATTTTTTTCCTCAGGATTTTCAATGGAAATCAATTGATGAGCTGTCAGTTCCTCTCCCTTATGTTTCGCCGCCACCACCCCTCAAATTTAATTTGCTCTTCAATGCTCCTGTCTGAAAGACCCTGGGTTCACAACAAAAATTAAATGAATATTATCACTGGCATTCCATCCCGTTCTCTCCTTAATCACTTACTCTTGACCTAAAAACGGGCTATTGTGAAACTTTGCTATGTTCTTAGAGAAAGCCTGTGGATGTACTGGAATTAGCCAAGGAATGCTTTAGACTAAAAAATGTCAAGAAGTTAGTGTATCCCCCTAACCTAACTTTATTATTTTGAACAGGAGGGGCCAGGAAATGGTGTTCAGTGGTGACTTCTTCTGAAGTCAGTGTTGAAATTTTTAGTTACGTATATACTAATTATTTAATAATCTTTTATGCCATCAATGAAACAGCCCTTTTCCTAGTACAGTGGTACCTCGGGTTACATACGCTTCAGGTTACATACGCTTCAGGTTACAGACTCCGCTAACCCAGAAATAGTACCTCGGGTTGAGAACTTTGCTTCAGGATGAGAACAGAAATCGTGCTCCGGCAGCGCGGCAGCAGCTGGAGGCCCCATTAGCTAAAGTGGTGCTTCAGGTTAAGAACAGTTTCAGGTTAAGAACGGACCTCTGGAACGAATTAAGTACTTAACCCGAGGTACCACTGTACTTGTTTAAAATATAGATAGAGAAAGATATGGGAAGGGCCATAACTCAGTGGTACTTTGCGCCGAAAGACCCCTATCTTGGGCAGTGTTGACAGTAGTGAGTTAGGCAACTTCCGGTGGCTTACCTAGGCTCATCCAGGGAAGATTCATTCTGATAGCATTCACATGGGTACCCAAGCCCCAAAGTAACCAGAGATCTGCAAGTAATGTGTGAATGTCCAGAGCATTGCCATATTGGCCTCTTCAAAATTCACTTCGGAATCTGAGCATAAGAAGAGATCTTCTGTATCAGACCAAAGGCTGATCTAACTCCAGGATCCTGTTCTAACAATATTGGAAGCCTACAGGCAGGAAATGACAAGTGTGTTAGCACTTCATTTGTATTCCTGAGGCATGCTGCCTCTGAGACTGGAGATAATACAGAGCCATAACGGCTAGCAGCCATTAAGAACCTTAACCTTGATGAATTTGCCTGAACCCCCTTTAAAGTCAGTCAATTTGTGGGCTATTAGTGCATCATGGGGTAGCTAATTCTATGCTTTTAACTGTGGGCTATACGAAGGATCAGGTATTTTTCTCTGTCCTGAATCTTCCAGTGTTCAACTTTATTGGATGACCTCATGTTCTAGTATTAGGGGAAGTGTTGTAGAGCATCTGCATTGCACACAGAGGTTCTGCAGATGAATTCACATTAGTAGATTAATCTACATGACCATTTACTTGCTACTGTGTGATCCTTTAGGAACTATCTCATGGGAAACTCAGTTTTGTGTGATGTCAGGAAAGATTGACCATCATAGGGGAAAAGCTCTCAGCGCCTAGCGTTGGTTTTGAGTAGTCATTGATATGTGCAATTGACACAGAATCCCATCTACCCTTGACCCATGATTGACCTCTGTGACAGTTCCCAACTAGATCATTATAGTTGACCTAAATTCAAGTTACTATTCCACATAAATGTCAACTTTAGTCATCAAATGAATTCTCACGATTATGTTATGCAATGGAAGTCAAAGAAAGGTCTGTGCTTTTTGCAAATCAGCAGGGACATGATAATGATGAAAAGATGGCAAATACTGTGAGTGGAAATGTTCATTGGGAGAGTAGATTCAGTTACTGGCCCATGGCCTATGGGGGGCACAGTAGTGTTAATGTGTCTTCGAAAATGGAGACAGTTTTAAATTGGTTTAATTCCATGCAGGAATTAAATAATGCAATAGACTCCAGAATGTCTTAACAGGGCCCGTTTGAATACCTAGTTTGTTTAGCAGTTAACAATGCTTTGTATACTGGGAACTTGTATTTTTGGCATTTGGTAGCTGCTGTATTTTTAGTCTTCCTGACAGAGCTGCTGTAAAAACCAAGAGTTAGAATAGAATTGCCAAGTTCTAGAGCTTATACTTCTTCTTTAGGGGATGCAGGAAAGGCTTTTCTTTGAAGCAGGGGTGGGTGGGGAGTGGGCATTCAATCCATTTGTAGCTTGCAGGGCAAAATTTTAGATGGATTAGGTTCCCACTAAAGTTAATTAGTAGAAGTTGGGTGAAATGTGAATGGGTTAATTGGAGAGCAAACCAAAAGACGAGTGTGATGTTAAAAAGTGAAAGAAATAGCTGGAAGGAAATAATTCAATAAAGAACAAATTCAGATTTACAAAACTAGTAAGGACAATCCTTTCCCCATACTGATAGTTACCGTATTCAAGGAGTTGCTCCCTGTTCAATTTTCATAACATATTTTGGCTACTGAGACATTTACATATGTTATAGCAATTCTATAACATTCTATATGTTAGCAATTCTGAAAATGAAAAATGTGTTAGAGTAGTTTTTCTATAGTAATGTGGCATATCTATTTAAAAAGCTCTACATTTAAAATGGTGGTGAGCAGATGAGCAGGTTTATAGGATCCAGGGTTTAAACAGGCCTATTCTGGTGTTTTGTATATCTGTTTGTTATAGTTCTTTTTACAGTACTTTTCAATAGAACTTCTCTGTGTCGTTTACATAACAGCCGTTTTATTTCAACTGTTCTTGAGAACAGGCTGAAAGAGTTCTGACTTTGTCTTGTTGAAAATCAGATTACTACTTTACCCATAAACTAGAATCATTTGTTTATGTTGTAGTCGTTTGGTCAGATTGTGAAAAGTGCCATTCTTATTTCAGGATGAGCAACGTAAAGGAATGGCCCTCCAATTAATGCATCTCCAGTGTGGCTTCCATTGCTAAATGCATTGCTTGCTTCCCACTGTAAATCTCCTTTTTTCTGTTGCAGCTTCTTTCCCTTCTGTTTGAAGACTTGTTCAAAAAATTCAACTCTGAATTGAAAAAGATCGCTGATCAAGTAATTCCCAAGCAGAGGGCAGCCCAGTTTGATGTAGTTAAGCACATGCGGCAAGATCAGATCACCAATGGCATGGTGAATGCCATCTCCACTGTAAGTGTTTCATTTGCTGTGGAAGGGGTAGGAGAGCAGTGGGGAATCTCTGGCCCATGGACCTGATTAGGCTGGACAGGGGGTCCTCATTTGGCCCATGAGAACATTTTCCCCAAGCCATGCATGATGTCAGGAGTGGGGCAGGTAAATACATGGATGCAAAGCATCCTTCAGGAGTGCTTCCATTTGCCCTTGACAATCAGGCTTTCATCTGGCACCTTTTAAAGCTTGTCACCAAATGCAAGTGCCACTGGGACTGGATCCCCTTGGTTGCTTCCAAGTGATGTCTATCCCTGCCGAAAGTGTGGCTTGAAGTCTTTGCCAACCAGCTGATTGGTGGTTGCTGCAAACTCCACTTCCTGTTCTTGCACAGTTTGATTTCAGAATAGCACAGGCTTGTATTGTTACTGTTTATGCAAATATTCACCAGGCTTTTCTGCCCTAAAGTCTTGAGGACAGGCGGAAAGCTGAAGCTATTTTACCACCGCAGTTAAGAATCATCCATGTTTTCAAATATGGATTGATCTGTTTTCATATACTATTTTACCACTTTTAAAAGTAGTTAAAATCTCTACTGCATTTTGACAGACTTGTGTCATTCTTGACTTTTAGGGGAATTGGTCACTGAAGAGATTCAAGATGGATCGTCAGGGTGTGACTCAAGTATTGTCCCGCCTGTCCTATATTTCTGCTCTGGGGATGATGACAAGGATATCTTCTCAGTTTGAAAAGACTAGAAAAGTGAGTGGTCCCCGATCACTGCAGCCATCTCAGTGGGGTATGCTGTGTCCATCAGACACGCCTGAAGGAGAGGTAAGAACCATGAACTTGATTTATTTTCCTCTATCACAGTTTGATATGCTGAACCATTAGTTGAACTTGAACAATTGCACTAGCAGCCAAAATAGTGGAAACTGTCAGGGAACTGCCATCAGTGCCGGAGGGAGAGAGCAAAAGCCAGAGGGATTCCAGAGAGCGTCCAGGGATCGGGAGAAGCAGCCCATCTTCTGGGGAAGAGAATCAGCGTAGCACCAGTGGAGAAGGGGGGCAGATGGGGGAAGCGGCGAGGCGGTCTCATGACTCCTTGCCTGGGACCAGCGGGGAGAGTAGGGGTCCTCCGTTGCCCACGCCCTCCTTGCGCAGAAGGCTTTCGCGCAGAGAGAGTAGGAGGAGACTAGGAGTCAAAGAGCTGCTTTGCTGGAAGAAGTTTAAGAAACGCCCACTGACAGATTCTGCCAGCGATTGAGTCAGCCACGGGTGAGTCCGGACAGAAAAGGTTCACTTTGGCAACCCACCCAGGTGTTTGCACCCAGCCGGGGAGATAGACACCTGCTTACGCATGAGCAACCCCTAGAACCATTACAGAAACCTTTTGCAAAATGTGTATTTCTGAGGTTTGATTGCTCATAACACCAGTCTTCTTTAGAATAATTCCATAACATAATACTGAAATATTGCATATCATTAGAAAGATTATTTAATGCAGAGTATAATGCAACAAGCTGTGTTGGATTATCTTTATCCTATCAAAAGTTATAGCCAAATAAAATCAGTTATAAACAGAAAACCACAATAAAGGATATTTCATAACTTCTCACCATTTCTGTCAGGACTTAGTGTGGAAACCTTTTGCCACAATTATAGCCCTAAAAACGGCATCCCATGAAGTGAACCGAGGATTTTAGTTCGTCAGGTGTTATCATGTGAAACTAAGATTATATGATTGCTTCTATCAATTGTGCTTTATTCCTTGGTTGCTTCTGACTAATAAGTTTCTTTAATCGGTTCCAGATTTTCTGTTGGATTAAGGTCAAGGCAATTACGTCACTTTCTAAATGACCAGTCAACTCCTTAAACTCAGTTTGTCATTGGTCAGTTTTGAGTTAAGGAAATCCACTTCTTGTTACATAAGGCAGTTGTGCTGTCTTTTTCTGGTTATTTGGCTATAAATAAAATAATTTTATACGAATTAACTGTGTGTGTATTTTTTCATTATTATTTCTTTTCCTTTCAGGCCTGTGGCTTGGTTAAAAACCTAGCACTCATGACTCACATTACGACTGATATGGAAGATGGTCCTATAATTAAATTAGCTGGTAACCTGGGAGTAGAAGATGTAAACCTTTTGTGTGGAGAAGAACTTTCCTATCCAAATGTGTTCCTTGTTTTCCTTAATGGTATGGCACTTCTGAAATTTTCTGGGTTGTTTAGCTTAGAAGTATAGGTGGAAGATTAAAATTTTATTTTGTTTGACAGAATTTGTATACCACTTCATTGAAAATAAAGCTTCTATGTGGTTTACAAACGTTAGCACTGCACCTGTCTTGAGTTGTGAATTCTGAAGTCCTAGAAAAGAGTGGGATTGAGCAGGACTGGCAGCAAAATAGGCCACGGTTGGCCCCTTCTGTCTGAAAGGTGGCAGAGTTGTGCAATAGCAGGTAATGGAGATGAGAGTGCTTAACAGAATTGCTTTATTGAACAGGCAACATCCTCGGGGTCATCCGAGACCATCAGAAGCTTGTCTACACATTTCGGCTAATGCGCAGAGCTGGTTATATCAACGAGTTTGTTTCAATCTCTACAAATCTTACCGACAGATGTGTGTATATTTCCTCCGATGGAGGACGATTGTGCCGGTAAGGAACTTGAAATACACTTTCCCTGAATGACTGCAACTGCAGTTTCATGTTCATTCAGCTCATTCTCAGGAACAGGTTTTGTATAAACTCGCTCGACAAGGTGACTGCTAAACAACCCTTTTTTGTCCAGAAGGTCCAGCATGATGGATGCATGTTTCAGCAATAAAAGGCAGCACCAGTGTATTTGACATTGGACCAGTTTGGATGATTGTTCAAGGCTTTAAGCCAGAAATGAACTCGCCTCCTCTCATCACATGCTAGCTTCATTTTGAAGATCTGAGCTTGGAATTATAGCAGAGTTCCTCATTCGGCCCAAACGGGAAAAATCTATTTTTAACGGCAGTTGCTAAACCAATAAAATAAGCCAGCATTAACAAAGTTAACCAGCTGACTGATATTAAGTCTAGTTCAGACATAACAGGAAACTCTGGCTTAATTTTAAGTCAAGATTTACAACCCTAAGCCAGCAAGTACTGAAAGGAGGAGGACCGCTAAGTCCTAGTGCTCATTCCCAGCTTTGCAAACCATGTTTTATGAAGCCTTGAACAACTGTCTGAACTGGGCCACTGGGTGACTAATAAGTTTTGTCAGTTTTCTTGTGGCTTTTCTCAACTCCCTTGTAATCCTTTCGCAGTGGTTCCAATATCCACTTCAACATTTAAAAGTGCTAATTAGCCTCTGAACTATTAGCATGGACTCTTGGAGTAGAATTCCCAAGTATATTGCAGTTATTTACTGCACACTGCGAGAGCGTCTTGTCCAAACAGAAACAGCCCTTGACGTTTTGATTGTGCATGCCATTCTTTGTATCAGTGTTTCTGTGTGGTGGTTCTGGTAGAAGCCTTTTAGAAAAATCATTCCTGCTTGAAAGCTATGCTGCCAAATAGCAAATAATTTTTTATACTTTTGTTCTCCAGCGTGGAGTTGGACTTAGGTAGGTGATATCAACAGAATGTTATATTCGCTGATCAATATATTATATATTATACCCCTCCTGTTCCCTTGCTAATGTTTCTTAGTTATTGCATTAGCTGCTGTATTACATACAGCAGCATTTGTTTTGGTGTTTAGGTCTCCTGCGTGGTATAAGGAACTTGACTTGGCTCGTCCTTTTATATATAAGCTTAATAAATGGACTTCCAGGGTGGCGCCATCGGCAATGGCGGACTCCCTCTGAACCGGAGGGACCAGCTCCGCGCGAAACGGGTCTTTTCCGCTGCGGCGAAGCGGGGACCCTTTTAGAAATCACAGGCGGATGAAGCCTCTGACCGTGGGACTCAGCGGGCACCCTTAGCGCCTCCCCAACCCGCAAAGGAACCCACTAACGGGCTCCGAAGCGAAGAGGGGAAGCGGCGCGGTGCTGTGAGTCAATTGCTTTTTCCGTGGAGCGAAGCCGCATAGCCGTTGCCGGAGAGCACTGCCTTTTCCTGGGACAATTTGGCATCTAAAATAATCACCCGTGAGTACTTAAACATTGAACAATTGGACTTCAAATAAGAACTGGCGATTAGAAAGGAATTGGACTTAAAAATTTACCTTATTTTGGTACTGAAACGGGAAGGTCTAAACAGGAAGTCAGCCTTCCTTTTCCTTGTAGTCAGAAGAAAGCAAAGACAACGTAAACTAGAGCTTAGAAAATCACTTTCAAAGGATTGGTTTTCACCATTTAAAATCATTGAACCCCCCTTCGGTAGCAGGAGAAGAAGGGGGATCTTTTTTTTTTTGGACTGTTTAAAGTAAAGTAACTTTCCACCGTCCTGATCCTGGAGCAGGGTGTCAGAATTGACGTTTGAAGCTCATTGACCAGAGACAAATGTTTTTGACAGATAGTTAAAAGAAGAGTAACATTGTGATTCCACTGTTTCCTTTCGCATTTTAAAGGAACAAATATTGACAAAATATCTTAAAAAAAGAAACTTTGTTGCTATTGTCCTTAAAAGAAAGAACAACCAGAAGTTTTCCCCCTAGAGGGGGACTGTGAAACTGTAACTAATTCTAGGAGCTTGCAGCTGCCACAGATTACAACCGTGGGAAAGGACTTGTGACCTTGTAGGACAATGTTCTCAGAAGCACTGTTGGGTGCTTTCTGTAAAATAAATGCCCTATTGGACCAGTTAAGCCAGAAGACGGATTTGATGACTAATGCGGCCAGAACATTTGAACAGGTAGTGAGAAACTATATGGAGCCCACCCAGGAACTTAAACAGGAGTGTGCCATGACAGAACAGTTGAGAGAAGAGGATGTTGCTGAATCTTGGGCGCCAGAAAGGGAGGAACTTTTGGCCCTGCAGGAAAATGAGCCTTTGGATTTGATAAATGAACTTGGAAAAAACCCAGATTTGGAAAGATAAAGTTTGGATTGATTTGGAAATGGGGGGTTGGACTGACCCCCCTATGCAGAGATGTTTGGACTTTCCGAGTCTGGCAATGGGCCGTCAGATGCTTGGAGCTGTGGGGGCTCTCAATTTTGGAGGGAATTTGAAACATGTCTTAAAATACCACATGGAGTCTAATCTGGACTATGGGAAAGGGGCTGATTTGTTGAAAAGGGTCAAAAACACTACCAAGCTGGAGTTCCCACGAGTGAAAGGAAAATATGAAGAAGAGCTGCGGAAGGGACATGGAAGAGACTTGAAGGCCTCGGATATAAGATCACCAGGTTAATGTGCCAGACTAATGGGATAAAAAGGACTGACAAACCCGGGACCAGGAGGAAGGGACGCTGGAAGAAGATTGGATTGTTCCTATTTCTTTTTTTCTATCATTAGGAATGTTTTATAAAATTGATGAATGTTAGAAAAATGTTGAAATGAAATTACTTGGCTCTTGTAAAAATGTTTAAAGAATTAGGTAAAATGTAATGGTTATGAGAAGTTGGTAAAAATAAGATTTAAGTCTTAAGCTTTAGGTTTTATAAGATAAGATGAAAATAGAGTAAGGCAATGTAATGACAGAATACTATGAATTATGGAAAGGATTTGCTGTGACAACTATTAATCAAGATACAAGAAAAGGGAGGAGGAGGAGGTCATAGAAAGAAGGTAATGAAAGTGGAGAATTTGAAAATGATGGTTTTATTTTTATTTTTTTCTGTTTTGTCTTTTTTTCTTGTAATTTTTAAAAAAACTCTTTTTTCAATAAATATCATTTAAAAATATATATATATAAATAAGCTTAATAAATGTTGCGATACTCATTGGCAAGCTTAAATAATACTATTCCGTTAGAAGGAACACTGTATAAGGACTTGGTATGATGAACTGAAACCTTCATCTGAAATTAAAATAGTCCCTGATTAAGGAGAAGATTGAGAAAAGTGAAAACTGTTTGGATCTACAGCTGCTGAAGCTCCTGAAGGATTTATCAACCAATATGCAAGGTGTTGCTTAACTCTCTTCCTTTTCCCTAATGCAGGCCTTACATCATTGTGAAGAAGCAAAAACCTGCAGTTACAGGCAAGCATATGGAAGAACTTGCACAAGGTTATAGGTAAGCAACTGGGCATGCAACATGCTTGTTTCCTTGTCTAGGTATAGCTATGCAGAAATTAGATAAATCACATTAGGTGATCCTGTAGCAATTAAAAAAGAAGATGCTTCTATCAGTTTGGACCAGAGATGGGGAACCTGTCCCTCCAAATATTTTTCAGCTACTGCATCATCTCTGACCATTGGTCATGCTGGCTAAGGTTGATGGAACTTGGAGTCCAGTGACATGCGGAGGGCCACAGGCTTCCCCTCCCTGTGGGGGAGTAGAAAATGCTGAGCTAGTGAGACCAACGATCTGACCCTGTATCAGGCAGCCTCAAACCCCACTTTCATTTCATGCTAGTACAGTGGTGCCCCGCAAGACGAATGCCTCGCAAGACGGAAAACCCGCTAGACGAAGGGGTTTTCCGTTTTCAATGCGCTTCGCAGGACGAATTTCCCTATGGGCTTGCTTCGCAAGACGAAAATGTCCTGCGAGTCTTGAGCCCCTTTTTCTAAGCCGCTAAGCCTTTAATAGCCTTTTAGCAGCTAAGCCGCTAAGCCTTTAATAGCCGCTAAACCGCTAATAGCGCTAATCCGCTAAGCCGCTAATAGGGTTGCTTCGCAAGACGAAAAAACCGCTAGACGAAGACACTCGCGGAACGGATTAATTTCGTCTTGCGAGGCACCACTGTATATGAGCTGGTTTTCAGAAGAATTTAGTTCACAGCAGTAGTAACAGTTCAGTTTCTACACAAATTGGTCATTCACTTTTTTAAATAGATGCGATAACAGGGGCTTAATGTGGAATTTGTAAGTTATTTTTACACATTCATGCTCTGCCTTCAGGAATTTTGAAGACTTTTTACACGAAAGTCTGGTTGAATATTTGGATGTGAACGAGGAAAATGACTGCAACATTGCACTGTATGAACATACAATTACAAAGTAAGTGTTCTGCGTTAAGAAATTTGTGTGGTAAAGCTGGTATTGGCATAGGAAGGAGTTCCTCATGTTGTGTTGAGTGGCTTACAGGAGTGAGAGAGCAGGGAATGATGCATATATATGCAGATATCTGAGATAAAGTATGCTATATATTTATGAAAAATGCTCCTCAGGGATATTTATGTTGTCTTTCATTTGTATACCTGATGGAACTAGGAATGCACTCACGGGGTTCCTGAACAAGCCTGTTTCCCCATTTAGATCAGTCATATTATATTGTTGTTATTTATTTAATTTGTTTGCAGCCCTTCGTCCAAAGGTCCCAGGGCGGCATATCTCTTTACATTTTCCCTTGGAGTGGGTGGGGGATTTCTTGTACACCCTGGAGCTTCCAGCCTGTAAGGCATCACTAGGTTACTGACTTGTAAAATGCAATAGAGGAACGTTTTGTGTGATTTAGAATGCAGGGTCACAGTCACACCACGATGATACTGTTTTATCTCAGAGCTACAATTCCCAGGACACTTGACAAGCTGCTGTCCCCAGGATTCCCACAACCGCTAAAGTCGTATACTAGTGCTTCAGATGTATGGAGTGGATGCAGCCCTTATATTTGCCATTCTCTTCTTCGCTGTCTGTGTGACTTTTCCATTATTTCCCTGGTTCATGAAAGCCATGAAATACATATTTGAGCCTTCTTGTTTGTCAGTACAGGTAAACTTGGTTGTCTAGCATGATCTGTTCCGGAAGACCGTTTGACTTCTGAAACGTTTGACAACCAAGGCGCAGCTCCCGATTGGTTGCAAGAGCTTCTTGCACTCAAGCGGAGGGCGTGTCGGAAACTCAGGTTCTGAGAAACGTTCAAAAACCGGACCATTTACTTCCAGGTTTTTGGCATTTGGGAGCCAAAACGTACGATAACGGAGGCGTTCGGAAACCAAGGTTTGACTGTATGTGGGCTGCAAGCTTTAAGAAATATAGCTACTTACTCATGATCTTTTTGTTTCTCTCCCCTTCCTCCCACCTCCGCTTAAAAGAGAGACAACACACCTGGAGATTGAACCTTTTACTCTTCTTGGCGTGTGTGCCGGCCTCATTCCTTACCCTCACCATAACCAGTCTCCAAGAAACACTTACCAGTGTGCTATGGGGAAGCAAGCTATGGGTAAGACCTGGGCCTCACATCTGAGTAGTTGCTTTGTTGTGCAAGCTGTATAGTATTAAATTATTTTAAAACCATTGATGATAAGCTGATTTTGCCATAGTGGAATGTGAGATTCAAATTTGTTTTTAAAGATGCTTAAAACAGTATTGCTAGTATGAAAGTTACTGTACTTGCTTTTTCAGTGTTGCTGGAGAGCTAGCAAGTGTCTTTATGTCACCTTGCACTGTAGCGTTCTGTGCTCTGTATATTTTTCTAAAATAAAAATAAAAACACACAAAGACTGACAGAGAACATGGAGATTTCCTGTCAATCACTAATGTGTGTAACCTTTCAGTATTAATTGCTAGTTCTTTAACAAGATCTAGATATGGAAATGTAGTTACAATGAATTTTCCTTTTCTAGGAAAAGCTGGAATGCACTCGTTATCAGTGGCTTCTTAATGTGGTAACATATAACACGAGCGTTGCAATCTTAAGCACATTTACAGATTTGAGTTCAGTGGATGATACCTTTGAGCAAACACACATAATACCAAACTACAACTGTGGAAAAGCAGCAGATTCTCATATATGCTAAATTTCAAATAGTAATGCATTGCTATCCTATTTCACAAATGTTTTGCCATCTTTTGCTCTCTGGCTAAACTTTCCCCCATTAGTTATTTATTACAAGTACATATAAAGTAGTGTATAAGGTTCACAAAAACAAACAAACCCACCTGCCAGTAGTTCATATTAGAGTGTGCTAGTCATGCAGTTCATATGTCAATGCAGGAATACAAGATGGCCTTCCAAAAAAGATATTTTGTCTCAATCTAGCAATCACTATTATTTCGTTAAATGAGCATGGCAATTCCAGGGGTGCAAATCCACCTCCCCAGTCTGTAGAACCTGTGGACACAAAACTCGCTCTTTCCATTAAAATGAATGGGGCAATGCATGGGTGCATTGTGTGCATGTTGACCCTTGTGTCATATGTTTGCTCATTTATGATAACACACAAACACACACACACACAAACTTTCAAGCCTTCATTAAAATAAACTTAGCACTTCCTGGGCTTACCAATTGGCATTGTATCATATAGCTTTAAACTGGGTCATTTACCCCCCCCCCCCCCCGGAAAAAAAAATATTTGTGACTAAATCTCTCCCATCCCATCCCCACTCTTGGACACTGTCCTTGAAAAATTTATCTGGAGCAGTTTCACCTGCAAGCAGTGCCAGAGAGTTGTGTTCTTACTATCCCCTGTTCAGTTATTGAGACTTACTCTTGAAAAGTTAACACCAAGTTGTGTTTAAAATATTTACTATTAATACTTTACTATTATGTATGTGTCATTTCTGGAAATCACATTTCCCTGAATAAATTCTAAAACTGAATCATGTTCCTTCTCTGTCACTTTCTGGCAGAAATAAAAAGTTGGAGGGAAAAACATATATATATGCGTACTTTTTATTTTATTTTTGTCTCTCTTTTTTACTGTGATTCCCCCCCCCCCGCCCGCCCCGGGGACTCTATTTTAGGACTATTAGCCTCAGAAGGTTTGGTTAGTTACCACACACAGTTAAGCAGGATCAGTGTGTACAGAAAGCCAATTCAGTATCTGTAGAGTTCTTTTGTAGTTTTCTGTGTGAAGGTCTTTTTTTCTCGTTTTGTTTTCAGTGTCATTTGCAATTCATTGTCTGTGTTTTCTGAGGTTGGTGTATTCAGCTGCTTTGACCCTGGGTCTTGCACATTTAGCTCCTTGGATACAATCCTCTGACGTTACTGCTGACGCCGGGAACACAAAAGCTGCTGAATATCTTTAGTAATATTTTTTTCTAAGGCTTTGTTTCTGTCTGCTATTGCAAAGCACCTGACTCTGAAGAAAGAGCAGGGAGACAAAACTGCATTTCTAAAGTTGGCATATTACAGATTTGTTTAAATTGAGTTTTTACATTGTGTGCGGAACGTTTGCGAAAAACCTATGGAATCTCCTCCCTCCCACCAGGGAAAAAAGCACCCTATGTGGTCATAGTTGCAATTCTCTCCCAGTCCTCCTAGATTTGCTAGGATATTTGCTAAGTAATATCAGCACTGAGGAAATTTTGTGCTGAGTCTCATAAACTGACTGTTTTGAGTCTGTCTGCGGTGATTCATCGCATCAGATACGTTTGCCCTTTAAAAAAAATCACCCCAGCCCTTTCTATAGTCGTCTTTGCCCACCCCCTGCTGCCACTAACTGTCTTTGTATTGTCCTGGAGGAGATCCATGTTCAAGTCCATTTAGTCACTTCCTGGGCTGTCAAGAGCTTGGGATTATTGAGATAGCATTTTAGCTTCCTGCTGAGAAGAAAGGACCCATTGCTCAGCCTTGCCCCATTCTGATCACTGAAATGCTTTCATTGCTTGCAAAAATTGCATCCTTGGGCTTAGCAGTCATTCAAGTGAGGGAAATGGGTGTGTCCCATAATATGCAGGTGCTGTAGATGTATTTTGGAAAGTATGGTGGGCATACTCAATAGCGAAAAATATGGTTTTAGGTTATAGGCTTGGGTGAGCTGTTGCAAGACTATTTAAGCATTTTACTTATAATGCTTATATCCTGGTTTTCCTTCAAGAAGCTTAGAATGCAGCTGATCTGAGGCTCCCAGGTGGTGTTGCGTCCAGGCACTGAGCCGGGTGACACCTAGCTAGGCTTCAACAATGTAATAGTATCATATTCCTCCAAGCAGTCTCTGGATGAATGATGACAGGGACTCTTGAGTAGCTTCTATATGTGCAGCAGAACTTTAGAGGTTGTGGAGAAGCTGCTCCAAATTCTGGAGGATCTTCAAGTCTCTTGTCTCATGCGGTGTGCGTTGTTTCAGTAGAATAGAATTGGAGGGAGCTTTAGTGCACATTTGGAAATGCTTGGATGTGCAAGGCTATTGGATCCCAGCTATAATGTTAAAAGGAACTCAAAGAGATAAATTATCCATCTAAATAATACATTCAGTAGCAGCAGCAGGAGGAGTATATATTTATTTATATCCCATCTTTTCCCCAGTCCAGGGCTAAAGGTAGCTTACACAGATAAGATGTCATAGCAAACTGTGGTTTGTTGTTACAAGAACATGCTGAAGCCAGTGTTTGGAACTCACACGCCACCCTCCCCTTCCTCTCTGCTTTCCCGCACAAAGAGAGGAAATGTTAACCTGCCATTTATGGTTTGTAACAAACTGCTGTTTCCTATTTTGTCTTATTACAGAAAACTAATTTGCGCAAACCATAGTTTAGCAAAGCAGGATATCAGATGAGAATTGTTAACTATGGTTTACACAAATCAGTGTTTCTTGAATTGTGTTAAAAACACAAAACTGATACTTTAGCATTCTTTCTTCTGTTTATGGAGGAGTAGGAAGAATACATACTTCCAAAAGCTCAAATGGAATAGGTACCTAGACTAGTTAACTAGCATATTAGCTTCCCATGCAGCTGTCAAATATGTTCATATTTAAGAAAGATACATGTTGCTATTTAAAATATTGGTGATGAATTGTTTTGCTTATTAAAAATATATGAGGGTTAGATCCAAACTTGGTCATGCTTAGAATAAGCCTATTGAAATCAATGGGAATGTGTCTGGATCCAGCTCTCTGTGCTTTGTTCAGTAGTAAAGTTCCAAACATACAGGAAAGATTGGCCTTTTCAGGGAGTGATGTTCATACACTGATTGCTATCTAAAGGTTTTATGGAACCTCAGGAATGCACTCACCATTCATGTCTCTGAAAAGGGAAACTTTTACAGGCACAGCTCTGGATTGCAGCCATTATGCCTTGCCCCATGGCTAATCCACCGAAGAAGCTGTTGTATTTCTAACTAGGTTGCTGCAAGCCCAGTTCTTGATAGAGAAATAGACTTTATAGTGGCTTTTGCACCCTAGCTGTAGGGTAGGTAACACAAGAACTGACAGGTGATATCTTGAGGTAAATAAATGTTGCCAAAAGTGGGCTGGTGAGATCAGACCTTTGGCGATACAGCCATGTTGTCCAAGCATTTCTTGATTTAGGTTTAGGTTTTTATGACGTTACTGTTTTAAAAAGAGAGAAGAGGGAGAAAGAAAAGTCACGTATCATAAAATTTCATTTGGTTAGTGAGATTGAAAGAAACACTGAGGCAATGGTGAACCCAGGGTGGTTGGGGTTTTTTTTAATATAAAGTTGTTTAGATGGATAGTTTTGTTATACATTTGCTTATTGGCTCTATGACTATGAGTTTTATTCAACTAAGTTCTACTCAGCATAGATCCATTAGGGTCTGAATTAGACCCACTGTCTCCAATACTAGTCATTCTTGAAGTGGGCCCAAACTGATATTAATGAACATGACTAATTTAAGTCCATTAATGCCCATGGGTCTACAAACATGAACTACAGTCCTTTTTAAACCGTGTATATATATTGCTGTTTATTTGATATGTGTGCCACTTTGGTACATTCTTCTATAAATGCTGCATACATAGACAGAGGAGGAGGACAGATGAGACTTAGCTGAAGGTAGATTGAAGAAGTGCTATATGGAGCACTCTTTAGAGTCTCCTATTTGAAAGCAGTATCAGACAAATTATAGAGCCTGGGTACTTGCAGCTTTTTCTGATGACTTTTCCATACCACTTACTAGTAGTTGGTATTGTAAAAAACAGCGTTTTCAAGAATCATCCAAGCTATTTTGCTCATGATAATTGCCCAGCACAACTTGGGTCCAAGCTATCTGAAAGACTGTATTCCCTCATACGAGCCCATCTGGGTTTTGAGATCTTCAGGGGAGGCCTACCTCTTGGTCCCACCACCCTCACAAGAACGCTTGGTGGGGATGCAGGACAGAGCCTTCTTAGTGGCGACTCCCAGACTCTGGAACTTCCTCCCTGGAGAAGCTAGATTGGCTCCCTCCTTTCTCTTCCATTGGCAGTCGAAGCCCTTGTTCCAACAGGCTTTGGGGAAACTGTCTGCTTTTTGTGAAAGGGCTGGTACTGTGCTGTTTTTATTGCATTTATTTGTATGTTTTAAACATATGTTCTGTATGTTTATAGTTTTAATTCTATCAGTGTTTGCTTTTACTATTGTTTGCTTTTATTATTGTTTTTTCAATGTTTTTAGCAATTCTTGTTTTTATTTGTAGGCTACCTTGAGTCCTTACAGCAAAAAAGTCAGTGTATAAATGAAATAATAATAATAATAATAATATCTTTTTTAAATTGCAGGTACCATTGGATATAATCAGAGAAACAGAATAGATACTCTTATGTATCTGTTGGCGTATCCCCAAAGACCAATGGTTAAAACAAAAACCATAGAACTCATAGATTTTGAGAAATTGCCGGCTGGACAGAATGCTACAGTTGCTGTGATGAGTTACAGTGGTTATGACATTGAAGATGCTCTTGTGTTAAACAAAGCTTCTTTAGACAGAGGTAAGAAGGACCTCATAATGCTCTGCCATTATCAGTGGATTGAGAGCTATGTTTCTTTCTTCAGCTCAATTCATTCAACCATGGTAAATAAATTTAACTGCAGTTCAGTGGAGAGGGTAGTCATCGTGGTATCCTTCAGCCATTTTGCTGAACTACAAATCCCATCATCTCTGACTATTGGCCATGGTGTCTGAGGCTGATGGGGGCTGGAGTCCAAAAAGTACTGGAGGGCAGAACATTGGCTACCCCAGATATAGGGTAATATTTCACTTAACAAGCCATGGTTTGGGACCTGTCATGTGTTTTTAAACCTGTGGTTTGTAAAAGCTATGGTTTGGTGTGATTCCTGAACTAGAAAATTGTAGTTATGGCCATTGCTCTGATTTCAGAAGCGCCTGCAAGATAAAACTGGGAATGCTGAGCTGATTAAAAACAAAAGCAAGCAGGCACCTCTGAACCCAATTGGCCTGTACATTTGCAGCCTAAATTATGGTTTTGGGCTAAGCTATTACCATAGTTTGACTTCTTCCCATAACAATAAACCATCGTTTAGCATTACACCTAATTGCAGCCACTGTGTTACAGCAAACAAAATAGGAAAAGGCAGTATAAAATTGCTTTGCAAACCTCTATACTTAATCCTGAACCAGAGTACTTTTTGAAAAGGAAGCAAGCTCTCTAAACCAATGCTTTTTAATGCGTACAATTGCAGTGTCATATATCCTTTAGCAGAGCTGGCATCTGACCAAAAGGAACGTACTAAATTTTGCCGGAGGTTGGTGTGTGTGTGTGTGAATGTATCCTGCTGTCTTCACTTTGATGAAGCTTGTCTGGATGATCTGGTTTTAGTGTTGTGCTAACAATCATTTTCAAAGTGCCATCTCCCTTGAGAAATGCCTAACATTTATTTTGCGTAGCCACAAAACTTTCCTGCCAGCTTGTGCTGATACATCCTAGCACACTTTCCCCAGCCTTTGCACCCCTCCTTGCTAGTTGCCAGGCAGCCATACTTGTATTCCTAGACATGTATCTTTGGCATTAATGTCTGCACACTTAATTTATTCTTTTTTTCTAAAACAATGGCAGACATGATTTAAAGCAGAATGTTTTCCTTCTTGCAGACTGCTAACATTGGGGGGAAATCAAAGACTGTTCAGAATTACTTCGTATCACTGAATAATGTAGATACGTCAAGCATAACTTACAGCTATTTTTGGGTTTTCAATCCAAAGTTTATTCAGAGGCATTCTACTTGTGTTTAGAAATATGTATGCGTTTTAGTCAGTTAAGGCTAAGGAAGGAAACTCAGTGCATTTGTATGTTTAGCTCTAACTTTTAGTTCTTACAAGCAAAAGTTATCAGTATCATTGACTGATATTTTTAGAAGGGCAAACTACAGGCGATACTTCTTTTAAAAAATACTTTGAGGCCTTTATTAAAACTATGGAAAGTTTCTGGCCACTTTGAACTCACAGTTTTAACAAGAGTAGCCATATTAGCAATCTCTGACTAACAATTTTATTGCGTCATAAGGTTTCATTCACCAGGGCCCATCGCATTTTCATAGTACTTGTTAGAGACGGTTTTAATTGTTTTACAGTGTTTTAACTGTGTTATTTTCTTTTATTTTTAATTGTGTTGTTTTATCTTTGCTGTCCTTGGATTTTCATGGAGAAAGAGGAGGATATAAATTTAATAAATAAATAAATGCCAGCTTTTGTAGCCTGCAGAGGTCCATGCCAAAATTAGTGCAGCCTGATCCTATACTTTCAATTACACATAGGATCTAGATATGTGAAAGCTTGGAGGGGGGGACCAGAAAAATTGCGCAGGAGACCTACTTCCCACGCCAATTTTTTCCATATATATTTTTTCAGGCCTTCTCTAGCAGGATCACAGCCCTACATTTTTAAAGGTGTCCAGGAAATATATTTTTAGTTGCATTATCTTATAAATCAGTGCTACTCAAAGTGGTGGTCCACGGACCAGTGCCAGTTCACAAGCCACTGGCTGCCAAACCCCAGTGACTCCACCACAGCCCAGGTTGGGTGGGATGCTTCAGGGACTAAATAGGGTACCAGGCCCTGGTACCTTGGGATGGGAATTGCCGGTCTACCACATCAGATAGCTTGAGAAGCACTGTTATAAGTAACTTTTCAGAGGGCTCATTTCTGTACTGTAGAGGTAGATTGTGAACTTGCAACGTAATAGTCACTTAACTATCTAACTCTCATGGTAGGAATTTTGATCAACTTGTTTGCTTTCTCTGAGGTTTTGGAAGGTGTCTCGTGTACAAGAATGCCAAGTGTACTCTGAAGCGTTACACAAATCAGACATTTGACAAGGTGATGGGACCCATGCTGGATGCAGCTACACACAAGCCAATCTGGCGCCATGAAATTCTAGATGCTGATGGTATTTGCTCTCCAGGTATAAAGTGATGTTTTGTGTATTTTAAGAAACTATCATTTTGCGCAAGTGTGCTAGGTACAATACAGAACACGGCAGCCCCATGCCCTGTGGCATTCCATCAAAGTAACAGAGTAAATGTGAAGGGCTGAGGGATTAATAATAGTGGGGAAGCATTCAGTGTAACAGAGAGCAGATGAAATTATAATGCATGCTTTGTCAAAGTTGAGTTTTAAGATGGAGTATAGCTAAACAAAGTGAAAACTTTGTGCCAGGCAAATAAGTTCTTGTTTGCCCTGGTATTTGGTTCTTAATTGGTGGGGTTGGCCCACCTATGAGGCAAGGTGAGGTGACTGCCTCAGGCGGTTGGAGTCACAGGGGCAGATCCTGATGACAATCTTTCTCCCCTCCCCGCCACCCTTGTTCCTGATGTAGATCTTCCTTCACCCCGTCTTCCCTGATGGGGGAGGGGGCCCCATTTTGGGGTCTGCCTCAGGTGCCAAAATGTTTTGGGCCAGCCCTATTAATTGGGATCAGATGATATGATGAAACCTTAGCCTGTATTGGTGTTCATCTTTTAGTATGATGGAGGAGGCACTGTCATTAAAATGATCACTTTTAGTAAATAATACTATGTGTTCATCCTTTAGTGGGACGGAACATGATTGTCCTTTTGTAACATTGCAGGATGAGCACTTTTAGTCATTGATGGGGGTTTAATGTTATTTAAAATTTTGTATTTGACGTTCTTTTACAACTCTATGTCTTTTTGAGACATTTTATGTAATATTAACAGATAAGTGCAAAAAATAATAATAATAAGCTTATTGGTGGCTTTTTAAAACTGTCCACTTAGAATAATAAGACTCAGTAGTCTGTTCACTGCCAATTTTTTCTTTACTTGAAAACTTTTTTAAATACAGTGGTGCCTCGGGTTACATACGCTTCAGGTTACATACGCTTCAGGTTACAGAATCTGCTAACTCAGAAATATTACGTGGATTAAGGACTTTGCTTCAGAATGAGAACAGAAATCGCGCTGCGGCGGCAGGAGGCCCCATTAGCTAAAGTGGTGCTTCAGGTTAAGAACAGTTTCAGGCTAAGAACGGACCTCCGGAACGAATTAAGTACATAACCAGAGGTACCACTGTACTTCATAATTTTGATCAACTTGATGCATTAAAAAAGCACAACCTGTTTTCTTCTTCCTACATCCTTACAGGTGAAAAGGTAGAAAACAAGCAGGTGCTTGTGAACAAGTCAATGCCAACTGTGACCCAGACGCCTCTGGAAGGCAGCAGCATCCCGCAGCAACCACAATATAAAGATGTGCCCGTAACGTATGTCACACCATCATACTTTATTTCTAAAAGCCAGAGGGGGAAATGAAGAGTGGATAGTTCATGCTTAGTTCTGGAAAAGTGGGAAATAAGGCTGAGCAGCAGAAGGCAGGGAGACCAGGTCAGGAACTTCATTGGATCACAGACAGTGAACTTAGTTTTCCAGGTTGTGCAGTGCAGAATAACTGTAGGCTAAAGTACACATTCCATTAATCATGCTGTTAAAGTGCTTAAGCTGGCCACTTTTATTCTGAAAGAAAACTAGCTCCATTCTGGAACATGCTGTATACCTCAAATATATAGAATCACAGAATTGTAGAGTTGTATATTATTTGAAGAGAACATCCAAAACTCATGTAACAATAAATGCAGAAGCTGTTCAGGTAAATGTCATTTCTATTATAATTTTCACTTATCGTGGAAGGGCTGGGCTGCAACTTACTCTTTATTTAATGTTCTTTTTTAATATTCAAGCACAGTGGTATCATTTTTAAATCAGGGACAGAAAGGTGTCTGTCATTCCTTTCCTTATAATTTAATTCCAAATGCGTTTTAGCAGTAGTTTTAGTATAAAAAAGTACATTTGCTGTCTGAGCTTAAAACTTGCAACCTGATGTCCCACAAACAATATGGCTTTATTTCTGAGAAATGAAATATGTGTTTTCTCTCCTAATCGTTAGTTACAAAGGTGCAACTGATTCATACATTGAAAAAGTCATGATATCTTCAAATGCTGAGGATGCATTTTTGATCAAAATATTGCTGAGGCAAACGAGGCGGCCAGAAATTGGAGACAAATTTAGCAGTCGCCATGGGCAAAAAGGTATATACATTGTTATGTTTAATTTTTTTAATTTGCTGTCCTTGAAATAATGCAATATGCATTGCTTATTTTGTAGCATATGGGGGTATCTGCATAAAATTGGTATATACATATACCGTATTTTTCGCCCTATAGGACGCACTTTTTCCCCTCCAAAAATGAAGGGGAAATGTGTGTGCGTCCTATGGGGCGAATGCAGGCTTTCGCTGAAGCCTGGAGAACGAGAGGGTCGGTGTGCACCGACCCTCTCGCTCTCCAGGCTTCAGGAGAGCCCCACGGCCAGCCCCACAAGCTCGGGGGACAGCGGGGAGGTGCAGCGCGCCATCCCGCTGTCTCACGACCTGGTTTGGAGGCTGGGGGCGGGCTTCCCCCTCCCCCAGCCGCGCAAGCTGCCAGAGCGATGCCGAAGCTGCGCGCAGCTTCCGCATCGCTCTGGGACCCGTTCTGGGGGAGGGGGAAGCACCGGCTTCCCCCTCCCTCAGCCCCGCAAGCTGCCAGAGCTGCCTGTTCTGGGGGCTGGGGTTGGCGGAAGCTCGGGCTTCCCCCGCCCCAGCCCCGCGCCTGGGGGGGGGGATAAATTTTTTCCCCTTTATTCCCCCCCCCCCCAAAATCTAGGTGCGTCTTATGGGCCGGTGCGTCCTATAGGGCGAAAAATACGGTATGCTGCTCTCAGCTATTCATAAGTACATATGCTCATGTTACTAAAAATGTGTCAGTGGATGCAAATGACTGGGAGCCTAATACTGTAAAATATAGAATATAACAATGCTAACAAAGAATGGAAATTGCTCTGTTTTGAAATAACAATTCTGCACACAATTGGCCAAAATATTCCAATCTCTTTGTCTTTGTGCATGTACGTGTGTGTGTGTGTGTGTGTGTGTGTGAATGCATATACAGTGGTACCTCGGGTTAAGTACTTAATTTATTCCTGAGGTCTGTACTTAACCTGAAACTGTACTTAACCTGAAGCACCACTTTAGCTAATGGGGCCTCCTGCTGTCCCGCGCCGCCGGAGCACGATTTCTGTTCTTATCCTGAAGCAAAGTTCTTAACCTGAAGCACTATTTCTGGGTTAGCAGAGTCTGTAACCTGAAGCGTATGTAACCTGAAGCGTATGTAACCCGAGGAACCACTGTATCCAAGTGGAGATGGAATTGCAATCTTACTTATCACTGATCTGTTGAAACTTTAAAAGGGTTACTGGATTTTAAAGAACAACAGAGCTGAGTGCAACCACCATTGTGCTTCCTTTTGGTTTACTTTATGGGTGCGTGGCAAGCAGCAGTAGCAGGAGATTGAAATAAAGCAATTGACTGTCCCTTCATGATGTTCACGATGCTTCTAGCCAGCTCTGCCTATGAGGATTAGGAGTGTTTCAGCACTTCCAATCTGCTGTCCAGACCTTAGGTGGTATTTCATCCCACTCTGGTCACTGCAGGGCCACTTGGCTAAAAGATGGTACAACATGCAGAGTTCATTTGCAGTGACGGACTGATGCTAACTGAATTTAGGCCCCTTACTTATAATTCTCAATTGTGTAAAACTCACTATATCTTTTAACTTTTTATTAAAGAATATTTAGCTGATGAAAAACCTGCCTTACAACAGCTTGGGCAATTGAATAAATTCTAATATTGCCAAGACCTTGATGGGGTTGCCTTTTGGAGCATGCCTGGAATTTTTATAAGCAGAAGCTACCAGCTATCTTTTTTGAAAGATAATGCATCTTTAATGCTGCGGAGCTCAGTGGGTGTCCTTGGACCAGTCACCATCTTTCTGCCTAACCTACCTCACAGAGCGATTGTGACAATAACATCTTGGAAGGCAGTGACCAGTATCATGTGAGTCAGCTTTAGCTTCGGGAAGGAATGGCAGGTTGTAAATGAAACAAACAAACAAACAAACAAACAAACGATAAATTAAAAAAAATCAAGTTAGGAATATTGTCACATAAGCGCCTCATTTGCTTTCTGTTATCAGGCATCAATCAAAGTGTGAAAATGAGGTTGTTACCTATAAACAAACCACTTGCTCAGATGCATTGCTGATAAGGCCTCAGTTTCTACGTCTTCCCTTAGCAACTCTGCAGCAAAATTAAGGTAGCAGACCTGCTTTTCAGAGAATCTAGGGGGAAACCAATAGGAATCCCCCAGGTGAAGTTTCTTGATAAGGACATCTCCTGCGTAAAGCATTCAGACTTGTTAATTTCCCCAAGTGCTCTACAAAATATATGCATTGTTTTCAGTGCACTTGGAATGGTATGCTTGACTGCTTTGCATACCGTGCCTAATTATGTTAATCATAGAAAAACGTGAAGCTGGAGCTTGCTAGATGCCTGACCACTTTCCAAGCCGCAGTTCTGCTGTTGGAAACAACTCCCAACAAATGCCCGTCAAGCCTTTCTTCTTCAAATGTTTCAGTGCAGGAGATGCCATAGCATACCTTGGAACTTTAGACCATTGCTTAGTCTGCATGACTGTTCCCCTGAACCCACCCCATAATGTCTAACCTAAAAAATATAACTTCTTACAAGAGAAGGGTACAGTTGTCCTTAGCAGATAGGTTCAGTATTGGTTCCTCTTTGTTTTATGAGACCCTTTTGAAAATATACCACTCGCAATCTTCTCTTGCTCTGTGCAGCATGAGACAATATTGAGTACATTCAGAGCCTCAGTCAGTGCCCCCTGGGAGCTGAGTGTATCCTGCGAGGTGCCCCAGAATCTTCTGCAGCACCCACATTTCTGCAGTTGACAAAACAGAGTGGAAATTGTATTTACTGAAAGGAGGAAGCTGGGGGAAATACTGCTCCAAAGTCATTAAAAAAAATGTTGCTTCAATAATATTTCAGAATTCTGTATCTTCTGAAAGTTGTGGATAAGCAGATGTAAAACCACACTCTATTCAGTAATGATGCACTTTGTTGGTGCTTCTCATTTTTACCCTTCTGTAAAGGGTGCAGTTTAGGGGATACTTGAAATTTTGCAAGGAACATCCTTGCATTCTTTTGGAGTGCCAAACAGAGAAACCTAAACCCATTTGAGATAATATTCCAGTTGTTATATCAGTAGCTTGACTTCCACCAGATATCTTTTGATTGAGCTCAAACAAAAGGAATGATTTAGCAGCCATGCTTCTTTTTTTTCAAATTCACAAAAACTGAAATCAGTTCTTGATTCCACAGAGGGCTGGGAGAACACAAAAGTTCTGACTTCTATATTCACCAGATCATTATATTTCCAGATTTCCTCTTGCTTCTGTAAAAGTCCCAGTGAAGGGGGAAAGTTAGGCTCCTTTGATGTGAAAAAAGCAATATATCACTTCTCTGAAAGAAGGTTTTGCAGTCTCTCATGTGAAAAAGGATTAACACCTCCAACAATGGTCTTGCAGATCACAGAGCTAAGCAGCAATGCTGAGCAGTATTCCTGAAGTGGAAGAACTGTATTTAAGGAAGGAGGATTGAAATGGCAAACAGAAGCTGTTTTAATAGCTAAAGATCCCAGATAAAGGCTTAAACATTTCTTGAAGTATTTGCACTAAAATGCCTCTAAAGACAAGGAAATGACTTCAAATTCATAAATGCTATCTTTAGGAAAACAAAGTTCTGTGGCCCTTAGCATTGAGATAGTGCGTGTTCACTGTAGTGCAGAATAAAGATACATTATTCACAATATCCAGTACCTCTTATAGCCTTTTTCTTCTCTGGTATTATTTAATTAGTGTACACTATTAAAAGCACATGTCTGACAAACTCAAACCCAGGATGGTAGACATATTCCTTTAAAAATATATGGTGGCCTGAGGACCACATGAAGTATCTTTCTTAGTCTATTTTTGTCCTGCTTTTCAGCCAGCAGGCTTCCAAAGCAGCTTACATCAGCCAATCCAATTAACTGAGGAATCCTATGTATGTCTGCTCAGAAGTAAGCCCTAGTGAATTCAATGGGACTTATTTCTAGGGACGCATGTATAGGATTGCAGCCTAAAAGTGCAATAAAACTGCAATTAAAATGCTATTAAAGGCAGAACTCAAGTTAATCCATTGGAAGAAAATACATAATTCCAGTAGAAAGAATTAAAATCATACATGAAGCTCCAGTGAAGAGGCCTTGGACCGCTTTGGGGGGGAAAACCCCAACAATGAGTTAATTGGGTAAATATACAGAAGGAAGTTTTGAGGGCTGGGGGTGGGTGGGCAGGAAGCATTGCTCATAGTTTCTAAGCATAAGTGAATTCATTGTTTTTCTTTTTCTATTCTTGTCACTTTTGCCACACACAAGCGTCTTGTATAACTCCATGCAGTTTTGGAGCTTTAAGATTCCTTGTGAAAATGGGAGTCAATCCATTAAGTACTAAATAATCTGGAGTAGTAGCAATATATTTTAGACCCGGGTAGCCCACATGGTCCCATCCAGATGTTGGGCTTCCACTCATTAGCCCTGCCCAGCAGTCGGAGTGATGGGAGTTGCAGTGCGACAACTAGGGAGCACCATGTGGATTAGCTCTGCTTGAAGAGAAACGGCCATTGATGCCTTAGTGGAACTCAGAGTTGGGGGACAGGTTGTTTTAACCATAACATCTGGTTCCATCTTGTTGGATCTCTTAACCAGCTGGGGGGCCAAACTTGGCCCTCCAGCTGTTTTGGGACCACAACTCCCATCATCCCTAGCTAACAGGACCAGCGGCCAGGGATGATGGGAGTTGTAGTCCCAAAACAGCTGGAGGGTCAAGTTTGGCCACCACTGTCTTAACCCATCTCATCCCTTGGATCACAGCACTGAAAGCATTACAAAATTGTATTGAATTAAAACGAAGCACAGAATTATCCCCCCTCCCCCCCCTTTCCACTTGAAGCATGTCCATACAAGACTCCCAACTTTCGTAACTTTTTTTTTTTTAACCACTGCTTAACTTGCTGTTCTGAGTGTCAAGTAAGCATTTTAACTCAAATAACAAACAGGTAACCTTCTGACCCTTTTCAGTAAATCTCCCCCCCCCCCCATTTTCCCCCTCTCCTCCCTTCTCCCAAATTACGGTAGTTTAGCATTTTATGGCACAGAATAAAAATCTCCCAATTCTGTTTCCAAATAGTATATATCCTAAACACATTTTTCTGAAGCTCTCGAGTCATTCAGCTATGTGTATTTTGTAAAGTTCCTATGGTTATTGTTTTACAATAGCTGCTTCCAGGAGCATTGTAGGGGTTTCAGTTAATCAGCTCTTTGTGTGCTTCAGACTATGCAAATTTATCACACCAGACCATTCAGCAGCTCATGGGAAACCAGTGTACAAGCTGCATTGTCTTCTAGCACCTCCTCTAATTTAAAATGGTTTTAATAAAGAAGCTAATCAAGTTTGCTTATGTATTATTTATCTGTCAATTTTAATTCTGGCCATCTCGATGTCATATGAGAAGTACTAAGTGATAGAATAGATCCACAAATGATTCAGCAACGGAACAAAACTAAAATTAATTGGTGCTGCTTTGCTCTTGTACATATTTAAGCAAATAGTGTCTGCTAACTCGAAGACCATGTAGTTTTGGCATTTGCAATAATTTATTTTGCTATAGTGATAAACTAGATCTCCTAAATACTTCCATACAATTCTGAATTAACAGAGGGTTTTGGGGGGCGGCGGGGGGTGGGTTTAAATCACATTATCTGGGTCTCTTAATGCCAGGAATAGCATTGAATCGGTTCATTTATTTAAATCATCTTTATCCCACACCTTGAACATGTGGCTCATAGGTGAACTTTGAAAGCATACAGTTAAAAGCATTTTTGCACATTCTGAGATCTCCGCTTGAGCGGCATAGAACAGTAGAAGGTAAAATTCAAGATAAATTGTATTTATTTGCTTTGAATGGCCATCATAATGTCCTCTTTTTTGCTCTTTAAAATATGGCAATCCTACCCAACAGAAACTAGCAGCACTGCAGCTGTTGCTTCTGACCCAGATGTGTCATAGTTTGCACTCTGTATACTATGGGCTGAATCAGACTTTAAGCATGATAGGATTATTTGCCTTATTTAGAACCTTAAGAGCTTTGTCATTATGAAAAGTATCTTATGCTTATGATTTTACTCCTACTGACAGATTTTTTTGATAGCTGAGCAGTATGGGATTATTATTATTATTATTATTGCAACATATTCTGCTATAAATGACATGAATTCTTGGATTTTGTACATGGAGGGAAAACACAAAACTGGTGCAGGATGTATCTGAAAGCTTCAGAATATCTGCCTAAGACTTTGGGCTTGAAAACAGGAACCTAATAGATACACAGCCCCATTCAATCTGGGCTCTGATATTTACAGAGCCCTTCACATGGACCCTGGACACATGGAAACTGCTTCTTCATGAGCTGCAGGATGCCATATCAGTGGATCAGGGCCCATGTGCCCAGCACTCCCCGTGTGATCAGATCTCTCAATAATAGCTAAGCTATGTGGGAGCATCAACAAAAGCAGCCAGGGTAAAATTTTAAGGTCTTTATGTCTTTTAGAGCAAGATCTGAGGCCACTAACTCCGTGACCAGTAAAGCCCAAACAAAAGACCCAAATACTTTTGCAAAGTATTCTAAAATATATGTGGTGCTTTTGATTTTGTGCTACTCCCCGCTAAAATATTTTGAACAGGGCAAAATAATCAACAGTTGTCTGATTATGTCTGATGCCTAAAAAAAAGATATATTTGTGCAAAACATCTACGCTATCCTTACAAAAGGTTACTTGATGTGTATTCCACAGAAAATGGGGCATATTGGATTCTACTTTTTGCTATGCAGACGCTACAGAGAATACACAGATAAATGGTATCTGATCTATAAAGAACGTATGTTGAAACAAAAATTGGCAATGCCTTGCTAATATCCATTTCTAATAACCTTGAGGCATGAGCGAAAATAATACCAAAATATATTCTTAATTGCAGAATCCAATAATATAGCTATCGTGGTGCTAAGTGTGAGAGCTCACAGTATTCAGGATCATATACCTATTCAGCTCCGTAACTACACTGACTCGCAGGAGCTCGCTAGAATTTCAAAAGGGTCATTCTCAGTCCTATCTGAAACGGCCAGTGTTTGATCTAGAGACCTTCTGCATGCAAAGCAGATTCTCTACCACTGGGCTACAGCTCTTCTCTTCCGCACATACTCAACAACTCCACATAATCTGAGCATGTAGGTTTTCCCCCTTCATTCATTTGTAATCTGCCCAGAGGACTTTAATTATTGGGCAGCATCTAAGTGGCATAAATAAATAACATTTTAATTGTGCCCTCAATGACCCAATACCCTTTTTGTGAAATTCAAAAGAAAAGGAAAGAAAAAGCAAACCCGCGATTCCATGTGATTGTATTTGAAACAGTACAGAATTGTTGAATCCCTTACCATAGGAAGAAAGCATCTATCTAGCTTGTCTGTCTAATGTTCATTCATTTGAGGATCTGTGTTTGGGGATGGATCTAAGCATGTCCAAATCACACAGGTGAACTCCCATATGCCTGACTCAGCTTCCGGTCACCCTGCTGGGACAATATGTGAATTGTCCACATTAATCTGATTTGGAACTATAATTTCTCTTCTAGAGGGGCTACGTTAGGGGCTGCCTTGTACACAATCCACTGGGATTGCCTCTTGGAAAGGAATTAAAATTCCGATTTGTGCTGTTGCTCCTCTTCTCGCGCAAGGATGGGGAACCACAGGTCTGGGAGACAAACACAGCCCTCCAGGCCTCTCTTGCGGCTGTCCCCACCCACCACCAACGAGTGACCCCTGGAATTTGCCCAGATGGCAGGGTGCCCCCCCCAAGACCCCAAAAAAGTTCCTACCCCTGTCATAATGGTTTCGGTAGGGCGTGTGCAGGCAAACCACCTTTTGAGTTACGTCCTATGCTAATCTTTACACAATGAGATCACTCATCTGTTAGGATGATCAGGAAAGGATCTTCTTTGGGTTGGGGGGCTTTCTTCTCCCCCACCTCTCACATGTACTTGTTGTTGCATGGGAGCCACTTCCTTCTTGTGCAATCCTGTACAGGAGGGAGCATGACATCTGTGGGGGGGAAGACCCAGCCAAAATTTGTGCATCATGCGGCTTGCCAGCCACATGGGACTGCACCCCAGGCAACTGTCTCTTTGGACCGGAAATCTCAGATTGGTGTGTGTTTGTGTGTGTGTAGGTAGGGTTTTCTCAGCTGCGGCTCCTTGTCTTGCAGAACTGCTTTGTTTGTTTTGCTAAACTCACACCCTGCTTTTCCTTGTAAAATCCCTAAGGTGACAAACGACAAAATGCAATTAAAATACGTGGTCTAAAAAAAGTGACCAATGATTATAACAATAAACATAATAAAGAACAACACAGTAAAAACAATGTGACAAGTAAGGGCCATTAAAAAATATATATCAGAAAATGACAGCTAGCGAAAAACATGTTAGAAGAAGTGAAAATATATATGTTTATGGAGTACTCACTCCAAGAAGGCACACCTGGCTCTATCACTGTTCATTTACAGGCACCAGGCAAAAACATTCATCCTCACCCAGCCCTTTGGATCTTCATTTTTTGCTTATCTTCTAGTTAGGTGGGTTTGAGATGGATTGGGTATATATGTGTGTGTTGTATTTTAGGTTCTTTTACCCATGTTTTTAATGTGTGTGGTGGTTTTTTTTTGGGGGGGTTACAAGTTGCTTTGAGTTTCACTTTTTGGGGGAGTGGGAAGTGGCTAATAAAGACAATTAACAGTAATAACATTATCCATTATTACTATTATCAACAGCTCCACAGGTGGTAAATAGTTATAATCCTCTAAAACCACCTACATTAGAGGATTGGTTATCTTAAGCGTGGCGAGTGGTACAAATTATAAAGATACAGAGAAGGGAAAGTAGGCAACTTACTGGTCATTTTATGGACAAGTGTAGCCTCTTTATAATATAGTTTGGCACCACAAAATGTAAGATAATGTTGAACTGCACACATTGCCCGGGACATTGTACTTTTTTTGTTCAGTGGGTCTGGTCCGAGTATATATGAGTTGTATTCAGTGCTAGTTCTCGGACCAGACCCACTGAAATTAATAGTCCTGTCAAACTGTGGTCCATTCATTGCCATAGTAAAACTTCATTTGAATATCATTCATTTCACTTATCGTTTAACTGTATCCTTTGCTTTATATCTTTCTCACGTGGTTGTTTCTTATGTCTTCAGTTCTGTATGGTGTTTCCCCCTCCTAAACAAATAAGTAATTTTTCAATACGGTGCAGCAGAGCAAGACAAATTAGCTCAATGGGTCAAACACCTGTTTAAATACTAATTAAAAAAAGGTTTCTACTTGTCACTTGAAAAGAACCCGAAGGTTAAGCAGACCTTGCTCGATAGGGAGTTCTGAAGTTTGTACATACCTAGTGAGAAGGTCTTCTCTCAGGTTCCTGCCAAATGCACATCAGATGGTGCCGGGTGGGACAGGAAAAAATGGGTGAAGTCCTTTCTGAAGGACCTCATCACCCAAGCAGGCCGCTGGTCTGTGGAAAGTCCACTTCCACTCCAATGCTTAGGAAGCAATACAAGGCATTTTTATTAAAGTGTATATCTGGTGATCTTCCATAAGCAAGTTCTATATTTTAGTAAGGTCAGGCTACTTGATGAAAAAGTGGTATTGGAAGACCGGACATATGCTAGAACATTAGCAGTGGCAAAGTTTTTATCAGTGGTTGCAAGAACCAATGATCCCTATATTCTGAACAAAATGCTTGTTTAACCTGGAGGTAGGCTGTATGAATTGTGTATTGCTTTGTAATGATTCGTTGGGTCTCTGGACCATAATAAAGATTGTTGTTGTTGTAAAGTGGTATTTTGAAATAATTCTTAGTTTTGGATTGAATCATTGTGCTGGATTTTTAATGTTTAAGCATGGTGGTTGTTTTTTTTACCGCTGGAGAGTTTTGTAAGCACTGTATATAACTAAATGGAATGTATCTTCAAATAAGGCGGACAACGTAATCCTATGCACATATATGCAAAAGGAAGTACTGTTGATTTCAGTAGGGTTTACTCCCAAGTAATGTGTGCAAAGGACAGCAGCCCCAAGTTTCTTGGAGATGTTGTCCTGCAGTCATCGTAGCCCCTTTAGAAGACTGCTTTGCATTATTCTGTTTTACTCAAAATACTTATTGTGTGGCTCATGAAATGAACCTTAAAACAAGTGTGTCAACAGTTTCTGTTTCTTTCTAGAACTTGAGAAAGACAGAAAGCTCGTTTTAAAATAGCCATGAACATTAAATTTAAGGTAATATGTAGACTGGCTTTATTTTATAAATAAATAAATAAATGAATGACTCTCTCTGATTAAAGAGTGTATATATATATATATATATATATATATATATATATATATATATATAAAATAGGCTGAAAATAATTTAAAATAACTTGTAGAAAAAAAAGAGTTTTTGCAGATGTACAGTTGTACTTTGTCAGGTCTTCACAGACCCCGATGCTGCTTTAGTTAGTTAGGAAGCTAATTGGTTATATTTACAAACGAGAGTGCTAGAAGATTTTTTCTTGGAATTAAGAACTTTTAACTTATTTTGGAAAGAAGAACTTTCAAAGTTCCCCGATGAGTTGGATGGGGTTCACTCCACTCGCCCCATCTTCCAAATCTGTCTAAATATTTTGTTTTAACGTCTAATCTCATTATGCTCTCTTTGTGTTTAACTTGTATTAAAATCTGTCAGCTATGACTGGTCTCATAAGCACAGTCAGCGGACCAGAATAAGTTAATTATTTACTTGTGTCACTAGTACTCTTCATCTAATGAAATGCACAGCTGTGTTAGATCTGCAGTTGGACGTCTCGATTCCATTGTTATACAAGTCAGCAAAGGGTAGAAGCTGCTATGATGGAGGGGCCTCGGTTCTTTCTGCTGTTCTGCCTTTCTGTGTCGATTTCATGGATCTTTTATCATTCACTTTCACACAAAACAAACAACACAGCGCCTGTCTGCTATGGGAACCGTCTTGGCATATAAAAGGGTTTCCAGCGCCTGAAGTAATTTTAAGTTAGTGCAGATTTAATTTTTGGCTTACAGGTGCCCTTTCCTCCTCATGCAACCAAACACAATTTCCTAGTTTGGAGGAGGGGGAGGGATGTATGTTTGGCCAAACCCACAATTTAAGTGGGTGTAAATTTTACGTCGTAATTCTTTTGCATATTTTTCACACGTGAGGAAATTACTAAAATGATTTTTTTGTGGGTATGGTGTTACCACCAAAAGATTTTTTATGGCGAGGATTTTTTATGGGGTAGGAACCAGTAATAATGGTAAAAATCAAGTGTTTTTTTAAATTGAAAAACACAAACTATAGAAATGCTTGATCTGCTTCTTTCATTGCACCGATCCTTCCACATACTGTTAACAGCTATCCCATGCACCTAGGCCCTATTCTTATTTTGTGTGTGTGTGTGTGTGTGTGTGTGTGTGTGTGTGTGTGTGTGTGTGTGTGTGTGTGTTTAATTGGGCAGTGGATGTTGGTGTTTTCTGACCAAGCCCTAGTATCACAATCTCTTCTTGCCCTTCCCCGCAAGTGCCTGGTTGAGTAAGCCCTTGTTTAGAGAGTGCGTAAACATTGCTTAACCTTCTCCAGTCCAAAACTCTTTTCTCCAGTTATAAAATGTATTGCCCACTTCACTGTACAAATCTACAAACTCTAAAGTATTTTAAAACATTTTACTGTGCCGCTCAGCTAGTTTTTTGCCCACCTGTAATAAAGCCACCCTACACAGTGAGAAAATTTGGTTTGCATAGACTTGGGAAAGAATAGATGTTTTGTTCTAAATGTTTGTGGTTCGATTGTATGCATCCTTGTTTTTTTTTACAAACACATACGGTTTTCAAGTTATTTCGACGCATGTAATCCAATATTGCTAATGTTTCCCCAACCTTCTGCAGGGCAGGGAGGGAAGTTCCTTTTACAAGCAGAAGTCCTTCCCTCTGACAGGTGGACCAAAGTTGTACCCCACTCAGTAAATAAAGACAAGGAACATTAGAGGATTCCCCCACTCTCAATTTCCTCAAAATTTCTGTGTTGGGCCTGAGTTTAGAAGGAATACATGTTCTGGGGTCAGTATCTCAGATAAAAGCATCTGCAAAATAGCTTGACTCTCACAAAGTACAGAGTAGTCTGGATTGTAGGATGCTAAGTGGTGGTGTTAATCACTGCAAAATGATTTTTTTTAAGTTTACATCTTTCATTTATCCTAGTCAGTATTGTTAGCTATATTTCTATGAACACCTTTAGTAAGGGAATGTCTGCTTTTGAGTGAACTATTTTTAATTGCATAGGCTAAAATAGCATTTAACTCTTGCCCAGAAACATCATTTTGGCTCTGCAAAATGAATCGCTTGCTTTTGTCATTTGAAAAACCTGTATATATTCTGTGTTTCAGGGGTTTGCGGCCTGATTATGCCTCAGGAGGACATGCCATTTTGTGATTCAGGAATCTGTCCTGATATTATCATGAATCCCCACGGCTTCCCATCTCGTATGACGGTTTGTAACATTTTTACAGTCCTTGACATTAATGCATTATTAAAAAGTGCTACTTACCCTTTTGGGGTAAATATCTATTTACTATCAATAAAAGAAAAATGCAAGTTTTTACACTGTGCATTATTCTTCATAGGGCAGAAGGTGGAATAGGAAAGTTGTGTATCTTGACAGGTAGTGCTCTCCAGTGCTGACAGACATTGGTCTGGGTGGGAATAACATGAAGAGGTTCAGGAGAACTGTTTGGCTAAGTGCCAGCTCAAAGGCAACAAGTGCCCTCCCCCATGCCCACAACTCAGGGTGCATAGTACCCAAAAGCCAACCTAGTAATTTTGGTACCTGATGCTGAAAATTTCACAACCTCTTCTCCCCTTCCTTGAAATATATATATATTTATATATATGTGTGTGTGTGTGTGTGTGTGTATATATATATATATATATATATATATATATGGTAACAACATGCTGCCTTTTTAAAATATCCAAATTCAATCTACCCGAAACAGCTCACTTGTTCTACCTAACATTGGCCATGATTACAGAATATAGGATCAACTTCAGGTTTCTGTCTGGGGTCTGAAAAGCTGCTTTAAGTATGCTCATGGGTTTGGGACATATTAATTGACTGATTATTTGAACGGCAGCCTCCCCTTCCACCTCATAGGCTGCTTGCTGCTGAAAGTCCCTTCAGTTTGCCATGCAACAAGAGACACAAGCCCAATACAGTGGTGCCTCGCAAGACGAAATTAATGCGTTCCGCGAGTCTCTTCGTCTTGCGGTTTTTTCGTCTTGCGAAGCACGGCTATTAACGGCTATTAGCGGCTTAGCGGCTATTAACGGCTTAGCGGCTTTAAGAAAAAGGAAACAAACTTGCAAGAACTCGCAAGACGTTTCGTCTTGCGAAGCAAGCCCATAGGGAAATTCGTCTTGTGGAACGACTCAAAAAATGCAAAACCCTTTCGTCTAGCGAGTTTTTCGTCTTGCGAGGCATTCATCTTGCGGGGCACCACTGTATTCCCTTGGATATGCGGGCCTAGGAGCCTGTCTTGTTTGGACTAGTATTTGCCCACAGGATTTTGTTTATCCTCGTCAGTTCCTTCTCTTTGCACCTTAGACAGCTGTAGGGAGAAATCTCTAGAAGACTACAATATTTGGAGAGGTCTCGCCAAACTTAAAATACTTACTTTTCTCTGCTTTCTGCTGCATAGGTGGGGAAACTAATTGAACTTCTGGCCGGAAAAGCTGGTGTCCTGGATGGCAGATTTCACTACGGAACTGCATTTGGCGGGAGTAAAGTGAAGGACGTGTGTGAAGATCTTGTGCGTCATGGGTATAACTACCTGGGGAAGGACTATGTAACATCTGGCATTACTGGGTAAGAACCTCCTGCAGGCGACTGCTGTGCTGTGTACATGTTCCTGTTTCTAATATCTAATAGTGCCATGTGTGCATAACTTTAATGTGAATAGCTGCACATGGTTTTTTATTATTATTTTAAAAGAACCCTGCCACTAGAGCATCAAACAAAATTAAGAAGCCAGCTTCTTCTTGCAGTGAGGTTTTTTTTGTCACTTAAAATACAAAAGTTCTAAGCAGTTTTGGCAGAGGTGCAGTGTGCTCTTAGAATATGATTAACAGCTTTAAACCAAATGCAATAGCAAAATACAGCATTGAAGGCAGGTGCTTGTCCGTTGGGAGTTTTTGTGAGCGGCTTTTGCCAATTGTGGAGTCGGTCTGGCATAGTTGGCTGGTCTGTTAACTTCCTGCTGTGTTGATCAGACTGTCTTCAGAGATGTGGAGTTCAAAGGAATATGAGAAGGTTTAGGAAGCAAGACAAGGCCATATGGCCCAACGCGTCTGTGTTTTTAAAATGTATCTTAATCCTACCTTTCTATTTTCTACCACATCCTCCCCCCCCCCCCACTCTAACACCAACATAATCTGGGCCACTAACCTGTTCCATCTGTCAATTCTTCCTCTTTCATAAACTATATATTTGCTTGTCCTAAATCTGGTTTGCTACTCCAGTTAAGGATAGGGGAAAATACATTTATTTATCTCAATGAACTGCAGGTGTTTTGTATGAATCTCTTAATGGTATGATGCATTTACATTTTAAAATGTGCTGTAAGTCACTTGGAGTCCTTTCAGTTACAAGGCTAATAGATGAGGATGATCCTAGCTGAGAAACATGGGCAGTATGACTCCTTTAGAGAAATTATGCAGGGTGGAAAATGTTTTCTTTTCCCCACTGTGTTTTTTGAAATCCTCTAATTTGTCTACATTTGCTTCGGGTGCCTAAAACTGCTTCCCTTCTCCCACACTATCCTTTTCAGTTCCAATAATTTTCTTGAAGGTCATGTAACAGCAATGGATTGCAATTGTACCTACCAAGAATTCAGGAGCAGTTCCACATGCCAGCTTATAGACTGACTTAGACTGACTTAAGAGGATGACTTATGGAAACTCTCCCATGACCTGGAATCTTAATAGCTGGAGGAGCTCTCTTGAAGCTATTTAACATTTTAGTTATTCTCGGATGTATCGACAGAGGTACAGTGGTACCTCGCAAGACGAATGCCTCGGAAGACGAAAAACTCGCAAGACGAAAGAGTTTTTCGTTTTTTGAGTTGCTTCGCAAGACGGATTTCCCTATGGGCTTGCTTCACAAGACGAAAAACGAAAAAAACGAAAACGTCTTGCAAGTTTGTTTCCTTTTTCTTAAAACCGTTAATACCCAGGGTGACTTCGAGGAGCAACTCATAGCACGCGGTGTGGTAGCCTTTTTTGAGGTTTTTGAAGACTTTGGTGATTTTGAAGACTTTGGGAAACCGTGCTTCGCAAGACGAAAAAAATCGCAAGACGAAAAAACTCGCAGAACGAATTACTTTCGTCTTGCGAGGCACCACTGTATCATCTTTCCCTGCCCCCATGAACTGCAGATCATTCCACTTCTTCCATAGAAATCAATGAAACACATGCTGCTCCAGTGAGCTGTATGGAAAGCGTTCTTTGATCACAGAGCAGTGAGTGAGAGGAAAAGAGGCACTCGCCATACCCAAAATACCCCTTTTGTCCACAGAATCTAGGGCAGAGGAGGAGGCAGGTGTACCAACCCCTGTCAGGGCCTTTCCTGCTTCTGAGGCTACCACGTTCCATTGTTCCTGCTTCCTTTCCACTTCCGTTCCTCCCATCTTCTGGCTCTCTCCCTCAAATACCTGCATCAAAAGTCTTTGCCAGGAATTTCTTCTGAAAGCTGGTTTGGGTGGGGGGAAGAAGAGAGAGATTAGTTTGGCTGACTTGCTGTGTGTAGTGTGATGCCTGCTTGAAGTCTAGAGCTCCATGGCATTGAGACCCTGAAATAACAAGCTGTTTGTATTTGCAGTGCACCAGCTCTAGGGTTCTTTTGCACCATGATCTGTGTTGAATCCTTTAATGTTTTGCAAGATCAAGTGTCTGGCTGAAGCTTCTCAGGACTTCAAGGGTTGGCTCCTGAACTTCTCCATGGGTTATTTCTGAAGGGGGTGCAGAGAATGTGGTCCACTGGAAGCCTAGTAGTTGGCGAAAGTGTAGTACTTGGGGGAACTGGGATTTATCCTACTCCCTCTCACAGTCACTAATACCTGTTTTCCTTTTTGTAATCTCATTTATATAAACAATGCTTTCTTAGCTTCTCTGAAAGAAACTTTCTTCTTCCTTCTCAGGGAGCCATTAGAAGCCTACATCTATTTTGGGCCAGTGTATTACCAGAAACTGAAGCACATGGTTTTGGATAAGATGCACGCAAGAGCTCGAGGGCCCAGAGCTGTCCTTACCAGGTATGGCAGAGACAGGATCACAAGCACAAATGCACAACACCAAAAGGCAGCCTTCAGGTCTGCTCCATTTCTCAACAGCTATAGCCACGTAGAATCTTGCACAGAATGCAAAGGCTCTCCGCTTCAGCTATAGCTTGAAAAAATGTAAACGGGTCATTTTGAAGCCAGGGAGTGACATGTTGGCGTTCTTTGATTTGAAAAGGGGGGGGGGGGAATCAGGATGCTACTTAAAAAGAAAAAATCACAATTCACATAGCAAGTGGAGAGACATTATTATTATTATTATTATTATTAATAATAATAATAATAATAAAATTATTTATTTCCCGCCCTCCCCAGCCGAAGCCGAGCTCAGAGCGGCTAACAACAGTAAAATATACAACATTCTAAAATCATTTCATTATAAAATCAGCTCAAATCAGATTAATGACAACCATTGGGCTAGAGTTCTGTGAGGATTGCCAAAGGAGGGGGTCAGGCTGTGTCCTGGCCAATGGCCTGGTGGAACAGCTCTGTCTTGCAGGCCCTTCGGAAAGATGTCAGGTCCCGCAGGGCCCTAGTCTCGTGACAGAGTGTTCCACCAGACTGGAGCCACAGCCGAAAAAGCCCTGGCTCTGGTTGAGGCCAGCCTAACCTCTTGGTGGCCCGGGACCTCCAATATGTTTTTGTTTGAAGATCGTAAGGTCCTCTGTGGGACATACCAGGAGAGGCGGTTAGAAGCGGTGAGTGGTCTTCTAGCTGAATCGAAGCCTCTTCCCATTCTTCTACTTCTCCACACCCAGTTGCCCTTTATAAGCCAAATGAATGAGGACCAGGAAGCAATTCATGCCCCTTTTCTGCTGCATGTGCCTCCTCTTAGGCCAGCCTCATTCCTTTTGGATCATTGGGCCTAACTACAGCCTTAAGTTAGACCATACATATGAGCCTTACATTGACCGGGGATAGCCAGTGTCATGACCTCCGGATGTTGCCAACTACAACACCCATCATCTGTTACTATTGACCGTGCTGGTTGGGGTTCATGGGAATCCATTGACATCTGGAGGGTCCCATGTTGGCTAATCCTGCTCTAGACTCCTGTTGTAGAGATAGACACTCTTTTGATGCTGAACATTTAGCAGCATTCTGATGTGGTTTATTTTTGGGGGTGGGGGGGTGGGATTACCTGTTTCAGTGGGACAACATTCCCAAAAGTCTCTACCTGTTTGATTGAAAGGCAACCGACGGAAGGCCGCTCCCGTGATGGAGGCTTACGGCTGGGAGAAATGGAACGGGATTGCCTGATAGGCTATGGAGCTAGCATGCTCCTGTTGGAAAGACTTATGATTTCGAGCGACGCGTTTGAAGTGGATGTGTGTGGCCAATGTGGATTGTTAGGCTACTCTGGCTGGTAAGCAGACAACTGAATTTTTAATGTTTCAATGTGGTTTACCCAGTAGCTTGCATATGTGTGTGGTCCCTGCTTTTACGTTAAGTGAGAGCTTTCCCTCGACAAATGAATGTAATACGGTGCTTTGCACAAGTTGCATTTTGACCTGTGACACAGAGGATACTTGTAATGCCAAACTCGAAGGAAGGTAGCTCTTTACAAGACTTTTTTTAAAAAATGCTAATAATTTATTCTTGGTATTAATGTGATGCCTGTGTTCTTCTTACAAAGCAAACCTCAAAGATTATTTAGTCCTTCTAGTCAGGGGTTTAGTGAAGTTTTTGTAGTGCCCGCAGAGCTTCTGGATTATGTCTTTACAGGACAAAAATCATTTAAAAGGGAATTGGGCTCTCCCTTGTGTTTTTGGCAGAAGATTATCTACTTTTCTGGAGATATTCCAAATATATATATATATATGAGCTACCATCTAAACTTAGGCAAACAAAAAGGGCTGAGTGTAGGAATTGAGACAAAGATGTGATTGCATGTATCACCCATGTTACAAATAGCTGACTTATCACAGTGCTTTCAGAAGAGAGGAGACCAGCTGTGTCAATGTCCTTTTCTCATCTAAGATCCAAATTAGACCACACTGAAAAGGCTGGCAAAAGAACTTAGTGGGACTATACCTTTTGTTCAGTGGCTTGGACTCGTGCAGAGCAAAAGCAGAGGGAAGGGATGTAACAGAGATTGTGAGGGAGACTTTTTTTTCCTCCCTGCAAATTTTGTTTGTAAAATCAAGTCGCCCTCCCTGGTCTTACCTGTGTGCAGGGCTTTTCCTGCTTAACCTAGAAAATTCTTGAAGCTTTTCTTCTTTCCCATGGCACAGATGGAAAAGGACTTATAGACTGTTCTTTGCACAGGGCAAGACTCCTATTGGCTTGCACAGCCCTAAAAGCTTTATTCAGTTACTCTTCTTTTAATCTTAAAAAAAACAACCAACCAACTATCAATTACAAACCACTTGCTAACCACTGGATGAATTGCTGTAGTGTAATGGAACGTCATGAGAATTTTATCTATTTCGGGGGAAGGCACCTGCAATAGAACGTTGGTAAACACTGCTGCTTCTGTTAAGGATGTGAAAAGTCACTTTCTCTGGGAAGAAACCACTATACAAGGCCCAGTGGAAAGGAGTACAGAGGGAGTGGTACTAAGCTGAAAGATCAAAAGGGAGGTAGAGAGATTAGAAGCTCAGAAGTGACTGGATAGGGAACAGATTACTACACAGTGTTCTCAAAACACTTAAGACCTGATAAATGGAGGCAGACACCTGAAGTATTACTAAGGTAGTGGAAAGGGGAAAGGCTATGGGTTGTATCCAGTGCTGTGCAAGCAGACTTCCACTCGAGCAACAGAACCTCTACTTCCCCAGAAATCTGCACTAAAGGGCCTCCCGACCTCCTGAAGCAGAGTTTTGAGGGTGCATGGTGGGGGTTGGCTACAGGGTGAAGTCCCATTACATGAGCAGAAGTCTCCCCCCATTTGCACAACGGCAACATCGGCCCGAACCCTTTTCCTTTAGGCAGAAAACATGTCAAACAATCGGTGGGCTTCCTTAAAGGACTGTATGCCACCACGCCCAGTTCCAACTCTGACAACCAGCTTTTCATGCCAAGACAAATTATATATATAAACCATCATCATGTGGCTTTTCAGGCACCGGGCATTTTGAATGTCATTTAGCTCTTTTCATAAAGCTTAAAGGCTTTAATTTAGACTCTCATATATATATTTTCCTTTGGTATTTGGTGGATGTAGAAAACATAAAGGCTAGCATTATACACGGCATATATTTATCTGCAAGTGCAGAAAGGGTTGGTTTTTTTCCTTGCAGCAAAGCAGAGAAGATTCTGCATCCTCAATATGCTTGCAGATGCTTTGCCAGGTGTAGTATAGCCTCAAAAGGAAGAAACGAGAACTAGAGGTTTTTAGAGGTCAGAGGAAAGCAATTGAAGACTATAAAAAAGACGCATGTAGCCATGGAAGGGTGTAGGAGCTTTGCTTCTTGAACATTTGAATTTGGAATCTTTAGACTACTTTTCATACTTTCATAAGGGTTATAAACTAGTTTTTGTTTTTTGTTTTTAACGCTGAGGTTCACATGATTGTGTCCGTTGTTGGGTTACGTTAAAAAAAATTAAATGATAAATATTCAGAAAATTACAATCCATAGCTATGGCCACTTACTACAGGAAAAGATTACAGTTTTAAGGGGAATTTGAAGAATGGCATTTGCAATTTCACAAAACTTGTTCAAATGTTGTGATTTGCCCTATATAAACTCTGGAAAGGCATGCAATTCTGGTCTTCTAATGTATTTACTGGTTGGGGGAGCATAACCTGTAATTGGGTTTCTTATCCAGTTATTAGGTTCTTATTAGGTGATGATGTGTTCTGTCTGTCAATAGTGGAAGCCAAGCAGCCCTGTAATGAGCAACACAATAGAAACTAGGCAATTACAGCAGCTCCAGACCTCTGAAATGGTCTTGGCCAGCTTTAGTGAGGAATTGGTATATAAACAAGCTTATTGCACAACACGACTCTAAAAACTACATGGAAGACTGAAAAGGAAGGTGGCTATTTGAGTTGCACGTATCGCCAAGAACCATCAACCAGATAGCATTTCTAGTGCAACTTAACAATGGACAATTTTGTTGGCACTAGGACTGGGCTGCTTCAAGGAGGGGACAGCAGAGTAGAAACAATGCTATCCAGAATGTTTTTACTTTATGCAATCATCAGCTATGCGTTGCCTTAGTCCAGAATTTCAAGCACTCAGCAAGGACGTTAACACCAGCCTTCCCCAACCTGGTGCCCCCAGACATTTTGGACTGCAATTCCCATCATCTCTGATCACTGGTCATGGTGGCAGGGGCTGATGGGAGTTGCATTCTCAAACATCCAGAGGCCCCCAGGTTGTGGGAGGCTGCCTTGCCTTAAGCTGGAGTTTCTAAATGCTTATTTTGGAAAGCCATTCTGAGAGGGTTGGAATTGGTGACTATATGAATGCAGCTGCCAAGGCAGAAAATCCAGTAGAATGATGACGTGTTGAGCTAAACAGATTTTTTATTTCACAGATCTGAAAGTATTTGGCTTTCTGGGAAGCCTTCAGCACAGCCTCTTGCTCCACATACCCTTTTGTAGGCAGGCCTAAGGGAAATAAGCCTTCATTCTTCACCTGCTGTCTTCCCTGTGTGGAATTATAGATTACAAGCCCCTTGGGGCAGAGACCTGTCTCATCATTTGTAAAGCATCATGCACATAGATGGCGCTATATAATTCACAGGGAAGTAGGAAAAGGAATTGGATAAACAGTGTGGGCCCAAAAGAGTGCACACGACCTCTTGGTCTTTCTTTCCAGTCGGTCGAAAGTGCATTCTTCTTGACTCTGCCATCTTCGCATGAAGAAGCCCTGCAGTGGGAGGCAGGGCACATAGAGAGGCGATCTTGGAGTCTGCTGTACCACTAGCAAACTTCTAGGAACACAGGAAGTTGCCTGATACCTCAGACCATTGGCCCATATATCTCAGCATTGTCCACACTGACTGGCAGCAGCTCTTCAGAGTCTGTCCCAGCCCTGCTTGGTCTTGCTGGGGATTGACTCTGGAACCGTCTGCATGCAAGTCAAATGCTCTACCACCAAGCCGCAGCCCTTGCCCAAAGCAGTTAGGTCTGTGCATTATCCAGAAATGCAACCAAACTGTATACAAGAGATGGTTGCGGTTGATAAATTTTATTATTTATATTTGTCTTAGAATCATAGAATTGTAGAGTTGGAAGGGACTGTGAGGGTCATCTAGTCTGACCCCCTGCAATGCAGGAATCTTTTGCCCAACAGGGGTCTCGAACCCATGACCTTAAGATCAAGAGTCTCATGCTCCCAACTGGGCTACTACACACTGAGCAAACAAGATCTGTTGTCTCATCTATCCAAGCAACACTTTCTAGGATTAGTCTTCAGGTTGCCATTTTCTCTTCCCAACATGCTGTGTAACCTGTTTTGGGTAGGCTCTAGGATGATGCCTATGGGCATTTCAAAGGCACGATAATGCCCAACTTAATGGTCTCCTTAGATGCATCCCCAGCTACATATATGATCAACCCAGAGATTCAGGAAAACTGACATCCTGGAAGCTCTTTGGAAATTTTCTAGCCCCCTTGCTCTTCTACCTGCGGTGGGGGAAACAGGACTCAGGCACACACGCCTCCCCCCTCTATTGCTTCTGCTTCAATGTGATGCCAAATGACTTGTGGGAGGAAGATTTTAATCTCACTACACAGGTTGGGGAGTAAGAGCCAAACAGCCCAAACCACCTTCTTTTTCTTTTTTAATCATCCCTAAAAATGTATGTGCTTGGCCGTAATGAAACCATGAGCAACTGAATTAGTGGGCTCCCTTTTGCTTTTGGACAGGCGTACTCGGGGAAACCTGTTAATTGTGGTGTGTGGGTGAACGTATTGTTGTCTTTCCTCTCAGCTCCAGCAAGTACAGGTCTGGCCATTCATTCAGCACACAAATTAGATTGAGGGGGCGCCTCATTCTTCACCCCTAAATTGGAATACCACAATTAACATTTCTGTGCCTCTGACTGAAGGTTTCCTTGGTAATACAGGGCTGCAACAGAGGCTCGTACTGCAGTTAGGGGAGCACACCAGTTTACATTAAACATTTACAGCAGGTGGGCCAGTAGTGGAAGTAGGGTGGGAGAGGAAGGGAACTCGTACAGAATGACCCTTCTTTGTAGACTGGAATTAGCTCATTATAAGATAATGCTGACCTATTTCATACTTAAAATGTAATTTGCAAAGAGGTATAAAATAATTACTCAAAAGCGGCACTTTTAAAGCCACCAGTCGCCAAAGTGATACTATAATCCAGTTCCGAAATTGCAACACACAAATTCAGCATCAGCACCAGGTGTCATCAGGCAGTTGTTTGGGGTTCAGCACCCTGACAGGGAAGGACTGTCCTGGACCCCCCCCCTTTTTTTCTGGTGCTCAAGGGAAGAGCGGAGTCACTGTTTAAAAATCCTACTATGTCCCTGAATGCTTCTATCATAACAGTTCTCCCTGGGATTGTGGGAAAATTAAATAGAACTGCTGTTGAAGTGGGGGAAGAGTTGGGGTCTTGGTTAGGTAAGATGCTATTCTGTTCCTTGGCTGCAAAGGCAGCCATTCTGCCCTCTGTAGGGAAAGTAATGTAGTTTCCTTCTTCAGCTGTTCATCTACCATAGGAACAATTTGCCTGGCTTTATTTTACATTCGGTTCAGCTCTGTAGTGCCAGTACACAGAGTTTAGCTCATGGGTAGCCAACATGTTGCCCTCCATAGTTTTGTTGGACTACAACTCCCATCATCCCTGACCATTGGCCGTGGTGATGGGAGCTGTAGTCCAGCCACATCTGAAGGCACCACACTGGCTAACCCTGCCTTAGGTGACCACAACTGGATGACTTTGGGCAGAGCAGTAATTCTTCATAAATAGCAGTAATTAAGAGAGCATGGGTCTTATGATTTGCCACCTTCATTGGGGCAGCTACCCCAAGCTAAACATTTAAATAGCAGTTTCTACCTCATATCTGAGCACAATTTGAAGTGTTGCTGTTGACTTTTTAAAGCCCTGTGTACCTTGGGATCCTCTGTACCTGGAGGAACACCTGTTCCCATAGAAACCTGCCTGTGTTTTGAGGTCACCAGCAGACTCTCTCCTCCAAGTGCTTCACCATCATAGGTGAAGCAGGTAGCAACCAGGGACAAAGCCATTTGGGCGGTGATGCAAATACTCTACCCTCTCTCCTAATTTAACATTTTGTAAATTAACCAATATAAAGGCTGATTGAATTTGAATTGTTTTTTTTCTGTATTTATTTTATTGCAATTAATTCTTAACCAACTTGGGAGGAATTTAACCAAAAGATGGTGATAAAATACAATAAAGAAATGGATATATCTCTTTGTCTCTTTTACGTAAATATACAATGACCTTGGTGTTTCTTTCCTATCTTTCAGGTGCCATTACTGCAAGTCCTCCTGTCATGTGTCTTCCCTGCGCATACCATATGCCTGTAAACTGTTATTCCAAGAACTCCAGTCTATGAACATTATACCCAGATTAAAACTGGCCAAGTATAATGAATGAAAGTGTTGAGGAATGAAGGGACAAAATGGCAAGCGGAAATATAATCGGAAAGAGCTTAAGTGGCTTCAGAAGTGCTAAAACCGAATTGGCCCCTAATTCCTTACTGTTTTTTTCTTCTCTCTTTGACTGCGGGACAATGCTGGAGAAGAACAGTTGGAAGCTGTTAGCGCAAAGACTCAGGCGGTGTTTATCTGTGGCACTAAGCTAGGTGCCCCCTTCCACCAAGGCACTGGGACTATGCAAACTCAGTTTCCACTTCAAATGGATGGAAGCACTGCAGATCAGCCATGCTTAGTGGATTGCTTCCTTTGTCAACACAGTATTTAAATATGTGCATAAACTTAAGAGTGGGAACACAGTATTGAAATCAATAGGATTTCAAGGAACAGTTTTGCAGAGTCTTAACTGGTGCACAGTTTGGGGTTAGTGTAATTGTTTTTGCACAATGTTTGGGGTTTTTTAATGAATAAAAAATTTCAGTTACATTTTTCAGGTCTTAAGCTTTTGTGGTGTAGCAGTACTGAGATCCTATTAAGAGTGTCGGCTATAGGTTCAAATGAGAGGGGGAATAGTTTTACAGAGCTCTCCGAATATAGTGCTTTAAGGAGGATATGTTGAAATAACTTACCACCTTGTTCTTGTCTGTTTTGTGATCTTATCATAGCTACTTGCTTGGAAATGCTGGACATTCAAGTCCTTCTGTGGCACATTCCCACACATCCATACCTATCAATGGGTGGCTGTGACAGCTGCCTCCCAGCACCCTGGGTCCCGTGCTTGCAGGGGAAAGAAGATCTGGCCACAGCAGACTACGCACCTGTGTCTTGCACCATTTTAATAACTTGCTGGGGGAAATTCTCTCTGCTAGTGTGCCCTTTCTCCACCAGCCTAAACTCTAACCTTGGGTCTCCCTGAAGTCTCTCAAAATAGCACAGTTTATGGTTTCCAGACATGAGGTTGTTTACAATAAGCTGAGGCCACACAGGTTTATGAAACAAGTCAACGGTATACTAAGATGGAAAAAAATACAGAATTTCAAGGAAAAATGCAAATTCAGCAAATTCCCCAGTGGAGCAAAATAACAAAATAAAGTAGATTAAAGTACCAGCCACTTTTCCTGAACATAAACCATCCCTCACTTTACCAGACTCTCCTTTCTTCCAAGCTTACAGAGCATTTTCTTCTTATGCTAGACCCACCTCCAGCCTGGCTCCCTTTTCTATATCCTTTCTCTACCTCCTCCCTGCCAGTCACATGCTCTGCCCCTTGAGTTGCAGGCTTCAGGAAATTAGTGGCTTTTAATTTTCCCCACTCTCTCTGCTGAGCCCCAAAGCAGATCAGGCTTCACACAACTCTAAACTCCTCAAATCAAGAAAGGGATGTAGCAGACAACAGAGATGCAAATTCCCATATGATTTGCATCAGTCCATTCAAATAGTGCAGTAAGTTCCCATTCCTTCACAGTGCCTATTCAGCAGAACACCAGCTTGAAGTTCCCCACACATTTCTCATAACTCTCTTGTTATTGGCCCCATGCTTCTGAAAATGCTACTTTTCCAGAGACATCTGCATGATGTATGCCGTATTTGTAATTAACCACAGAGAGCAAAGCAAATTTTCTTAGTTTTCCTGTCCGCACAAACTGAACTTTAAAGGTGCCTGGACCCATTTGCCTATAATTTGGCAGGCTTTATCCAGTTTGTAGGGGCTACTATGCCTGCAGATTGCACATACTTCTGTCAAAGGGGGGGGCAGGCGGGGAGAGTTGCAGCTATTTTTGATTCCCCATAATGGGGGGGGGGGGGGAGGGATGCAACAGATTCAGGCCCTGAGCCTCCAAAGTGCTTTGTACCAGAGCAAGCTGCTTTCCAAAGTGCTGAACTGATCTGAATCTAGTCATGTAGCTACTGCATCCCCTGACTATCTGTGCTAGTGACATTAGGAAATATCTCTGTATGGTCCTGGAAAACAAGTGTGGGTAAGAAGCTGACGCTGAGGACATTCTAAGATAGCATTTTTGGAAATGGTATCTGTTCTGTCCACTTTGTTGTTGTTTAGTCGTGCCTGACTCTTCGTGACCCCATGGACTAGAGCATGCCAGGCACTCCTATCTTCCACTGCCTCCCGCAGTTTGGTCAAACTCATGCTAGTAGCTTCGAGAACACTGTCCAACCATCTCGTCCTCTGTCTTCCCCTTCTCCTTGTGCCCTCAGTCTTTCCCAACATCAGGGTCTTTTCCAGGGAGTCTTCTATTCTCATGAGGTGGCCAAAGTATTGGAGCCTCAGCTTCAGGATCTGTCCTTCCAGTGAGTACTTGGGGCTGATTTCCTTCAGAATGGATAGGTTTGATCTTCTTGCAGAGGCTGCTAAAACAGATAGAGCGGTGTATGTTAACTAAATATGTGGTGTCAGGATGAAGAGTTCGGATCCGTAAGCTACTCGGGATCATTTTGGGACCAGCTGGGTCTCTACAAAAGAGGTGCGCTGCGGTGGAACTAGACTGTTGGCACTTAACTTCACAAAAGTCATTTGAAATGTTTTATATTTTTGTAAGCCACTTTGAGGAGTGGGGTTTTTTAGCTTAACAATGAAGCAGTATGTAAACTTTGGTAAATAAATAAATGTGAAAGAAGAATAGAACCAGAGTCAGAAAAGATCTTAAAGACCATCCAGTCTGTTTATTGATGCAATAAAACCAGTACTACGGTATTTCTAATAGGTGGCTGTCCAGCCTCTGCATTAAAACCTCTACCCAAGGAGAGCCTATCACTTTCTGCAGCAATTTGTTCCATTGTTGAGCAGCTTATACCATCAATAAGTTCCCCCCCTAATGTTTAGTCTAAATCCTTTTTCTTTGTAATTTGAACCCACTGAGTAAGGGGCTACCCACTCTGGAGCAAAAGAAAACAAACTTGCTCCATTATCTATGTGGCAGCCCTTCCAAGTATTTGAAGACAGCTATGCTATCGCCTCTTAATCATCTCTACTACAAGCTAAATACACCCAACTCCTTCAACCTATTCTCATACGAGCTGGACTTCAGATCCCTCCTCATTTGTTGACGTCACACTCCAGGCACAGAGATAAACCAGAGGAAGGAGGTCCCTTAATAACACAAACATAGTAACCAAGTTATGGACCAATAAATAAAATGAATGGTGAATAAATAAAATGTATATACAATAAAGCATTCAACCTAATATAAAAGTATGTAATGCAAATACATATAAATCCAAATCACACAACTAATTCTCAGGAGAGTACAACAGCCAGTATAAATTAGTAAAGTTAATATCCGTATATGAAACAAATTCCATGCATCAGTAGAGTTGAAATACAAATTTCATGCAGTAGTACAGTTAATATTGATGAAAACTCCAGAATGTATTTTTGTTTCAGTACTTCCTCAGAAACTACTGTAATAAATGGCAGCCAAGCTTGACTCTTCCCAAGATATCACTGAATACATAGCAATGTTAAAAAAAAGAAAAGATTAATTAACAAAAACCAGGAAGCTACCCTCCAGACACCTTCCAGTTTGTTGATATTCTCCTTAAACTCTGGCATCCAGATCTGAACTCCAGCTGAGCAGAACAGAGAAGTGCTATTACAACTGGCAAGCTGGAAATTCAAAATTGCATTAGCCTCTTTAGCTGCCACACCACACTGCTGGCTCACGTTTCATTTGTGGTCTACTAAGAAAGTGTTTTGAAACTGTCAGGAGCTGGAGAGCATCTGATGCAGCTAAATTCATCCCCAGCCACTCTTGAGCAGCTTGCAGCACATATAAAAAACAAAACATCAAACATTAAAAAACAGAATATCCTATACAGGCAACAAACAAACCAATAAATCAATAGAAACCAATAATAACACCGATAGTAAACAGTTTAAAGTTATACCCAAATTAAAATAACTGCCAACCCCAACTAAACATTTAACTAGCCACAGCCCGACAAAAACAAAACAGAGGAGCCAACATTAGAACTCTTTTAAACATTGTAAAACATTTTAGCCAGTTTCCCCAACCCAAGAGTCGTTCCAGCAATGTCCCAGTGGTCTCCCAGGAGCCTCTCTTGGCTTTTAAGGATGAGTCTGGGACCCATCCCCTAGGCCAGGTGGAAATGGGCCTTGCAGCAGGGAGCAGTCTTCCTTCCAGCACTCGCGGCAGCAGCAATGTGTAAATGTTTTAAATAATCAGGTTCAAGCTTAGAAACAATCATACAAAACAAATGACAACTCTTTAAAGAGACAGAAGTTGAAGGGAAAATGTGAGTGCTTACTAATACAGTGGTACCTCGGGTTACATACACTTCAGGTTACAGACTCTGCTAACCCAGAAATATTACCTCAGGTTAAGAACTTTGCTTCAGGATGAGAACAGAAATCGTGCTCCGGTGGCGCGGCGGCAACAGGAGGCCCCATTAGCTAAAGTGGTGTTTCAGGTTAAGAACAGTTTCAGGTTAAGAACGGACCTCCGTAACGAATTAAGTACTTAACCCGAGGTACAACTGTAGAATGTCAGAAACATGGTAAAACGCTGATAATTATTGAATGAGGATTAGAAGGCTAACATGAACCAACGGTTTAGTCAGGCTAAACCAGCCTTTTACAGTGCAACCTTATTGAATTGAATAAGGTTTACCTCTGAATAGGCATGTATAAGATTGCACTGGGCGAATTTGTAAGTTTCAGTTTCAGTTTCTCATTTTTTCAATCTTAAATACAGTACAGTTCTGCACGTTTCCAGCCTGGGGACTTTTTAAAGTCCTCATGAAAATCTATCAGCATTTTAGTTGCACACTTCACCTGATATACACATTTTTGCATGCAATTTTTCCTAATATGTATGTTTATGCAAAGCAGTCTTCCAAATAGAACTCCTTTTTCTATGTTATTTTCGCTGATCAATGCACTTTTATGCACTCTTCCCCCTACTATATGGATTTTTGTAGACATTGCGTGGCTGGGGGGACTGCATTTCAAATTCAGAGAGGTTGAAATGTCGAAGGAAAGTCGTGTTTCAGTTTGCGCAAAGTGTGAATCAGAGAGGTTCACCTATGACTCTGAACAGAATCGCCTTCCTCCCCCATCGCTAACTGTTAATTATTTCCATGGTGTGGTTGGATTTCTGTCCACTGACTTTTCTCAGATAGTTGATGAAGATGGGATGGCCTGAAGAATGCTTCAGGATCTTGCGGTATCAACACAATGAGCTGTGGTAGGCAAAATGTTGGCCACCAGAGTTTTTGTTCCCAGTCCAGCTTCTTTATCACTTTGTATTCCAGTGTCCAGGCAAAGCTGTTTACCAGAAATGTTATTCAATGTGAAGGTCACTAGGATGTTAGTCCAGCTGAGATGCTGAATGCAGTCTGTGTCCTGTCCTAGCCAAATCCTCACTTTGCTGTTGGAAGTAATGACCACCTTTATAAATTATTTTCCAAAGTGGTGCCCTTAGTCTGCAAACAGACTTTTTTTACTAGCTTGAATTACTGCACTAGAATAAAGAGGCTGTTGGCATTCCTGAATTTAATGTACTATAAATGTTGAAGAATTAAATGAGTTTATATTTTTTAAAAAGAAAAAAGGGAGGGGTGGGCTTGACAGTAAAAGTCTGAACAGTCCTAACTCACTGCATGCAGGAGCAGCAGATATTATTTCACAGGTGGGTTATTTTTATTAAATGCAGTACATCACAAGACTACGTCACAAATGAAACGTTGGTAAGGGGGGAAGCCATTAATGCAATGATGATAATATATGCAAAAAATAGACAGAAGTTAAATATCATAAAAGCTAAATTAAAAGCACCACACAAAAGGTTGTTATCAGGAAAAAATATATACAGTATAAAGCAAAAAAAAAGAATATAGAAAAAGCTTTTAAATAACTTGATCCAATAATGAAACCTAAACTGATTTAATCTTAGGAGCATAGAGGGCTGCCGTGTAAGAAGTCAGATTTTTGGTCCATCTAGCTCAGTATTGCCTACCAACACAGGATAGTTTCAGACAGGTGTCTTTCACAGCCTTAAGGGATGCTGGAGACTAGACGTAGTACCTTTTGCATGCAGAT